CGGGAGTCCAGGAGGAAGCTTGGGGTCGTGGACGTTCCACGGGACGCAGACGAATGGATGCGGCTTTGGGAACAGTCGAGGGATAGGCACTTTATCTGGGATCGAAGACTGAAAGAAAATGGCTATCAGCAACACAGAAAAGGAGGATAAAAAGGGAAAAGACAACTTACACAATCGTAGTGGCGCGACGGGTCGTTAATTGCGTGCCACTTGTCCTTCAGAGGGAAGTAGTGGGTCCTGGTTTCAACAATCTCCATCCCTTTGGGGATGTAGACCAACGACGCTGAGCACGCCAGCTCGGATGGAAGCTAGAAGAGCAATAATGAATCAGTAAAAGTCAAACAATGCAACAACAAAAAGGAAAAGAAAGACTCACGATGGTGTTGATCAGAGCCGGGTCAACGGTAGCCTCGGCAGGCTCTTTGTCCTTTGTAGCCACGGTCTAGAATAGAAGACAAAACGCGGAATCAGTAGGGGTTAAAGTGAAAATGAGAAAGAAAGAGACGTGCCGGTTTAACATCGATTGGGCCCTTGTTGCCAGCAGGATCGATCGGACCCTTGTCGCCAACCGAGTTGTCATTGGGCTAGTAATAAGTAGGAGTAACGATAAACAATCAGCATTAGACCCATGTAGGATAAGAAGAGAGTGAAAAGATAGACTTACCACGACGTTAGGGTTAAAAACGGGGCTCCACTGATCGCGATCCGGGTAGTAACGCACCCCAATCTAAGATAGCATACAGCGAACACAACAAGTTAGCTCAGTTCACAACGAAAAGTGGCGATGGGAAAGACCTACATCGATGGAGGGGTCGGAGCGACCTTCGCAGTAGAAGTCATTTGTGTCACAGTTATCGAAGATTGACGACATAGTGGTAAGGGTTGAAGAAAGAAGTGAAACTGAAGAACAGGCTTGATAGAAGCAGGGGTAGTTGGAAGTGGAGTGATGGGAGTAGCTAGCTGGGGAAGTGAGCTGATGAGGAGGAAAGGAAAACGGCGAAGAGAGGCCGGCTTTTATAGACGAGAGGACGGCTGGAGCAATAATTTCCGCAGGAACGATACCTACCCACGGCGGTTTCCAGAGATGGAGGTGCATTCTGGTGATGGACCGAGAAACAGCGCGAAGGAGATGGGGGTATCGAGATCGAGTGGTGTGGGGATGAATAAAACCAGGCAACAGGATTGTTTTTCTTCGTTTGGTTGTTCAGATTCTAGATGACACTAAAAGGTTGCGGCAGAATCAACAGCGTGAAAGTGATAAGGGAGTAGAGTACGGAGAAGAAATGGATAACGAATTAGAAGAAGACCGAAGGACTTACCTTGACGACAAGAATACAAGCCCCATAAAACCGCTGGCGTGGTCAAAGAATCGGGTGCAAGAGACTATGGATAAATGAGTCGGACAGAGAGAGGCAGTGGCGGCAGGGTATCTAGCTTCGATCAATTTGCTGTTTGTTCTGACGGGAGAGAGTGGCGTGGAGCAATGAACGCAACAGAATCAATCTGTCAAGATGAGACTATCAACAAAGCCTGCAAGTGAGATTCAAAACAAACTAGAACAGAAAAAGAAAACCTACCCACTGGTTGAGAGCACTGCGAAGCCGCGAGGCCAGCACTAGCACGGACGAAGATTGGAGGTGGCGTCATGCACCTGTCGGAAGCGATCAACTGTCAACTGAGTAAGAGCCAGAAGAGAGAGAGAGAGAGAGGCGGGATGAGACTTACCTGTCGAAGAAAGGATCCGCAAGGTGACGGGTCGGACGAGCGCGCACTCAAAAGTCGAGATGAGGAGAAATCAAGAACTGTCAGCTCAAAACCAAACTAGAAGAAGAGAAAGCAAACAAAAGCATACTTACCTGTCAAGATGGATCCACCGTCGGTCGAGTCACGAGGAAAAAGACGAGATGTGGTGGTTGTCGGTTGAATCCTGGCGGTATATAGAGAGAAGCCCACGGAGAGGAGGTATGGCGGGGAGAGGGCACACTTATCGCCGATCGGGCCCTGTCACACCTGTGACAGGGCTGATACATCTTGGCCAAAGGCGCGAGCGATTAGATTTCCAAACTGAGAAGACATACAACAAGTACTTTAGTCGAGTTGGGAAGGACCTTCGACCACCAACTGCTGACCTGGGTTCAATTCCCTGTCTGCACCAACACCAAACTGTGCAAGACACACTCTCATGGCAGAGTCTTTTTTTTTTTTGGTAAAATCAAGATAAATCTGATATCAAAAAAGAAAAAAAAAATTATTTAGTTTTTTCTTTTCAAAACTATATTTACAGATAATTATTTTGAGGACCTGAGTTCAATTCCAGGCCTTGACTACAAACTCTTGAAAAATCAAAAGTTTCCCAAATTTTTACCAATTAAGAAATCAATTACACAATTCAGGAGTTCTTTTCAATCTTAAGTGCTCCCAAGAAGAAAAATCCCAAATAAAGCATAGTTTTTACAGTCAGTTTCCCTGCGGGTCAAATCAAATTTTTCTCTGGCCACTTTGATATCAATCAACACTGCTCAAGCCCTTAAAATACACGCAGGACCGGACTTCTTTCATTCATTTTTTTCTGTAAGATTAGCTCCAAAACACAGTCAAAATCAGAATTGACTGGGGACAGCCAATAAGTTGGGGGAGGATGTGGTAAATAATACTGTGTTTCTACGCAGAAAAATATAAAAATTTATTATTATCTCTTTATACATTCAAGATAGGGTAAAAATAACATCAGAAATGGAATCCTCAGGTAAAATAACCCCTAGTCACCCACTACAACTGACCCCATATCTCTCATGGTTTAGAAGTTACACAGATTTCAACCTGTCACGGGATGTCTTTTGGATTATTTACTCTCAGTATGGCTTGTTTTGAATACTGGATGCATATTGAATATTGAATTCCTTTGTGTTGTATTGAATTCCTTTATTGGCACATAGTGCATATTGAATTCCTTTGTAGGTGCACATGCATTCCTTTGTAGTAGGACCTTGTAGGCTAGCCAAATTCCCTCAAGGCAGTGCTCTCACTAGCCAAATTCCCTCAAGGCAGTGCTCTCACCAGCCAAATTCCCTCACCTGCATGTACTAGACTAGCTAAAATCCCTCATTGGATCTTCAGGCCAGCTAAAATGCCTCAAAAGCCTGTACCCTGGGTGTCAGCCACAGAGTACATGTCACAGTACCTTTCATGTACCAAGTAACTGCAACACCTGTACTTATGTACATAAGTACTTATCCATAATGTTGATTACCTTTACCTCTTGTTATCTTATTATTATCATTAACTTATCTTATCTTATTTATCTTACATTTATCTTATCTGTTAATTACTTATCTATTTAAATACATACCTGTGTTCTACATAAGTAATTATCACTTACCTTTCACTCCCTTGTCCGTGAAATACCTGTACCACAAGTTATCCCTCTGCTACAGTATTTTCACGGTCAAATATTATTACAAATAAATATGTACATGTATTAAATAGTAAGTATTAAGTGTCAATAGAATTAATACATTCAATACATGCACAGATCACAATTATGACTACATTATTAGAGGATCTGTTAAGTACACATCAAGAGCAACTAGTACATTGATCAACTAGTACACAATTATGATGTCACTTACAGATCATGACAAATAATGATCAGTCACTCAATTGATGTGCTCATTCTCCTGGCCAAAGCTCCCTTGATTCTGAGCGCTCATTCTTTCCCTCCTTCAATATTCTGGAACTTATAATCCGTGCCTCTTTCACTGATTAATCCCCAGAATATTCAGACACCAGTTAAACCAGTTAACATTTATATTGATACAGTACCCGTAACCAACATAAATCTTGTCTACATTTATTGTTCTTAAGCTTCAGTACTCTTACTCAACTTATCCACAGTATTCATAGCCTTGCTGAATATTCCCATCAACAATACCTGTTAATCTTCAACTAATTTTGTTAAAGCTTAATAAGTATTGTTAGCCCATTCCCTTTTGGGAATAACCAAATCAATCCCAGGTGAGTCTTAGTACCCTGGATGCCTATTAATACCTTGTATTGATCCGGATGCGCTGTTGATAGCAAGCCTCTCAGTAAAGACCATACTGATAGAGTGAAACCTCCTCTTTACAGGACTGGTATTAATCACCCACTACCTAACACTCACCACGCTCAAAAACTTCAGTCAACTCATAGTAACAACCTTTTTACTATTAAATACTCAGGTTAGTTACCCAGAGGCTGACACTGGGGCTAAAATCCCTCACATTTGTCTATATAAGGAGGCCTCTGCCTGCCAGTTGTTCCCTCCATCATCCCACCAGTGGACCAGATCATCTCAAACACCCTTACAGATTATATACAAGTGACAGCCATAACAATACATTATATTGAAATACAATCATAACACTTTCATCATCATAACAAGTGCCAAGTGCCCATAACCTGCCTCACATACCATTACTGGTTGAAGCATAGTGCTCCCAGAGCTCCAAGCCTTGGTATTAAAGCTTTGAACAACAACTCAATCAATATAATCTTCACTCATTAACAACTTCAGACCCTTATACACATCACTCGGAAGCTTCATCTTGAACTATCCTCTATCATGATAAATATAACTGCCAAGCTAAGCTTGGTGGTCTTGTTGTTCTGATAGCATAGAAGGGCAGAGCTTGCAACTCCATCATCCCCTTCTCCATTCAGCAAAAGGGTTTCATAACCACTTTTGAGTCTTACAGCGCATCAAAACACTCCTGAATCAACGGCAAAGGATGGCGATCCTTCTTCGTAACTGAATTAAGTGCTTGATAATCAACACAAAAACAAAGACTACCACTCGAATTTTTAGCAAACAGTATTGGCGACGACCAAGATGAAACAGACGGTTGTATAAACCCATTCCGCTGTAACTTCCCCAACCGATCTTTCAATTCTCCCAACAACGCTGGAGACAGTTGGCGCACCGGCTGACTCACTGGAGGAGCATTACCAGTATCCACCAGATGCTCAACAACACGCTGTTTCGTCGAAGCTCGTTCAATTGGATCAAACAATACGCTGAATTCCTCAACCAGATTCCTAAGGTCAGACCCAAACCGGCCATCCGGCGAAAAAACCGTTGGAAAAGAAGAACCCAGTTCCCCTCGCGGACCATCAACCTCAACAGGCACAGGCACACAAACAAAGAGTTCGTTTGATTTTTTCTTCATCTCAGCCCTAAACCGATGTTTAGAACAGTTTCCCTCAACACTTTCACTTAAAAAATTAAGTTCAAGCGGGCGCAAATTTGACAACACAGGAACATCTGGTTCAAAAACTACAATGACACCCGAAGGACTTCTAAGAGACCAGCGATTGGAAACCCAATCCGTACTCTCAACATTCTTACTTATCCAATCCCGCCCTAATATCACATCGTAGGACGACAAAGGAACCACTTTCCCAACAACCATGAAAACATGGCCCACAAGCTCAAACGCCAGATCACATTGCTCAGATCGGCTAATAGTTTGGCCGAAGGCACCAACAACACCAAAACTTTCACACGGGAGTCGCGACAATCCCCTATCAACAGCAAAAGCTTCCGAAACGTACGAACAACTCGCACCAGTATCAATCAAAAACCTGGCAGATCGACCGCAAACAGGTAAGAAAAAGTCAACAATTAAAGACTCATCTTCAATACAAATAGTTAATAACGACTCGGGTTTGCAACTCCCGAGCCCGTCCAACAGCGAATCAGACACACCCGCCGGACTCACTCCCAAACGATCAACTCTCAACTTATCACTAGTACATCCTTTAGGCAGGAAAGTACCCTTTAAACTCACATCCGGGCTGATCAAACCCGGAGATTTACTCACAGAGCGCTCAATAGATGCAGGAAAGACAGACATATCATTCTTATTATCAACAGAAACGACAGAATTACAAGCATCTTCACATGTCGACGGGCGAGACAATGCCACGCCGACTAGACATTTAAAGACTTAGTCTTTCCAGAAGCAGCAGAAGCCTCGTACTGACGTTGACGATCCGACTTTGGGTGAGGGCACTTAGCGCTAATGTGTCCCGGCTTGCCGCAATTGTAACAATTTCGAACCGCCCCATCCGAACGCTTCTTCCCCGACGAACTATCACCAGAATCGGCTTCCTTCTTCGAACCCGACGGACCAGGAAAACCACCACAAGAACCCGAAAACCGCTTCGAAGCCTCCACCGCCGCCATTTTAGCCCGACAATCAGTATCCATGGTGAAGGTAGCGATTCGAGGGAAATCCATTGGAGTCTGACGAGTCGCCTCAGCCGCCACATGATCCTCGATCCTTAAGCGTAAGTCTGGAACCAATCTCTCGACAAAACCCGTACACGGATCATGCGAATAATGATAGATGTTCGCTTTGACTTGCCAATCACGAAAACGATTGTAAAAGTTCTGAGCCGTTTCATTAGGCCTCATGCGGAGTGCCGCGTATTCAGCGGCGACAGCGGCCTTATTGGACATCTCGGGGTTGAGGTCGATCAACCAGTCCGCAAACGAATTCCAACTACGAGGGTCACTGCCAGCACGCATAACATCGTTGTAGTCCTCGCGAGCTTTCCCAACGAGGCAACGGATACCGACTTGATGCCAGATACCCGGGTGGACAAAACGAACCGCCAATTCAATTGACAACTTGTTCATCCAATTACGGACTTCTTTGCTGTCAGTTCCGCTAAAATTTGGAACAATTTCACGATTCCAGCCCTTCATCGCCTTCGTGACATCGGTTAAATAAACCTGAGCCGGCAATGGACCATAATCGGCGACATTCGGACGAGCAAAGTCCGCAGGAGGAGCCACAGAGGCATTCCTATCCTCAGTGGGAGGACCCACATCCCTGCCTGCCGCAAAGACCGACACACGAGGATACGTTTGTCCACGATAACTAACATCACGACGAGGATGCTTCACAGTCTCGTTACTGTCAACATCCATGCCATCAGAATGGACAACAGCCAACTCCTCAGGCAAAGACACCGAACGACCAGCAGCGGTGGAAGATGACACCGCGACCTTGGAGTCTTCGGAAGGGTAATTCTCGACGAAGCGGCCATCCCCATCCTGGGGAACATCTTCATATTCCTCTTGGCCGGAATCATCATCCTCGGCTTCACTCCAAAAATCAGGGTTTTCCTCCACCCAGGCCACTTGCTGCGGGGTGAGCGTCTCAATCTCCTCGGCGGAATAAGAAGAGCCATTCATTGGACGAGGGGCTCCCGCAATGACCCGAGACTTTCGGCGGACAGTAACATTTGAGGTAGACTTAGGTGGCATGCTACCCAATTGATCAAAGAAACACAAAACAGCAAAACAATCACAAAGAACCAAATCAGCTTAAACCGCCCCCAGACGTCGACTGATAACCAATCAGAAACCAGATCAAATAGAAAAAAATTTCGACAGCCAAAAAACGTACGTCAAGTGATGTAAAATAAAAAGACGCAACACAGGCAAAAACGACGACGGACAACCGTGTACAAAGCCTACGGGAACCACAGAGGAAAAGCACCAAAATCAACTAACGTTCACAAAGAACCGAAAGATCAATGTCGAAATTTTTTTTTCTATTTTTTAGCTCTCGCTACCACTGTAACGGGGCCCTTACAGTATGTTAGGTTTAAGCTGGAAGTGTTATTACACTCGGGTTTTCTTTTGTAAAATAGATTTTGTATTGTATTCAATGAGGAATGTTACCTCATGAGCATGCTGCTTATATGTCTATGTACAGGAGAACCGTGCGTACATAGAATAGCAGAGACAATAGCAAATACAATTGAAAAGTAATGATGACGTCATAAGTGTACGAAAAGAGAATTAATACTATGGATTTAGTATTAATACATATCTTGTTTATACAGAGAGAGACTAAATATGAATTGGAGTCGTAAGTCCTGACATCGCTTAACAAGATGTATGGGCGCACGGCTACAGTTCCAAGCATAAAACTTTCTGCTCATCAAATTCAATTGTTCTCATTGTGCTCAAGAACAGCCTGCGCGTGCAGCAATCACCAGGGAATCTATTGCAGAACTAACTTTCTAGCGATATGTAACTAAGATAGACAAAACTGAGTCGGAAATAAGCAGAGTTTATATTGGTAGCAGAAAGTAGACAAGGGTCTGGGGACTACAGCATGGTAACTTAGGGGGCTTGATCCGAAACAGGTATAGAAAAAAGGCGGAGGGGAAGATAAATAAATAAAGAGGTAAGAATTGGCGAATCGATGTCCTCATTTTTCGTCCGGTAGGTGAAAAGTGTTGGCCGAGTTGAGGGGAGCCTCCGCCGTTCGGGTCCGAGAAGTTCGCAAATTCTAAGAAATCGAAGTACGACGGAGGCCATCGAGTTAGTTTTATACACCAAGAGGAGATTTGAGATGTGATGACTGGTGGGTACTGACCTGTTCCATTGTCTCCACTCGTCGACTTCTATTCCACAACTTAATTTAGCATGTGTGATCGCAATAGGGACAGTGTGGGTCTGGATCGGATTCGCACTGTGATTTGGGAAGAATACTGCCCCCCTGGTATCCGAGTCCCTGAAGTGGGGAGGCCGAGACAGCAGTAGGTCGAAAGACCATCAAGGAGGCCAAAAGGAGCATGAATAGGATATACATCTTGTGTTGTTTTTGGGGTTGTTTAAAGAGTATCTCGAGGAGATTGGAGTTATGAATACGTGTTGGGGCTGTGGGTTCTGAGAGGCAGATGGATGAGAGGACAGAAGTGGGCACTTTCACTGGTCTTTTATGGCCTCCATCAGCCTCACTGAGAGCCTCAAGGAGAGCCTCAAGGGGAAGCTCATCAAAATGTTTCTTGAAGTTCGGAATGTCTGGACAGAGCGGGATGCATTGCAAAGACTCGCATGCAAACTTGTTAGACTGATGTCGCATGCATTGGTTGCTCTCAACCACCCTAGTCAGTTGCAGTCTTCAGGATTTGTATTCCAAGTGTCAAGAATCCAAGATGCAGGTCCCTGGACCAGAAGGTTTTGTATCGAAAGCTCAATTGCAATATTGAGTGCGTGATGATGATATTTAAGTTGAAGGTTGTTTGTTGCCCAAGAATCGTTATACAGCAGACCCATAAACCCTTGCAACAGGACCCAGGAAACCCCCTGTAGACCACAGTAACCAAAATGTATGAATGGATATTCACCCTACACAACTACTTTGACAGAACATAAGATGTGATATCTGGATAGTTGCCACATCAGGACGTGTACATACTAAATGTGCATCATGCCCATGTGTTCTTTAGTGGCTAACCTCAACCAGTGAGTTTTAATAACTGAAAAACTACGAAAAAAAAATGTATGAATTTTTTTTTCAGATTTTTTTTTTTTTTTAGTTTTTTGCTTCTTAAGGCTCACTGGTGAGTATTTACCACTAAAAAGTTTATGGGCTGGATTCACCTTCAGTATGTACATGTCCTGATGTGGCAACTATCCAGATATCACATCTGATGTTAAGTCAAAGTGGTTGTATACATTTTGACGTTTTGGTTACTGTGGTCTACAGGGGGTTTCCTGGGTCCTCTTGCAACATTCCCCCCCCCCCAGAAAAAAAAAATTTGGTCGAAAACATTTACTGTGAGATTCTTTGATGCAGCTGTCAAGAAAATAGTCAGTCTTGACGTCTTGTGTGTTGGAGGTGACCTATCACAAGCTGGGTCGGTCAAGATTCATCACATAAGTATGCACTTCCCTGTTCAATTGTGACAGCTACACCAAATGATTTTTTTTTCTTTGAATTTTTTTTTTCGGGGGGGGGGGGGGGGAAAGTTGCAAGGGTTTATGGGTCTGCTGATTTGCTTTCATTCACCAGCTTCCAAACTCAACGCAAGTACACCACCGGGCCACATTTTCTGTGGGTGGGTGGTTCTGGAACCATCCTGGATGTACGACGATCCTCCAACCGCGATACAACCCATTGGTTGGAGGATGGTGTGGACCACAGTGGCTGAACGGCCATGTTGTATGACCATTTGTGCACTGTGGTCCACCCCATCCGCCCAGGTTGACTGAACGGTTGGGTTGGAGCGCGGTTGGCAGGACCGTTTGACTGTTGGTGGGTCGCTCCCTTGCCACCGACGTTGTCAACCCGATTTCGTTCACCCAACAGAACCTTCCACTGTTGGGTGAACGAAATCGGGAGCCTGGTCTGTTGGTTCTCCAAGAGATCACCGCAGGAGGGGATTGCAGCTTTAATGGCCGTTGGTGCCAGTGCGCACGCCTCAAATTTTTGCATAAAAGAATGAAGAGAAGTTGCTATTCCCGACAGGTTTTCTGGACAAGAACCAAAATGTCCGACAGTCGGTCAAAGAACAGATTCAAGAAACTATCAAATCAGACTCTGGGGATGTGTATGTTCAGCTTACTTGCATCCGGCTTGTTTTGTTGTCCAGTCGCTAAATCTTTTCGTTCCCCTTATATTCAAGATGCTTTTGAACATCGTTTCCAACAGTGTTTCCAAGTCGGCAAGTGGAGACGATCAGACCCTTTCAAAGCCCTATAATCCTGTAAGTTGATCCTAAGCAGTATCGCACTTCAAAGAAGACTTGCATGCTGATTGGGCACATCATCTGTTTGGGCAGCTCAATGGGGACCGATCAATAAAGGAAAATCTTCAACAAGCCATGGCCACCTCACCCAATCAATGTGCTGGAAACAGCACCAGATCAAGGATCGAGTGAGCATGAACCCCCTCTGTGATGCTTATGCAACACATAAAAGGCTCATCGAGTCCAAAAAACTCTCATTCTACTATTGTAACTCATACTGAAAATTGATATCGATAAGTACAAAAACTGATGATTTGAAAGTAGCTATAACTAAAAACACAATGATTGATTTGATCGATCAGATTGATAGATCGATCAAAAGTAAAGTGGATGCTCCGCATCCCAAAGCAAAAAAAAAAAAAAAAACGGAATAATCCGTCTGATTACATTGAATTCATCTTTCCGGATCAAATCCGTGAGATGAACGAGCTGTACGGAGTGCCAGAGGTAAGGTTGGATGTATCCACCGCCCACCAGATGGGCAACCCAGCTGGAAGACTTGCGGTTGGAGGAACGTTAGAGCATAAGGAAGTTATCGTTCCTCCAACCGTACTCGACGACCTTATCACGTTGTCAGACCGTCAGTCCCTCAGCAAAATCTCACGGTTGCACAACCCTTCAAACGAGGGTTGTGTAACCATTCGACTGGCCCGGTGGTGTAAGTCAGTCACCTAACATGGTTCGAGTCGAGCTTAACCAAGCCTCTCTATGGAGAGAGCCCCGCAGGGTCTCTGTCTCACAGAGAGGCTTGCCCCGAAGCCACGGATCCTGGCGTGGGTCCTGAGATAATCTGGAGGCCATAGCGTCTGTTTTTTATCAAAGACGAATTTCCGATCTGTTGAGAATTCATGTGGTTAAAATGGCTCGATGGCCCTAGAGCCTTACATCTTGCGCATTCAACAATGCATCCATCTTTGGCAAGGCCTCAAATTTGATTCCTCTATGGTCCAATGAAAACGACCAAGAGCTACAAAAGGCCCTCAGGTGTATGTATTTAAACATGTGTGGTGTTCCACGACGGCGTCTGGGTTCGCATGTGTACAGGAGTATGGAAATATTATTGGCAGCTTAGTAGATGTACTAATTGAGACTGAACTACCTGTGATGACGGCCCGTCCCGATCATATAACAGCATGAAATGGGTCATTTTGAATCAATAAAAGTGTTCAAATTGGTGGCATCTCTAACACATACGGCCAACCAGCAACACTTAACACATTTCAAGTCTAATATTCACCTCGGTCAATTGCACGGACATGCTTCGACGGGTTCCAGCTCCAGCTATCCGTGACCCACAAGGCTCAAATGTTAGAATAGTGATCTTGAAGAAAATTAGCGAGAGAAATGAAGAAGGATTGAAGGCCGCCATTTCAGCCTCTGCTCTTTTTCACTATCGGCAAGCTGCAAAATCTCAACAGATCGAGACCGTAGCTCACCTGGTGCGAGGGAGAAATACGTTTTTACTGGCCGGGACCGGATTTGGCAAATCTAGAATCCCAGAGATCTACCACAGACTACTCCCGAAAAGATCGAATGGAGTTATACTAGTTTTGAACCCCCTCGATGCGTTGGGTGACAATCAGGTGCTTGAAAAAGTGAAGGCCGGCTTCACTGCAATTAACTTGACACAACTGACTTTTAACGAGGAGGAGGCCAACAAAATCGTCGAAGGAGTCTATAACTTTGTTTACCTCAGTCCCGAAATATTCATGAATAGTAAGCTTTGGGATCAGGTTTATTACTGTCCAAATTTCCAAAAACGCTTGTCGCTTGTTGTTGTGGACGAGGCGCACATTATCTACCAGTGGGGTCTCATGGAAAGTAACGGTTCAAAGAACAAAAAAACCCTAATTGGAAAACTCGAGGACATCGGCATTTTTCGGCCTTCATACGGAAAACTTGGCGGGCGCTTGCTGACTCGAAACAACAAACCTATACTATTGATGTCGGCGACGTGTAGGCCGATTGCGATCGAAGAGATCAAGAAGAGTTTGAAAATGGCAGACCACAATGTCTCGATTGTGAGAGCTGAACTCACTCGGCCCGAATTGCACATCATCCGTCTACAAACTTCAAAATCGTTGGCTACGTGTAGTGATTTGATCGATCTCTTTCCTTGCCAATCAGATGTGCCCGATGCTTCTGTTGTACCTACCTTGATATATACTGGTACCCGAAACCGGACAATGGAGGTTATGAAAGCTCTAGATGTAGCACGGGGTACTCCTGGGCGATCGATGAGACCAAATTCGAATTTTGTGCGTCGATTCCATGCTTGCACTGGCGAAAAAGACAAAGTGAAAGTTGTTCAAGACTATGCCGATGGAGTCTTTCCGGCGATCTCTTGCACAATGGCGTTGGGGATGGGCCAAAATTGGTCTCGTGTGCGACGTGTTATCCAAATGGGCCGCGCAGATCCCTCTTCTATTTGCCAAATGATAGGACGATGCGGTCGTGATGGTCGTGCAGGTCTGGCTATAATATTGGTGGAAAAGACACGGAAAGGAGGCAAGAACTGCGTGGATGACTTTGATCAAAGCAAGAAGCAGGGTCACAACGATCGGATGGATGCGTTGGCTATCACACTGGTCTGCTTACGGATTGCATTTTCGATTGACAACATGTAAGACCTCTTTTTTGGGTAGTAGGGAGAATGTTGACCTTACATGTATCTGATGATGTGTTTGCATTGCAGGCTTGGGTACATACCTTTATCAGTTGAGGACCCTTCTTACATTGCAGAACAGGCACGCGAAAAGGCTGCTGGATTTGACATTTGTCACTGCTCGAACTGCATGCCCAACAGGGCTGAGGGGCTCATTCGAAATATCAAGATGATGAATGTTGCTAATATGGATGAATTTCTTCTGAAAGATTGGCCGGTTGAGTCCATTGGAAGACCAAAAACAACAAAAAGGAAGAATGCAGGAGGTGATGCAAACAGAACCCAAAAAAAACTCAAGCTCAGCAAGCCTCTGCAGGACCTTTTGTCATTGCAACTTACGACCGACTTTGCTTCACTATTCGATCACATTTACACAAAACCGATGCTTTTCACGGCCAGCGATTTGTTTGGGGAGAAAGAGATTCAAGCGATTATCAAAGACTTTGGGAAGTTGGATGGAATTTCATCTATTCGGAAGGTTATTGGAGGGCAGATGATCCCAGGCCAACTCGAAGTGCTACACAATAGCATTCTGTCGTTCACTCAAGGGGCATTCTTGGATGAAGAAAACTCTATACAAGATCGAGCAAATCGCCTCAAGGAACTGGAAGAACAGAAGGAACAGGAACGGGCGGAAGCACAGGCCCAGGAGGCGGAAAGGAAGCGGGAGGCGGCTAAAGTAGCAAAAGCAATCGAGGATCGCATTGCTGAAGTTGAGGCGGAAAAACAGGCGGCTCGAAAACAGGTTGAGGACGTATGGAAGGCTGAACAGGCCCTTCACATGGTCAAGCTGATCCGGTTGGCTGGTGAGAAGGCGGAGAGGGAAGGGTTGAAGAGTATTCACAGGGGTCGCTATATTGGTGGATCAGCCTGATCAATGTTGTTCATTGACTCGTCATTGTGGACATCTACAGCTTCTTCCATGTCGAATTCTTCTTCATTAATTGGTACATTGTCTAGATCGTCGTATATTGGAAGGTGGAATAAGAACCGAGCGACTTCAAGCTCTTTGCCGCTTATCTCAGCCTGTAAACATTTTATCCCTTCCAAGTATGTGTCAGGGATGGAAAGAGTAACTGTCTTATCTCGTTTCTTCCCATTGACGAGTAATATGTCATTTGACATTGCCATTTCGGCAAATCTCTCCAGTGTACGCATTTTCAGATCAGAGTTGTGACTCTGTTGGATATATTTTGCTCCACTCTCTAAGCGCAAGGAGTGAAACATAGTCCGGAGCTGTATTCAATCATGATTTCAGTGGTGATTTTTAACCATCAGTAGAGCCGAGTTGGGGAGGAGTTGGGACTCACCAAAGGGATGTTTGAGGAATACAAGTTCTTCAGCCTTTCAACCTGGGTGCCTGCTCCACCTCGGGTGTAGAAATATTTAAGCCAGTAGTTAAAGTTTTCAAGAAAGAAGTCCTTTGCGACAAAATGGTTTGGACGACCGCTGGGTGATACGAGAAGGGTATGCCAAATTAATTTTGCCAAGGATGATGGTAGAACCTTAGTGAGTAATAGGATCAGCCGCGGGAGGTATGCTGAGTAGTGGGTCAGACCAGGCAATGATTGGGTCATAAATGCCCACATCTTCCATATGTTGATTAATCGACCAATGTCACCTGCTTTCATAGCCCGATTGGCCTCAATAACTGTTGAGAAGTCTTGCAATCGGACCAAGAGATTGTTTAACTGTGGGAAGGATTTGGCCTTGCGACGTGCATCTGGAGAGCAAAAGCGATTGTAGCATGTCTCGACGATTCCATTCCATTCATCTGATGGGAGGACCTTCAGCTCTTCTTCAACCAAATCATTATCGGTTTCCATCACGGTCCTGTGAGATTGCAATCTGTTAGTCACAATAAATATGTATAATTGATCGGAGCTCAAATGGCATGGAGAATTACCGGATGCAGTGCCACAGGGTAGCTTCGTGCACTTGTTCCATGTGCTGTAGCATCTTGGTAAAGTCTTTCTTCTGTATTACCTTCTCTGGAGATACGCCGAGGGCTTCTAAAAATCTCCAAACTCCGAAATCATCCATCTTATTTGAGTTTCCGAAGTGATAAGTTAGGATCGTATAGGCGATATTCCATAGTGTGTGAGCTGCTCCAAGTGAGAAATTGACATTGTGTAAACTATGGTCACAATGCTCGCTTGGAATGCGAAGAGATCGAATAGCATTGAATATTTGACAGGTCCCCAGATCACCCTCCATCAGCTGTAACCTCCCAAAAAATTCCTCAGGTTCAAGACCAGATTGTCTCCGAAGTGCTTCCATGACTTGACCGATCCCCTCAGCAGAGTTGTCTGACTCGTCCATAAGTTTCAGCATGTGGATAGATGGAGCCTCGTGGCTGATCGGGTCAATCGGAGGTGGGTCTAGAGGTATGATTGCTTGCCTATCCGAAGGCTTGGCAACATACTTTAGCATCACTTGTGCAATCTGACTCTTCCAGACTGCCTTGTAATCGTCGTTTGGGGAGTCAGTTGGCATGAAAAATTCTGGATCGATTACCATTGAGCTAGCAGTTCTGAGCGAGTTGTGGTAAGCCTCAAGTGATAACTCGACAGGGTTGAGTGTGCTCCATAGATCTTTGCTAGGAATATGAATATACCCCCACGTTCCATGGAACATCCGGCTTTGGTGGCCTGAGGTCGACATTTGAACTCGTTCCTCCATATCCAGGTTATCAATACACAACAGAGGAGCAAAATCTTGTGTGAGTGCCATGGACTCCCGGACAGCGTCCTGTGCGTGACGGGCCAGAGAACGTAATGCTTGGATAGCTGTTTTCCGACTAGACGTGATCCCCATGTAGTGGAGGTGTTCATTGACCGTTTCAGAGACACCACACCCATCAAATCTGATAGAGTTTGTGAGTTGCATGCCGTTCTGGCGACGATTCCGAGCAAAGCAAACCATGGAGCACACCACTGCAGCAATCTTATACAATTTGGAGGAATTAAACGATCAATTCACATCATGTTTGTTGTCTCAAGATAACCTCCACCCAAAAAAAATGTGGACTTACATGCTGGAATCGGGAAAGGTTCTTGTTGTTGATGATATCACCGTTTGAATAACCAAAGCCTTCATAGTCAATCATATGCGCCTCCAAGTTGACACTGGTCATCCTCTTTCCCTGGGCTTGGGTATTTTCTGTTGCATCTTCAGGAAGTCGTTCTGCTGGGGTATTGTCAGGTGTTGGGTTGGATACGTCAATGTCAGGAGTTGAATCAGGAGTAGAATCCGAGTCACATTCTGGAGTCTGATCTGGGTATAATTCTGGAGTTGGAGTGGGGTCTAATTCGTCAGTGGTTGGATCCGGATCTTCTTCATTGCTTTGAGTCATTGTCCCCAATATAAGTTGATCGAGGAACGGTGTATCCACGGTAGTTAGCCTCGCAGTTCGTTCATCCTTTGCTGCCTCTGTAAAAAACTCCGGTCCAACTGTGCACGCGCTTTGGAATGATCCAGATGGATAAGATCCTCTTGGTGGTGATTGGCTATGAGATATGTTTATTGCCTGAATGGAAAGAGTGCCCTTTCAGCTTTGAGTCCAATTACTTGTTTCTTTAATACTAATTAATAAAGCAACACACACCTCGGTTAGGATGAACTTTTCCCATTGGGCCTTTGATTCCTCAGATTTATCGAATTGCCTGGCAATTGCCTCGACCAATTCTAGGGTGGATCTCCAGCCATAAGAAGTTGCCCAGGTACGACGGCGATACTTGAATTCTGTGTGAGATTTGGTTAGCAGGCCCATCACAAATTCTTTTGGTGTCATGTGGAGTCGGGTCAGTTCGTTGCAAATATGCAGTATTTTCTCTTGGTCGGATTTCCGATTGGTCCCATCTAAATTGATGTCCATATTTGAATTTGTTGAGCTTCCGGTCAGGAATTAGGGGGAGAATGGTTGGCAATTGGTACACTTTGAAAAATTTAGCCAATTGTGATGTTGAGTGATATGCTCAATTGTCACCCGGTGATGTATGATAGTAAATGTATGGGATGATTTATGGAAATGAATAATGATGCTTTTAGAAGAAGTCGGGCATTGTAATATGCACTTAATTTGTACGTTCTGCATGGAATGGAATTACTTAACACCATACTCAGCTATGAAAAATCTTCAAAATCAAAAGTTTCAACCTCATCACTTGGGAGATGTGAGGAGCAATACACCTGCATTATATGTAATCCTAACAGCCAGAAGCAGGCAATCATTCCAGTCCAAAGGCAGAGCATTTCGCCCAACAGGCACCTGGGGAGCAGAGGTCTAAGATTGGTCACCACCAAAAGTGTGAACTAGGCCACCAGGATCCACACCAAAAAATTTGTTTTGCGCCCAAGTCCCTTCCTGCGGTCGGCGCAATGCGACATATCCGAGGCCACTCCAGCCTAGGAACCCCGCAGGGACTCTTGGGACTTGTCTTAAGTTCGGGTTCGAGTTGGCGAAGTTCGCCATCTTGACACTTGGAATACGAATCTTATCCTGGAGACAATTGACCACTTCTTTGACACAATTGCATCATGTCCTCTGGGATGGTTGAGAGCAACCAATACATCAATACCAACTGGCGACATCAGACTAACAAGTTTGCATGCGAGTCTTTGCAATGCATGTCGCTCTGTCCAGACTTCAAGAAACAGTTTGATGAGCTTCCCCTTGAGGCGCGCTCACCTTGAGGCTCCCGGTAAGGCTGATGGAGGGTATAAAAGACCAGTGAAAGTGCCTACTTCCTTCCTCTCACCAGCCTATCGCAACCCACAGTCCCAATAAGTATTCATAACTCCAATCTCCTCGAAATACTCTGTAAACAACCCCAAAAACAATACAAGATGTATATCCCATTCATGTTCCTTTTGGCCTCCTTGATGGTCTTTCGACCTACTGCTGTCTCGGCCTCCCCACAGTGCAAGCCAGACCCACGCTGTCCCGATTGCGATCACACATGCTAAATTAAGTTGTGGAATAGAAGTTGACGAGTGGAGACAACGGAATCGGTCAGTACCCACCAGTCATCACATCTCAAATCTTCTCTTGGTGTATACAAAACTGACTCGAAGGCCTCCGTCGTACTTCGATTTCTTAGAATTTGCGAACTTCTCGGACCCGAACGGCGGAGGCTCCCATCAACTCGGCCAACACTTTCCACCTACCGGACGAAAAACGAGGACAACGATTCGCCAATTCTTACCTCTTTATTTATTTATCTTCCCCTTCGCCTTTTTTCTATACCTATTTCAGATCAAGCACCCCAAGTTACCATGCTGTAGTCCTCAGATCCTTGTCGAGTTTCTGCCACAAATATAAACTCTCCTTATTTCCGACTCAGTTTTGCCCATCTTAGTTATCGCTATAAATTTAGTTCCGCAATAGATTCCCTGGTGATTGCTGCATGCGCAGGCTGTTCTTAAGCACAAGGAGAACAGTTGAATTTGATGAGCAGAAGGATTTATGCTTGAAACGCATACATCCAGAAAACAGATGGCGGCTTTGGCTTATTTCTGCTTGTAAGCCGAGTTCGTTGTACTCGGCTTATGAATCAATCCAAGTGAGCTCTGATTGGCCATAAGCCGAGGTGAACTGTGACGTCATTTCTCGATGGGCCAGTTGCTCGTTGTGAATGAATATTTCCGAGTAATCGAAGAAACGGTCAACAAGGAGTAGAGCTGTATCAAGCACTTCAGCTTGCTCCCAAGGATACAACATAGAAAAAGGTACCTCCCAGCGCTGCTTCTCGTCAAGCTATCATTTGCACAATAGTATATGGCGACCAAATGTTATCGCGCGCTGTGAGCAAAAGTGTGATCCCACTCTCGCAGCCGGGAGTTGCTCTAACCAGGGTCACAGGGCTTTGTAACTCATTTTTCAGGCCCTGTGTAGGGCCCGGAATCTGAGGCCCGAGGTGGACTGAGCATATGAACGCGTTGTGGCCCGGAAACCACCCCTGGTTTGAATGTTCTCAATGGCCATACATATCCAGAAAAACCTCATCCACTTCAACACCTTGAAGAACTTGTACATAATATTACAAAATCCTTGGAATACCTTCGAATCCGTCAAGCCACTGCTAGCCTTCCTTGAACATGAGCGAGAAAGATGTGCATCCACCTAGTCAAAATATGACTTTTAATGGTTCGTTGCTCTCGATTCATCGTCGATTTTACAAATGTTACTTGACTATCAATGACACGATGTTGACGATAACCAGCTCATCATTCTCGGAGAAAATCTACTTGTTTTTGAACGATCTGAATTAGAAACCCTGCGACTGATAGGCGAATTTCGTAAGCTCGCTTTGATGGAAAAGCATTACCGAGGCGGAGGAGACTTATCCTCGTTTCTTCTTTCTGAAAAACGATAGTGGAGGTAGCTTTCAACCAGATTTTGTACCTCCGCAATGTTTATCCTGCAGGTGCGATACGTTCAGATATTGAACCCGAGTAACTCTTCAAAAATGCCAACCTATACTTTTAAATGCCTTCAATATCCTAATCGGAATCGTTTTTGAAACTGCAAATGTTGTTAGATTTATTTGAACAGAGGAAGAAGTTTAACGTTGAAGTCATGGCTTCTCGTCATCCAGTCTTGACATCGTACATCGGTGAAGTTATCTCCCAATCTATGGAAGAAGTCGTCAAAGTGAGCAACGGATTTTGTTTTCCCCCAATCGGACTGAATTTTCGGTAAAAACTAATCAAATAACCTAATGATTTGAAGGGATTGGCCAAGAAGCTAATTTTAGCTGTACAGGATAATTCAGTCATGCCACACAGGCCACGAGAACACTTTGTTTTTAACTTGCAATACTTGGTCGATCCCATTACAACATTCGAAAATGAAGCTGATCGGGACATTAGGTAAGCCTGAATGTTTTACTGCCTTGGTCTACATATTCACAAAGAAAGGGAAAAAAGTTATCAATTCTGGTATTGTTTATGGCCTCCCAGACCAATCGCAGCGTATGGTAGTAAAGCAGATGCTGAACTGCACATCCGGGCTTTCTTAATCAAACTCAATTCATGTAATGCTCATCTAGGCGATCCTATAAAACAAGGTATATCCATCATAGCACCCCAACCGCTTCGTTGGTTTTCATTTCCTCGTGTTGCACAAGCCACTCAACCACTCTTGTTTCCCTACCCCCAAAACTACATGAACAGACTTGACATGGACAACGTTTCTAGAGCTCAATGACACAACCAAAGAGCCTCTGTCCGAACACAGTAAGAAAAATGTCAGTTAATCGTTCAGAAGCAAAGTTTTAAATACCTCATTGAATCGAGGACCTCTGTTTTTCCTTACAATGCAAAAAGGATCGCCCACCTCAATGGATTCCTTGCGACAACCCCGCTGTGTCACGCCAGGAGGACCAGACCGACTTTCCAACCACATCGTTACCAGCAGCAGCACCCTCGAAACGTCTGATTCCTCTCAAAAGTCAAGGCTTGGGAATGATACAGGTACGATCTTTCTTGCTTTTCTTTTCTTCATGGGATATGATGAATTGCACATTTGCTGAAATTTCCTTTTGTTCCAGCTTCAAATGATGATCATTCAGCATAACGAGAAGAATGATCATGAGCAAACTGTCGCTACACCACACTAGGAAATATTGAAATGGTAGGTAAATATGCAATGTATTCGATGTGATGATAATGTATCAAGAAAACGCATATGCATAAAATATGAAGTTGTTGCGCTTTTCTAGCATTATACTAGTAAATTCCCGCACAAAGTGTCACTTCCAATCACACAAATCAATTATCATACATAAAAAGCAAAGCAAAAGGAAACCAGTCAATAAAGAAAGAGTGATGTTGCTCATTTTTTATTTTAGCAAGTTTTTCTGTTGTTGTGTTCAAATTTTCAATGATAACTGGTATGTATCAATCAAACCCACCCAAGATTCCAAAACAAAACCCTGGTATAGAGAGGCAGTCCGGTAGGGACGCCCCAGGAGAGGCTTTGCTAATCTAGCATCTCAATCACTTTTGCGATTTTGCGGGTGAGAAAAATTTAATTGTGAGTTTTTATCCGCAAGCGCCAGAAAAAAAAAATTGAGCGGAGTAGCAGGCAGAGGATATGAAACTACTGAATTTATTCAATTGAGGAGGCTCATATCACCTGTTTACTTGGTGAAGAACCATGCTAGAGGCACGAGTAGCTGGGTAGGGTTGGCCTGTGATCACAGCTGGGGAAGGTAATTTTGATGACTGAGACCACTTCCATAGCCATGTTCACACCGGTGTCACACCTCCAAGGCTAACTCTGATTACACCTCTGAGATCCATGATATCAAACTCTTCAGGAGAAGAAATTCACTTCAAGAACTGTTCTCCTGAAGAAAAAAGACATTTGGAAAGGTATTGTTGTATGCAAATTCATTTGCATATCAATCTTAATTTATTAGGAAAGGTAGAAGAGTTGGATATAAGGAGCAAGGAGAGAATGAGCAGAGAGACCCTGTTTGACAACTTTGTAGACAATTCCTAATGTTTTTTTCACCAAGTTTATGATCTCTTATCTTATGTTTGCAGCACCCAAGGATGATATAACAGCAAATAAGTACACAAAAAATGCTCCAACAAAAGCCCATGCATTATCAGGTACATTAGAAGGTACGGGACGTCCACCCATAAACAGAAGACATATGGCAGCAGGGAATGCAGCTGCGAAGAAAAAACGGCCAACTTGTCTCCGATTTTCATGCTGAACTTGGCCAGTGGGTTGATAGATTGGATATGCTTGTGTTGAAACAGTCCCGACCCTGGTATTAGCATCAAAGGTTTGTGAATGGAACGGGTTTTGTGATTCAGGATGATTGCTCGATCTGCCTGGATTTTCTGTAGTACCACCGGCGGGTTGTTCAACATGAACGTGTACCTCGTTGCTCAATGCCTCATTTGGGGCCCCTCGTGGATGCATCAATTCATTTGTATTTGCTGGAAAGCGTCCTGCATTGGCTTCTTGGCTTGCAGCTCTTCCGGCTAACTCTTGCTCCATGGGTATCGCAAAAGTCGGCCCAGTGATGGCAAACGTCTATGCAAATAAATCGGGTTAAATTTTTCTCATTAATTCGAGAATTTCCAACGACGAAAGCAGTGAAGAAAACTCAACTATGACGAGCAGTTGCTTGAGGAACATGTCAACCTTGTGTCCTAATGCTGAAAGAAGCACAAGAAATTGTGGTGTTATATCAAAGATGGTTATCAGAGAAGAATGAGCCTGATGATCGAGGTCCCGAAAAACGGTTTGCGGGGTGGCAAATTCATCAGCCTGGCGAAACTGCGTAAGTTTCAGATATGGGATATCACAAACTTGAGCTATGGGGCGGATCGGCTCACTCGCGCTCACAGGGGTCAGTAACATTTTTGGGCGGAGACATTCCGATTACAGTTCAGGATTGGGTGGCTTGATGTCTTTGAGAAATATCCGATCAGGGTATATTTATTTGAATGGAAATTATAATTAGGTTTGGAGAAATCAAATCTTCTTCAATAGAATGGAGGAATGACTAGAGAGAGAGAAAACAGAATGAAGACGAGAGAAAGACTGAAGCAGAAAACAGAGGGCAGAATTCAAGAAAACAAAACAGAAACTGACACTGGAAACTGATACTAGAATGGAGGAAAGAGAAGAGAGAAGGAACAGAGAAAACAACAAAACAGAAACGGATAGCTTGATAGATTAAAAGGAATGACGGAGACGGATTAGCTGCTACGCAGAAAAAAAAACAGGCGGTAGATGTTTGTTGAATTGATGTGGATTTGAATTGATGTGGATGTATTTCAGAAACAGATAAACTTCTTTTCTGCATGGAAATCATGTGATTCATGTTCCATCACAGTAGATTCGAGGAAGTTGTTTTGAATTTCCCGGTTGAATAGTTAGACCGGGGGAATGGCAGACCGATCCTTGAAAGGAAAGCTGGAACGACTTCCGAGAATGGTGGATCAGAGCGCGGATGCAAAGATCACGTCTGGAGGTGAGGCTCTGGTCCGGGAGTGATTTTTTTGGGGCCCCTAGACGTGCTTGATTGTTTTAACGGTATCGCCACCAGTTTTTGATCAATTGAGCTATGGGCAACCGGCGAGGGGTGTAAAGGTGAGCGGGGATGAATTCATCAAATGAGATCGAAGTTTCTGAGCAATCGTTCCAATAATCTTCAGTTGAGGAAGAAGATTGGTGTCCACTAGAGGATAGGGAAGATAGACTGTCATTGCTGTCTATTGGTTCAGAGTCCAACAGAAGGTATATGCCTAGCTCGACCTTTGCGTGTCGGTAGAGATTCCTTTGAATTATTGACTTGACTGCGATTGGTTGAGCAACTGAAGGCTCGAGTGGTGTGGGGTTTGATCCAAGGAACAAAAGTTCGACCTTTGCGTGTCGGTAGAGGTTCCTTTGAATAATTGAATTGACTGAGATTGGTTGAGCAACTGAAGGCTCGAGTGGTAGTGAAAGGAGTAGGAAGTTTGATCCAAGAAACAGCATCTTGTGGTATTCACGGGTATGAATCTGTTGAAAAAACAATAAGGAATTCAGTAAAAAAAAACAAAAAAGGAACACTGGGTCATTTTAAAGCGAAGCCGAGACTTACGCGATTGATTTGTTTAAACGGTAGAGATAAGAGAGTCTCTTGTAGAAACCCTTGTTTTTTTATGAGAATTATTCAAGTGAAGAATTAGGATGTTTTTGAAATGTTTTTCTGGACTCAAGGTAGTTTTGAACGCTGGTAATGATATCGGATGAATGATAAGGAAAGGGAAAAGACGAGGACCAGAGTCCTTCTTTTATAGAGATCCAAAGACAAGCAAGATGGCTGGCCTCACCAAGAAGAAAGGATGAATTTTCATCACAGCCATCTCCCACATGTTGAAACCGACCAGAACTTGCCCGGATGGTGGGACGGATTGTGATTCAGACTACTGGAATACCAGCCCCTCCGTGGCTTTGACGCTTTTTTACGCCGAGCTCACGGAATTTCCAAGCGCGCCCACCCGAAAATAGTTAAGTTCCGTGGTGGTTGGTCCTTGGATCTAACCCAGGCGATTGATGTGATTGGTTGGCAGATGCTAGTAGAAGACGCGCCGGAAAATGTAGCGCCGGGTGGGGAGACGCGTCCAGAGTTAAAGGTCCATGCCCTAGTTGGGTAAATACTTGAAAAATATTGGTGTAAGCACGAGTAGCTGGGTAGAGTTGATCCGTGATTACGGCTGGGGGAGGTGATTTTGATGACTGCACTAGTGAGACCGCATGGAATTTTGCGGGCGCGGGTATCCTTTTATCAGGCAGGTGATGGCATCGTGTCTCCTGCACCACATGGGACAGACATTCTTGTCGCGCGTTCGTGCGATGAATGTTGACTAGGCGTTTTCTTACATCTTGCAATTATAAAAAATTAAAGATACTAGTACTACGAATACAGCTATGTGCTTAGTGAATACAGAAACTTTGGAGACATGTCTTTGAAAAGGTCTATCTTCCCAGTTGCCAATTGGAGAGGAATAAAATTAGTTTTGGAACGACGTTATGTGGGGGTATCAGTTTTCGGATGATGTTATGTGGGGGTTGAAGAGTCTGTGGCTGCGCTTGACCCAATTACCAGCTCATGGCTAATCAATAAATGCAGATTATTGAAGGCAGGACACGCTTTTGCGCCAAGGCTTCTTCTCACAGCTCCCTTCTGCTCTCTGGAAGACATCTGGTCAAGTGTATTTTGAGCTCAATCAACTTTGGATGTGCTATTTTTGTGTGAAATGGCTGGATTTTAACTTGTACCTTCTCTCCTCTTGTGGTGGCCTGTCTGTCTTGAAATCAATTAAGCTTTGGAAATCGATTCTTTTTGAGCTTTTTGTTAACTGGATGTTTTTTATTGGGTTTACAGAAATCTTGAATAACAAGGAGTATTGGCTAGAGATACAGAAAACAGAATGACAAAGAGAGAAAGACTCAAACAGGAAACGAAATGAACTCAGAGAGAAGATAACACAACAGGAACTGATACTGGAATGAAGAAAAGAGAAGAAAGCAAGACTAGAGAAGACACTATAGTAGAGACACAGATAGAAAAATAGATTATGAGTGATGAAAGATACGGTTTTGAGAAGAAAATTCTCCGCATAAAGAAACAAACAGATGGTAGAATTTTTTCTAATTGACTGTGATGTTTGTGCTTCAGAAACAGATAAGCAGATTTTCCGAAGGGAGAGTTGATGATTTATGTATCGGAATTTGGATTAAAGCAAATTCCAAGGCACTGGAGCCGATCTTCCTGCACCTTGTGTGTTGTTCAATATTTGCCCGTTGAATGATAATATGCACCGTTGGAGGGACAGGATAATATGCGCTGTTGAAGTGAAAGTCCAATCCTTGAAAGGTGACCAAACTTCCGGGAATTCTGGATCGGAGCGCGGATGCAAAGATCACATCTGGAGGTGAAACTCTGGTCCGGGAGTGATTTTTTTTTTTTTGCCCCTAGACGTGCTTGATTGTTTTAACGGTACCGCCACCAGTTTTTGATCAATTGAGTTATGGGCAACCGCCGAGGGGTGTAAAGGTGAGCGGGAATGAATTCATCAAATGAGATCGAAGTTTCTGAGCAATCGTTCCAATAATCTTCAGTTGAGGAAGAAGATTGGTGTCCAGTAGAGGATAGGGAAGATAGATTGTCATTGCTCTCTGCTGGTTCGGAGTCCAACAGAAGGTATATGCCTAGCTCGACCTTTGCGTGCCGATAGAGATTCCGTTGGATAATTGACTTGACTGCGATCGGTTGAGCAACTGATGGCTCGAGAGGTGTTGGAAGGAGTCTGTAGTTTGATCCGAGGAACAACATTTTTAGGTATTAACGGGTATGAATCTATTGAGAATCAAATCAGCAAATTAGTCAAAATGGACAAGCTAAGATCATTGTTTATCAATTTAAAGCAATTTTAGGGACTCACCTGAAATTTTTGAACGGTAATGCTAAGAATCTCAAGATTATCCTATAGGAACCGTTGGTTTGTGTGAGAATCAGTCGGTTGAAGAGGGATGATGATTATAAAATGTTTTTCTGGACTGAAGGTAGTTTTGAAAGCTGGTAATGATAGCGGATGAAGGACAAGGGAAAGGGAAAGACGAGCACTGGAGGCCATCTTTTATAGGAGTCTGAAGGCTGGAAAGATGGCTGGTCCAACAGAGAAGAAAATCTGGATTTTCATCACAGCCATCCCACACATATTGAAAGCGACCAGAAATTGCCGGGATGGCGGGGCATATTTCAACTCAGACTGCTGGAATACCAGCCCACCTTCAATATGGCTTTGACACTTTTTTACGCCGAGCTCACGGAATTTCCAAGCGCGAGGACCCGATAATAGCCCATTCCTTGGTCTTTGGCTCTTGGATCTAACCCAGGCGAATGACTTGATTGGTCGGCGGATGCTATTAGAAGGCGCGTCGCCAAATGTAACGCGCCGACGCGTTCAAAGTTACTAAACAAGCCATCTGGTCTCGCAGAAGTGGCGGATTACGGTCCATTCCCCTAGCTGGGTATATAGAGTTGGCCCGTGGTCACAACTGGAGAAGATGATCTTGATGACAGCAATGGTGAGAGCAAAATAAATTATTCGGGTGCAGACATTCTTTTTATCGGCCAGCTGATGGCATCTGGTCTTCCTACACCACTTCTGGCACCTATTCTTGTCGCCCTTGTGCGTTGAATGTTGGGTAAGAATTTTCTTTCATAAAAACTGGAACATACCGAATCGACTGGGTGCTTGGATCCCCCGATAGATAAGAACAACTGAGATAGTAAACTGAATACAGCGATTCTAGAATTCCTCTTTCGAGGCTTTCCATTCCCTATTCGCGCGAGATCGATAGGAATACATGAGCTTTGGGATGAGGTTTTGGGGGTTGAAGAGCCTGGGGCTGCGCTTGACTCAAAAACCTACTAGTACTCATGACTGGTCGAAAAATGCAGATTATACAACATGGGACACGCCTGTGCACCAAGGCTTCCTATCACGCAAAAAGACTGAATTATAACTCCAATTCTATATTCATGAAGGGCTCTGGCGGTCTATTTTAAGTCCGATCAACTTTTGGTCGCTAAATTTCTGAACAAAATAGCTTGATTTCGACTCGCCCACTGTCTCCTGATAACCTCTCATGGGGTTCTATCTTGAGCCTGACCAAGCTTGGGTCACAGATACTATTTGTGATCCTGTGGATCAGGATAATGAATGGCATATTTTGTTAAATAAAAGTTATAATTAGGTTTGCGGACATCGAAGCTTCTTGAATAACATGGAGGAATGACGAGAGAGAGAGAGAAAACAGAATGACGACGAGAGAAAGACTGAAACAGGAAACAGAATAAAAACAGAGAGACAAAAACATAACCGAAACAGATACTGGGATAGAGGAAAAGAGGAAAGAAGAGGTAGAAAACACTCCAACAGACACAGATAAAACAGTAGAATAGGAGTGATTAAAGAGAGGGATTGACGATCTAAACTCGCTTCAAAGAAAGAGGACAGATGATTGATTTTTGCTTGATTTTTGAAGATAACTGATTTTCCCAATGGAAAGCATCACAATTTTTGACTCCGAATTTGCATCGAAAGTAATTCAAGAGAGTGGTCCAGATTTTTTTTCTAAATCCGCGTGAGGTGACAGACCAATTGTTATTGAAAGGAAAGCTGCCAAGACTTTGAAGGATTCTGCATCAGAGCGCGGAGGCAAGATGATCAGATCTAGTCAGGTGCTGGTCCTGGAGTGATTTTATATGGAGACCAAGGCGTTCTTGATTTATTTAACTGTATCGCCACCAGTTTTTGATCAATTGAGTGATAGGCAACCGGCGAGGGGTGTAAAGGTGAGCGGGGATCAATTCATCGAATGAGATTGAAGTTTCTGAGCAATCGTTCCAGTAGTCCTCAGTTGAGGAAGAGAAATGGTGTCCAGTGGAGGATAGGGTTTTCTCTGTTGGTTCAGAGTCCAACAAAAGGTATATGCCCAGCTCGACCTTTGCGTGTCGGTAGAGATTCCTTTGGATGATTGACTTGACTGCGATTGGTTGAGCAACTGAAGGCTCGAGTGGTAGTGAAAGGAGTAGGGAGTTTGATCCAAGGAACAACATCTTGTTGTATTCAAGGGTATGAATCTGTTAAAAAACATTAAGGAAATCAGTAAAAAAACAAAAAAAGAACACTGGGTCATTTGAAAGCGACGCCAAGACTCACGTGATGATTTGTTTAAACGGTAAAGATAAGAGAGTCTCTTGTAGAAACCGTTGGTTTTTTATGAGAATTATTCAAGTGAAGAGTGAGGATGATTTTGAAATGTTTTTCTGGACTGAAGGTAGTTTTGAAAGCTGGTAAAGATAGCGGATAAAGGAAAAGGAAAGGGGAAAGCCAAGGACGGGTCCTTCTTTTATAGGAATATGAAGACAACCAAGATGGCTGGCCTCACCGAGAAGAAATGCTGAACTTTCATCACAGCCATCTCCCACATGTTGAAACGGACCAGAACTTGCCCGGATGGTGAGACGGATTTCGCTTCGGACTGCTGAAATACCAGCCCCTCCATGGCTTTGACGTTTTTTTTTGCGCTCAGATCACGGAATTTCTCAGCGCGCCCACCCGACAATAGCCCATTTTATTGGTTTCGGCTCTTGGATCTAACCCAGGCAATTGATATGATTGGTTGACACATGCTATTAGGAGACGCGTCGGCAAATGTCGCGCCGGATGGAGAGACGCGTCCAAAGTTCAAGGTCCATGCCCCAGTTGAGAAGCCAATGGAAACAAATTGGTATAAGCACAAGTGGCTGGGTAGAGCTGGCCTACGATCGGGGAGGGTCGTTTTGATGACCGCAATGGTGAGACCACAATACATTCCTGGGGTGTAGAAATTCTTTTTATGAGGCAGGTGAGGGCATCCGGTCTTCTCACATCCCATGGGGCTGTTGCATAGTCGTGCGTTGAATGTTGACCAAGCGTTTTCTCACATGTTGCAATCATCAAGACTGAAAAATGTGCAAACGGCTCGTCGAATTGGACCGGAATAAATCGGTTTTGGAATGATGTTATGAGGAAGTTGCAGAGTCTGCGGCTTCGCTGGAAATACATGACTGATCGGAAAATTAGGTTATTGAAGGTAGGACACGCCTGTGCACCAAGGCCTCCCCTCAAAACTTCCCCCTTCTCCCTTGAAGGCCTCCGGTAGGGATCTATTTTGACTCCGATCAACTAAGGCCAACTGATACTATTTTTGCGTCAAATGGCTGGATTATAACTTGCCCCTTCTCTCCTGAACGCATCTTGTGGGGGTATATCTTGAGTTCTATCAGACATGGAAACTGAGTCTGCTCTTAATCATTTGGATCAAGGGATTGAATTACATATTTTGTTGAATGAATGTTTTGATGATGGTTGCAGAAATTAGAGCTGATTGTATAACATGGACGAAAGAATAGAGAGAGAAAATAGAGTGACAAAGAGCGAAAGACTGGAACAGAAAACAAAATGAAATCGGATAGAAGAAGACAAAACAGAAACTGATATTGGAATGAGAAAACAGAAGAGAGAAAGACTAGAGAAAACACGATAGCAGACACAGATATATCAATAGATTGAGAGTGATGACTGAGACGGATTGAGGAGCTGAACTTGATCCAAAGAAGGAACACAGATGACCAATTTTTGTTGAATTGATACAGATAACGGATTTTTTTTTCCAATGTAAATGGAAAGCTGAAGGGAGTGTCCCGGATTTGCCTGCCCCTTGCGTGTTGTCAAATAATTCCCCGTTGGATGATAATATGCGATATTGGAGGAAGGATAATATGCGCTGATGAAGTGACAATCCAATCCTTGAAAGGAGACCAAACTTCCTCGAGATCTGTATCGGAGCGGGCTGGAAAAGAGCAGATCTGGGGTAGAGGCGCTGCTCCGGGATGGGTTTTCCGTAAACCAAGGCGTGCTTGATTTATTTAACGGTACCGCCACCAGTTTTTGATCAATTGAGTTATGGGCAACCGCCGAGGGGTGTAAAGATGAGCGGGGATGAATTCATCGAATGAGATTGAAGTTTCTGAGCAATCGTTCCAATACTCTTCAGTTGAGGAAGAAGGTTGGTGTCCAGTAGAGGATAGGGAAGATAGATTGTCATTTCTCTGTGTTGGTTCAGAGTCCAACAGAAGGTATATGCCTAGCTCGACCTTTGCGTGCCGGTAGAGATTCCTTTGAATTATTGACTTGACTGCGATTGGTTGAGCAACTGAAGGCTCGAGTGGTGTTGGGATTAATCCAAGGAACAACATGGTCAGGTATTCAGGGGTATGAATCTATCAATAGTTGAACAAGAAAATCAGTAAAGAAACACCACCACACAACACGTCACTGGGTAATTTCAAAGCGATTCTTGTGACTCACTTGATTGATTTTTTTAAATGGGAAAGCTAAGAAGCTTGAGAGTCTCTTATCGAAACAGTTTGTTGTTGGGAGAATAGAGTAGGAATGGTCTGATTGTTTTTTTCTGGGCTGAAGGTAGTTTTTGAAAGCTGGTAATGATAGCGGATGAAGGATAAGGAAAGGAGCACGACGAGGACCGGAGGCCTTCTTTTATAGGAGTCTGAAGCCAACAAGATGGCTGGCCCCACCGAGCAGAAATTCTGTGTTTTCATCATAGCCGTGGCACACATAACGAAACCGACCAGAGCCTGCCGAGATGGTAGGATATATTTCGACTCGGACTGATGGAATACCAGCCCCGGCCCGCCCCCATGGCTTTGACTCTCTTTTGCGCCGAGCTGATCACGGAATTTATCAGGGCGCCCACCCGATAATAGCTCGTTTCTTTGGTCTTTGGTTTTTGCATCTAACCCAGGCGGATCTTGCTTGATTGGCGGATCCTATCAGAAGACGCGCCGGCAAGTGTAATGCGCCGGGCGGGGAGACGCGTCCAACGTGCCTGAAAAAAGCTAGCCTCACAAAATTCAATAGTGGATTTCGGCGCATGCCCAGTCAAACCTTGGTATAGGTGCAAGTGGTTAGCTGGGTAGAGTTGGTCCGTGATTACCGCTGGGGAAGGTGATTTGGAGGAGCGGGAGCCGGGATCACCCGGCCGTGATTACATACATTCTGTATTTGAGACTGCTTCCGATGACACCTCCATCAATATGACCCTACGCAACATTCCGCACCCCACAGCAGAACATAGCCGTCAAATTAAATGCTGCTCTTACTGAAATCCAATCCCATCAGCTCGGTTTGTTTTTCACATTGCAGCCCTCCACATCCAAGTATTTTAATTGACTTGATTGTCGATTTTCCAAGTTGTGCGATGCTTGTTGTGTGGAAGGACTGGGTGGGAGGGGGGCTTGAGTGGCTGTATGCTGCGGTTTGATTAGATAATCCGATTCAAGTGCCTTTCACTCTTGGGGCCAATTTTGGTTTCCTACGATTTCGCTATTTCTTTTCGACACATTTGATTTCTGCGATGTTCAACTCCCAACTCAACAAACTAACGACCAAGCTGAATCAGAACTCACCATCTATCGCCCGTCAATCGACCACCAAGAGTACGAGCACCACCAGGCAGCTGATGAAGAAACCTTGCCGAGCACGAGATCCGCTGAACCCTCTACTCGACCAGTTCATTATCGGAAACATTCAATCCGGCGATCAGCACCCTCAGTCGAGTCCTCCTCCTCACGATCCCGTCTCGGGTACCTTATCTGAATTCGAAAGGTCCAAGAAAATCTATTCAAGCTCTCAAGCGATGGATAGAAGCATCCAGAAACTCATCAAAATCAACACACTTTCCACTCCACTACAACCTCAACCATCAACCTCGAAAATATCCCTCGATCATCATCCACCCTCCCCACCTCTTGACCCTACCTTCCGCTCCCTCGAATCCGCCTTCCAATGGACCCAGATTTATATCCGCTTCTTGAGATCTTCACCCAGCCCAGAAGTCTTCGCCAGAAGGATCAAAGAGCTCATCCACAAGCGACTGCCCAAGCGACTTATCGAGCCGATCGTCAGGCTTCATAGCTCAGAAAAAGAGCTAGTTTCTGTTGAATCTTACAATCATTTGATCGCCTATTACTACCAATCAGAAAGATACCATCAAGCTCGAAGATTGATCAAGGAGATGGAAGAACGGGGGATCTCAAAGAACCAAGAAACTCAAGAGTTGATTGCATGTTCCTATCAAGCATTGAATAAATTCAAAGGGGTTCAGTTGACGTTAGATGCGATTAAAGCTGAAGGTCACCAAGTAAGCCATCAATGTTTGACAAGGCTGTTCTCAATCCGTCCAAGAAGGCCATCTAAACTTGAACATTTCGATTCGATGGACGATCCCGTCCCTTCTACATCTGACCATCCTCCCGTCAAACCATCCTCAAGGAAGAACTCACCAGCCAGCACAGAAGACCAAAGCTGGATGCCGATCGAAGAGTTCCTGAAACACCATCGCTGGGATTCTGAGAACTTTAGGAAGGACGGTCGAGCACTGGTGACCCTCACCAAGCGACTGATGGAGCTCGGCAGATGGAAAGAAGCAAGGGAGTTCGTCGAGGTCATCCTCACCCTCGATCTCAAAAGGAGTACGGCCGAGAATTCTCGTCTGGAAATCACTCCATATTGGGCTACCAGTCTATTAGAGGCACTAGTGTTTGGAATATACAACCTCAAGCGACAACAATCTAATGGGGACTCTAAATCGACTTCGGATCGGTTACCAGTCGATTGCATCTTCCGATTCGTCGAGCGCTTCCTCGATCAGCATCCGGAACACCAGATCAAAGCCAATACTCGAATCTTATTGAACTGTCTGAGGGTTCAGACCTTCCTCCCGCCCTCTGAAATCCACAGGATATCGACGATCTGGACCAGCCGATACGGATTGGAGCCAAAGCTGATGGGCTCGAGACTAGGCATCCGCTTCTTGCACGTCATCTCCGCCTGGTTTCTTCGGCTCCTCAGATCCACCCAAGCGCACATCTCCAATCTTGATCGATCCGCTCCTCCAAGCTCATTGAACAAAGAAATCCAAGAAGAATTGAATGAATTAATCAAAGAGTACCTGGTAATCGACGAACACTTGATTGAATGTTTAAACCTGAGATCGTCTCCTCAGTCAGGAAAGCAAGGAAGCAGGTCGAGGGGAGAAGAGCTGCTCATCGAAAGATTGATCTTGAATGGTCCGGTGGACGGGAAATTGGTCCGAACGAAGTACAGATTCATCAGTCTTCAAGACCTCGAATCGATCAAGTCTAGTCTCAAGAAGATCTTCAAGATTCGGACGAAGATCATCAAGCTCATGAGTCTCACCTTCCGAGCCAGCGTCGATCCATCCTCCTCTCAACCAACCGCGCAAAGCTTCACCAACCCGACCGATCTGATTGAATTCTATGGTCCCATGCTTGGTGACGATGGACGACTGTCGAAGTTTTTGAGTAATCCTGGTCATGATAGCCGCGATGATGGTGACGATCAAGGCCCGACTCCATTCAGCCAGAAGTTTGGTTCGCTAATCCACCAGCTCAAAACCCAACTACAGCCCAACACACCTCCAGACCATCCACATCAACTCACCCTCGACCTCGTCAACAAAATCTCCACACCCATCGGCCCCCCTCCTGCCTCTTCCCAACATCATCATCAACAACCTCCTCGTCGTCCGGCCTATCATGCACTTCTTTGTTGGAGATCTGAAAACAGACATTCGTCGCCTATCTATTTTAAATCTTCTTCTTCTTCTTCATCTTAGTCTTTTCTTTTTCTTTAATTCGTTTTCATTAAATCAGTCTTGTTTGGTTTTCAGAATCGCATTTTTTAACTTAATTTTATCGTTCATTCTGCTCGATTGGGTGTTTGTAGCAAGAGTGGGAGGGTGGGTAGGAAGTGAGGAGAGAAGAATCGTTGAGGAATGAGTTTCTTACAAGCTACATGTTAAACTGTAATAACACTATGGCAAATTGATGGATAAACAACCTGTAATTTTCGAACCTGCATGTACGATGTGTGGTGGAGTGAGTATGGCGAGGCAAGTGTTTATTTTGTTTTTGTTTTTGTTTTTGTTTTTGTTTTTGTTTTTGTTTTGTTTTTGTTTTTGTTTTTGTCATTGTTTTTGTTTTTGTTTTTGTTTCAACCGGGATTGAGAACTTCGGGGATATTGTGAATTACCTTACCCGGGTGGCGTTAGCTTCTGTCCCTCCACACCTGGACCACCTGCCACCATGGCGGATATCCCGTGAGTCTGAGCTGGGTTGAGTTTCCGGTAAGACTGGATGACTGTGCACAGCATATACTCATGACGGTTATCGATCGGTTTGGCCCCAGGAGTCTGTCAGCCCAAGGCCCCGGTGCTCCTGACCATCCTGGCCCATACCCCGCCATCTCTCTTGTAATTAGTTCAGGACCCAGCCTACAACTTCCAAAAGATGACCTTCGTAAGCGTTTGATTGACTGGTCCAAGCATGAAGCAGGCAGGTCTGGGTGGGTTATTCCTTAATCTGGGAAACCAAAAGGAACACCATCGACCCCCCCTCCACCTGTTCACTCCATGTGTACTGGATGGCTGGTCGATTGATTGACTGACTCAGAGTCAGACTGGCTTATCCTATATTTCCTAATTACGTCATTCAGTCTGGTCAGTCTGAAATGAACAAAAGATTCCGACTATTTAAACTCACCACCACTCCGGATTAACATCCTCCTTCCCCCTCATCATCACTCTCCAGCTCCGCGCATACATCCATCTCCTCCAAAAAACAAATCCTCCTCCTGACCATTCATCTACTTCTCTTTCGTCCATCATGAGTGCAATCCTCAAAAAACCAACCCCCACTATCAAAAGGGGTACATACATCCATTTCACTGTCTTTTGCGCGGTGGTCTCATCGTAAACCTATGGCTGTCTTGCTGACCTGCTTCATCTTTCCGCCTTGTCTCTTCCCACAACAGGCTCGGGATCGGCAGAACATGCTGACCAGACTGAGCACAAGGAAGTTGATATCCTTTTCGACCGATTCCGTGAGTGCTTGTTCTCATTACCATTCCAACTGTCATCAAAATCACTAATCTACTTTTCTATATTCCATCTCACTCACAGTCGAGTATAAGTCTATTACCAAAGGACTCATCTCTTATTATGAGGACCTTGCCAAATTAGAGACTCAGTAAGTCATTACGTCCATTATTCTACATCAGTTGCTTTCAACCTCAGTCAATCTAATATAGTGCGCTTCTTACTAGCACGGCAAGTGAAATGGTCAACATTGGAGGTCATTTACCTGTCCCTCTGCGCGAAGGAAATCAGTTCCTTCCCGAGGGTGGTTGGCAATCTATCCTCTATGATACTCGCGAACAGACCCGAGCAATGGCCGACTATCACACCACCTTTGCTCACACTATCACCCATAGTGTTCTCCATACTCTTAATCACGTCAAGAATGACATCAAAATCGTAAGCTTAATACTCATCATCCTTGGCGATTTGCTAGCTCACGTTTTTCCTCTACCCACCCAGTTTATCACTGATCTGGAAAATGAACCCAGAGCGCTAGCTTCCGAAGTCGGTCAACACCGTGTTGACTCCACTCGATTGCTCTCACAACTTGCTCAAGGCATAGCCCACTCTAAGAGCAACCCCCATGCCATGACTGCCAAAGATGATCCTGTCCTCATCCACCGCCAAGTTGAAGCCCAGTTGAAAGCTCAACTGAACTTTGAGAATTCTCTGACTCACATGATCATCGGCAAGTTCTTAGACCTTCTCCTGCAGACAACACACCTTTCCACCCATCCTAATGATCTTTGTGCCCTATTCATTTTTCAGAGTACCAAAAGAAAGCGTTTGAGCTTGAGAAGCGTGTCAACACTGACATCCAGACCGCAGTCAAAGACTTTGAAGCGGCTCGACTTCAAGCCCAGGAGGCAACCAACAAGCACTGGCAAACGATCCACAATGGTATTACCCAACTCGACCCTGAGATTGAGTGGAACGAATATGCCCAAAGAAGTGGTCACTTGATTCCTGAATCAATCACCATGCGTGATGCCGCAAAAATCGCCTTCCCGGGACAAAACGACGAGACCACCAAGCCGATCAAGGCAGGATTCCTCGAGCGCAAAAAGCGATGTAAGTGTAGGGTTTTATCCGCCTTGTGACTACAACATGCTCACATTCGTCAATGTTCTTTGCCACAGACACCAAAAATTACAAGGAGGGGTTCTATGTTCTCACTCCATCAGGATACCTTCACGAGCACAAATCATCCGATCCCGCGAAACACGGAGAACCCGAACTTTCCATCTTTTTACCCAACTGTTCTATCTCAGCTCCTGCGCCTGAAGGCTCGAAGACGTTCAAGTGGCACGTCGAAGGCAGCAAGAGTACTAGTGGTGGAAACCAAATGGGAAGTCTCAGGAAGATGAAAAAAACCCTTCACATTGGTCGCAAAGATATCGCGTTCAGCTTCAAAGCCCGCACCTATGCCGAAATGACCCAATGGTGGGAATTACTCCAACACCCTGCCAAGTCCTCTTGTGAGTGTTTCCGCAGTTTTTTTTTTTGGTATCTTTTATTCTCGTCACTGACGCGTTTTACGGCAATGTTTACAGTCACCCAGGCAACTGTTAGATCGAGCATGCCTCCTGGTGCAGCCGTCTCAGCTGTCAGCGACATCGGATTAGACAAGACTTCGCCCCAGTCCGAGGCCCCACCAACCGTGACGCGTCGGGTTGCTGAATCTAGTAGTGACGGTGAGAGCGGTGGGTCATCTGAAGAAGAAGATGCCGCTCACAGCCATGACGAGCTCTCTACCGCGCCCACTACCCCATCCGGCTTACATCACGACCATCCTCATATGTCCCCTGACGCCGTTTCCGAGGGTTTACCTGTCTACAAGGGTGGAGATCACACCGAAGCTGCAATGGCCAATCTGAAGGAGAAGCCTGAGATTCACCCTGTTCAAGACGTCCCTCAGGTAATTACTCTGATTTTTAAACTGACTCTTGCTCTTGTAACAGCTACTGATTCCGCCCACCTTGTCTCTGCTGCAGCTGACCGTTTCCACCAGTTAAGGAAATCCCGGACTGGCATTCATTAAGATTTTTCTCAAAAAGTACATCCGATCTACTGGTTCCGATAGCGATAAGATTATCTATTTCTTTATTCATCAAAAAAGGACCGCATTCATATTCTATTCTCTAGTGGGAACAGATGTAGGAACAGCATACTAGTTTATCTATTTCTTCTGCCGCACACAATTATTCATTCCCTGAAAAACAAAAAAAAATACGAGTTCTTATGAAAGGGAAAAAACGCCCAAATGGTTGAGTTTCTGAATTCAATCAATGCCTTATTCCCGGACTCCAAAATGTAAAACACATGGATTTCTCTATCTCATCATCTATCTTCTCATTTGTTGTAACAACACATGCATTTTTGTATCCTTATTGTTTCGCTCAAAATGAATATCATTTCATCTATGAATCATCATCCTCACCTCTGCTAAGCTCAATCAGCACATGTTTAGATGGCTATTCGCATCGCACATGATTGGATTATCTAGTCTAGCTGCAGCCCGCGGCTTACTCAACACCGACTCTCAGGTCACACTGTTGCCACATAGCACACCCGTAAAAAGTCCTGGTAGGCTTTGGGAGTTCCGCGGTCAAGACAAGTCAGTCCCGCTGTTTTGCGGGGAGTAATATCTCTTGCAGGGTCTTAGAAGTGACATCAGATTAGTCTTGCAAGCGGCCTAGGATGCAAGAGCAGAGGGTGGTCTATGAAATAGATTATCATGGGTTGGGAGGTGGTCTCGTTTGAAAAAAAGGGCTAATGTACTCCAATTAAAATGCTTCCCCACTGTTCTTTACCAACTTGTTCCTTTCAATGTCTCGGTTCGGGGGCGCGCCAGACATCGCGACTCATTCCAGACTAGTCTTTTCTGGTATCTTGCGACGCGTTCTCTTGCTAGGCATATCTTACTGGCCGACGCGCGGTCTCCTGATAGTATCCGCCGACCAATCATGGTCTCCGTCTGGATTGGCTCCGAAAACTGAAGATAAAAAAATCGCAAGTGTGTCTTGGTGTTGGCCCACCTCAGACTATCGAAGCCACCGATCAGGTGGGCTGGCAATCCAGCAGTCTCATTCAAAATCTTTGGTTATATTGCGTAAACGTCTGGTCGGTTTCAATATCTGTGTGATGGCTATGGTCCAAATCCAGTTGCTCCTTTTTTCCTTTCATTTCAACCAGCCTTCTTTCTCAACTTCAAATTCCTATATAAGACGCACTCTGGTCGTCGTCTTTCTCCTTTCCTTCACCCTCTATCCGCTATCATCTCCAGCTTCCACTTCCACATTCTAATTTCCATCAACCCAAAAAATTATCAAAACTATCTTCAATCAACCAAAAAAAGCATCCAAATCATCTCCGCGCTTGACTTGATTCGTCCTCACCAAAACCAACAGATTCCAGAACAGAATCCCCCAGATTTTCTCTTTGCCTTCCCATCATCAGAAATCATACCCGTAAGTTCTCAGAATTGATCACAATCAAATGACACAGCTCTTTCTTTCTGGCGTTTTTACTGATGTTTTATTTGTTCTATTCTCAACAGATCCATACCTCTTAAAAAAACCCAAAGATGTTTTCCACCAGCCCCAACGATACTGATTGTCTTCTTTTCGCTATGGAACTGAGCGGGCCCCGAGAAGATTCATTGAGCATCAGGTCCGAATCATCTCAGACCTCAAGGATCAGCCTCGGATCGAAATCCTTTCTGCTTACAACCCCTGTCGTACAAACCGTCGCAGTGGAGCCAATCATCCAACGCAATCACTATCGACACGCAAGGGTCGAGCTGGGCCTATACCTTCTCATGGACTCGGAACCCACACAAAGCGACTTCTCCCTACCTTCTGCTCGCCACCAGTCTTCTTCTTCATCTACCGATGATTACTGGAACGACTGCTCCGAAACTTCGATCTCTTTCGATGAAAATATCCCTTCCCATCTTTACACCCCTCGGCGTCTGCCAATCACCCAATTGATCAAGAATTGGTGGAGATATCGTTAACTGGATCAAGCGCGTGTTGAATTTCAATCAGATCTTCCTCGGAGTAGCACACTGCCTCCAGAGCTCATCGATCACTCCGCAATCTTTGATCCGGAATCTTTGGATCTTTTGGCTGCTGCTCTCCAAGATTCGGGCTATTTTACGAGCGGGCAAATATGCACCCGCGACTTCAAGGCGTAGGGAAGTCAGCGCTCATAACCCTGGGCCTCAAGCATACTGATTTCCCCTCCCGGAAATCAGCTTATCTGTCTCTTGAATACATCATCTTTTGCATTAAAATCAACAACCCATTTCATCAAGTCATAATCTGTTCAATCTTTGTGGAGAACATTTATCTCTTCAGTCCGTCTCTGTCACCTTTTTCTATCTATCAAGCTATCAGTTTCTGTCGTAGTGTTTCCTTCTTAGTTCTACCTTCCTCTCTTTTTTCCATTCCAGTATCCGTTTCTGTCTTGTTTTCTTCTTCTCGCGTCTATCTAATCATGCTCTCTGTTTCTGTATCTCTGTCTTTTTTTTCATCCTCTGCATCTCTGTTTCTGTCCTTCTCTCTTTTCCACTATGATCCGTCTCTGTTTCTTGAGCCCAATGTGCAATTCATTTACATCCTAATCCGAATCATATGATGAGAGTACCGTCTTTATCGATGCAAAATAAGATACTAAGGCAATCTTCAGGAGACAGAAACTGATGTTTAATCTATGTTGAAATGTTGTAACAAGAAATGGATTTTGGTGTATTTATGGTTTCGCTCAAATTGAATATCATCTCATCCATCAATCATTATCATCATACAGCAACATACTAGCCTGTTACTTTTCAACGAGGGGGCATCGGCGACGGGGGGGCTAAGCTCAATCAGCGCGTGTTCAGATGGACATTCACGTTGAACATGGTCCGATTATCTAAACCAACCTAAGCCCGAAACCCCCGCTCCCAGGTCAATTTTACCACAGAGAACCACCTCGAAAACTTTCAATCTACTTTGGGAGTTTGGCGGTGAGGACAAGTCAGCCCCGCCGGCTTCTTTTTTTTTTTTTTAACTCAGAAATGGATTCCTTCTGTTTGATGGGGCGTAATTTCTTGTGCGGGGTCTTGGAAGCGACATCAGACAAGTCTTGGAGGGCTGGGCAGGTGTTCAGGTCTCGTTTGAAAAAACATACTTAGTCCACTTGGAATGGCCCCTTCCTGCTATTCTATACCAGCTTATTCCAATCCATGTCAGACTCATGATGTCTGATTCGGGGACGCGCCAGGAATCGCAACTCATGCCCAACCAGTCTTTTCTAGTATCCTCGAGCGCGTCCTCTTGCCAGACACAGTGTTACTGGTTGACGCGTCTCCCATTAGCATTCCCCGACCAATCATGGCCTCCGCCTGGATCGGCTCCGAAAAATGAAGATAAAAAATTCGCAAGTGTGTCTCTGTGTTGGCTTGCCCCAAAATATCGCAGCCACGGATCAGGTGGGCTGGAAATCCTGCAGTCTAAGTCGAAATCGTTGGTTATATTGCGTAAAGGTCTGGTCGGTTTCAATATCTGTGTGATGGCTTTGGTGCAAATCCAGTTGCGCCTTTTTTCCTTTCAACCAGCCTTCTTTCTCGACTTCAAATTCCTATATGAGAAGCACTCTGGTCGTTGTCTTTCTCCTTTCCTCCACCCTCCATCCGCTATCACCACCAGCTTCCCCATTCTAATTTCCATCAACCCAAAAAATTATCAAACCTATCGTCAATCAACCAAAAAAACCATCCAAATCATCTCCGCGCTTGACTTGATTCTTTCTCACCAAAACCAGCAGTTCCCAGAACAGAATCCCCAAGATTTTCTCTTTGTCTTCTCATCAACAGAAATCATACCCGTACGTTGCCAGAATTGATCAAGATCAAATGACAGAACTCTTTCTTTCTGGCGTTTTTACTGATTTTTTTATTTGTTCTATTCTCAACAGATCCATACCCCTTAAAAACCCAAAGATGTTGTCCACCAGCCCCAACAATACTGATTGTCTTCTTTTCGCTATGGAACTGAGTGGGCCCCGAGAAGATTCATTGAGCATCACGTCCGAATCATCTCAGACCTCAAGGATCAGCCTCGGATCGAAATCCACTCTGCTCACAACCCCCGCCTTACAGACCATCGCAGTGAAGCCGATCATCCAACGCAATCAATATCGACACGCAAGGGTCGAGCTGGGCCTATACCTTCTCATGGACTCTGAACCTGCACAAAGCGACAACAACCTCTCCTCGCTACCTTCTGCCCGCCACCAGTCTTCTTCTTCCTCCTCCTCATCTACTGATGATTACTGGAACGACTGCTCAGAAACTTCGATCTCTTTTGATGAAAATATCCCTTCCCACCTTTACACCCCCCGCTGTCTTCCCCTTACCCAATTGATCAAGAATTGGTGGAGATACCGTTAGATTGATCACGCGCATCTTCACTTCTAAGCAAATCTTCCTTGGAGTAACGCGTCGAAATGGCTCTAGAGCTCATCAATCACTCCACAATCTTTGATCCGTAATCTTTAGATGTTTTGGCTCCTGCTCTCCAAGATTGGGCTGTTGTACGAGCGGGCAAAAATGCGCCCGCGACTTCACGGAGTAGGGAAATCCGCGCTCCAAACCCTGGGCATCAATCATACTGATTTCCTTCCCGGAAATCAGCTTATCTGTCTCTTGGATACATGATGTTTTGCATTAAAATCTACAATCCATTTTATCAAGTCATCATCTGTTCAATCTCTGTGGAAAACGTTTGGCTCTTCAATCCGTCTCTGTCACATTTTTCTATCTATGAATCTATCAGTTTCTGTTGTAGTGTTTCCTTCTTAGTTCTACTTTCCTCTCTTATTTCCATTCCAGTATCCGTTTCTGTCTTTCTTTCTTCTTCTTGTCTTGCTAATCATGGTCTCTTTTTCTGTATTTCTTTCTTTATCATCCTCAGCATCTCTCTTCTTCATCCCCATCTCTGTTTATCTAACTCAATGTGCAATTAATTTGAATCCTATTCCAAATCATACAATGAGAGTACATGCTTCCACAATCCATGATAAAGCAATCTTATGAATACATAAACCAATTTTGAATCCAGTTTCTCTTCCTGGGAGGGCAAGGAATTCTTGAAGTTACAAAGGAAAGGTTCAAGGAGGGCTGGCATTCCAAAATAGGATTCCTGGGAGAAGCACATAAAATTTCCTGCAGAGATTTTTGATGCAGACAGAATGTGCGAGGAGAAGTTAGATATGGGCCATTTCATTGAAACTTTCCATTGAGTCAAAAATCCTAGACATCAATAACAAACATTTCCACTTGGAAAATCAGTTTTTTTTTTTCCTTGAATATATCAAATCAGTATGGACATTCAATTTCAAAAAACAACAATTTGTTGGCTTGAAACTTGTTGTGGAGAAACCTTAGCCCTTCAATCTGTCTCTTTCACACCAAGGATCTATCAATCTATCTTTTTCTCTCTCAGTGTTTTCTTCATTTCTCATATTCTCTCTTATTTTTGATCTGGCACTTGTTTCTGGCATATTTTAATTATCATAACCTACTTTGTCTCTGTCTATCTTGTTTTGGTAATTATGATTTCTGTTGCTCTGATTCATTGACACCCAATTCATTCATATCCTTGTATGAATCATTCATATCCTGATCATATAAATTATAAAAACAAAGACCTGTTTTGATCTACCTGAATTCAACTGCAAGAAACTGTTGAATAAGTAATTCTAACTGATCCAGCCAAAGTATTGAATTTCAAATATTTCACTCAAATGTCACATGAATTCAATTTGAACCAAGGTACCCCTTCAGCTGGCCCAGAAAGCAATCTGAATTTTTCCTTCTCTCAACCTCAAGACTACCATCTTGCTCATCACTCATCACTTCTGGAAAATCCCTTAATTCACTTTTGATCATGCACCTAAAATGCACGTTTGATCCGAACCATCTACTCACTCAGATTAACAATACTCAGGAGGAGCTAGGATGCATAACAGGTGGAGGTACAAAATCTTTCCCATCCTCTCAATAAGTTTACCTGTATCCTGTTCTCCAAGTTGTTTCTATCTTTTCCTATCTCAAATTTCCTTTTTATTTTCAGGCTTGTTTTTGTTTTCTGTCTATTTCTCCAGATTGTGTTGCATTCAAAGTACTCACTAGGATCCAACTATAGGAAGGTAATTATCAGCTAACTTCACTCTTTCATTTGGTTGTTATTTTTTCCTTTCTTGTTTCTACTCTCTTTTGATTACCAAAGATCTGTTAAATTTTCTTAAACACTCTCTAGTTTTTCATCACTATTAGTATAAATTGAAAGTGCAAATCAATTAATATAAAACCTCATATTTCCAAATTCCTACAGAAACCTTCTAGAGTGAGTAGTATAAATCTATGTTCAACACATGACCTGATGGGAAATGCTATCTGATCAAATTTGAAAATTGACCATAGCCTAGGGTCTGGATGGTTTTTCAAATTAGCCAATTTCTTTTCATTGAAATCCAGGAGGGTGGGGGAAGGAAATTCAGTTCAATATTTAAATTAAATGTGGCAATGTTGAGCAGAAACAGATTTGAGTTGGACTTGCTTTTATAAAACACATAATCAAAGTGCAGCACACCACCTCTGCTCTAGATATGATTTGCGGGGAGGTGGTCTTGGTTGGGGAAAACTTTCATGTGGAATGACTTTGTGAATTGATGATGTTTGATTGACTGGAGATGTTGGTTAGTGCTAATATAAATAGCTTGGTTGTTAGTTTTTTAGTTGGGAGTTGAGCATTGCCAAAAACAACCAAAAATTTATCAGAAGAAGTTGCAAAATTGCCATGAACTGTCTCGAGATTGAGAAGACATATTGAAGAAACTTGAATCTGGACAAAACATAGCATCCAGCTGCTTAAGCTTCCACTTCTAGTATTGCACAACACTACCTAACCTCGGAAATTGGACAATACAATCATTCGTATGTGGAGGTTGGCAATGAATAAGATATCAAGCTCAGTGTTTTATTATTATAATTATTATTAAAAACCACACCTGGAACGGGTTTTTTATGCTGTGGAGTTTGATAAATTATTTGGAGCCTTGGAGGTGGCACCGGAAGCAGTCTTCAGTAGAATGCTAGGGCCTGAAGGCTGAGGGTGGTTTATGGTACGGATCGGGATGTAATCACGGCCTGGTGATCCTGTTCACCTTTCCCAGCGGTGCTCACGGGACAGCTCTGCATAGCGATGTACTTGAACTTGTGCCAGTACCCAGTTTCCAAAGGCACCACTTCTGCGAGTCTGGTTTTTTTTAGTGACATGGGACGCGTCTCCCTGCCCCGCACATTACAATTGGCGACACGTCTTTTGATAGCATCCTTCAACCAATCAAAAAATCCGCCTGGTTTGGATCCAAGAGCGAAAGACCAAAAAAATGGGCTATTATCGGGTGGGCGCGCTAGCAAATTCCGTGATCTCGGTGCAACAGAGAGTCAAAGTCACGGAGGTGGGCTGGTATTCCATCAGTCTGAGTCAAAATATGTCTTACCATCCCGGCAAGTTCTGGTTGGTTTTGATATGTGTGCCACGGCTATGATGAAAATCCAGAGTTTCTTTTCGGTGATGCCAGCCATCTTGTTGGCTTCAGACTCCTATAAAATAAGGCCTCCGGTCCTTGTCTTTCTTCATTCCTCATCCTTCATCCGCTATCATTACTTCTACGAGCTTTCAAAAACAACCTTCAGCCCAAAAAATTACCCAAAATCATCTCGAGTCTTGACATCAATAGTTCTCAAAACAACTGACGGTTCCTACGTGATACTCTCTTAACTTTATCATTTGAACAAAGCAATCACGTAAGTCTCAGAATCACTTTGAAATGACCCAGTGTTCATTTTTTGTGTCTTCTTACTGATTGTCTTTAAATTAAACAGATTCATACCCCTGAATACCATAAGATGCTGTTCCTTGGATCAAACTCCCTACTCCTTCCAACACCGCTTGAGCCTTCAGTTGCTCAACCAATCGCAGTGAACTCAATAATCCAAAGAAACCTCTACCGATACGCAAAGGTCGAGCTGGGCATATACCTTCTGTTGGACTCTGAACCAACAGAGAGCAATGGCAATCAATCCTCCCTACCCATCCATGGACATCAATTTTCTTCCTCAACTGAGGACTACTGGAACGATTGCTCAGAAACTTCGATCTCATTCGATGAATTGATCCCCGCTCACCTTTACACCCCTCGCCGATTGCCTTTAACTCAATTGATCAAAAACTGGTGGCGATACCGTTAAATAAATCAAGCGCATCTTCGGTTCCAAAAAGGAAACTCCTGGAACAGCGGCTTGACTCTTAATCTGATCTTCTCCTCCGCGGTTTGATCCAGAATTTTTGGGAGTTTTGGCACACTGTCACTCCAACAGCGCAAACTCCAAAGGCGCATACTATCATTCAACGGAAATATCAGCGCAAGTTGCAGGCGAATCCGGGACACTCCCTTCAATTTACTTCAATTGATATTCCGAGTCAAAAATCATGATTGTTTCCATTGGGAAAAATCAGTCATCTGTATAATCAATTCCACAAAAATCTATCATCTGTGTTCTCTCTGTGGATCAAGTTCGGCTCCTCAATCCGTCTCCGTCATCACTCTTAGTCTCTTGAACTATCTGTGTCTGTTTTCGTGTTTTCTCTAGTCTTTTTTTCTTCTCTTTTCTCCATTCCAGTATCAGTTTCCGTTTTATCTTCTTTATCTAGTTTCATTGTGTCTGTTTTCGTGTTTTCTCTAGTCTTTTTTTCTTCTCTTTTCTCCATTCCAGTATCAGTTTCCGTTTTATCTTCTTTATCTAGTTTCATTGTGTCTGTTTTCGTGTTTTCTCTAGTCTTTTTTTCTTCTCTTTTCTCCATTCCAGTATCAGTTTCCGTTTTGTCTTCTTTATCAGGTTTAATTTTGTTTTCTGTTTCCGTCTTTCTCTCTTCATCACTCTACTTTCTTTCACTAGTTTCTGTTGTATAATCAGCTTGCATTTCATCAAACCTAATCAAAAATTTCATTCAACAAACTGTGTCATGCATTCCCTTGAGACAAAATCTTAATAGCAAGATCAGTGCCCATGTCTGATAACACTCAAGAGCCACGAGATGCCTTCAGGAGGGAGGGGACGAGTTGAAATCTAGCCATTTAGCGCAAAAATAGCAATAGTTGCCCAGAGTTGATCAGAATCACAATAGACCCCACCAGAGGCCTTGAAGATAGCAAAGTGAAGTTTTGAGAGGAGGCGTTGGTACACAGGCGTGTTCTACCAGCTTCAATAATATGTATTTTTTGATCGAAGTCCTACCTGTATTTTTCGATCAGTCATGAGCAGGTCATTGAGTCAAGCGCAGCCGCAGGCTCTTCAATCCCCACATAACATCACCCTACCTAATTTATTCCCATCCGTTTCGCGACTTGACAATGCGTGTCTAGTTTGAAAAATTGTTCATAAGATTGCCGTATTCACTATACTTCGCTTGTTCTTTTCCCTTGGGGAGGTGAATCATCTGGCCGTTCTTGAATTTTGCAGTCTTTATGATTGCAACATGTAAGATAACGCTAGTCAACATTCAACACACGGCTAGGCGACAAAAAATCTGCACCAGTTGGCTTAGAATGTACGAAGACCGGATGCCATGCCCTGCCCCATAAAAAGATTTTCTGCGCCCGAATGATTGGTTTTGCTCTTACTCGTGCGGACCCGGTCATCGAAATCACATTCCCCACCTGTGATCACCGGCCAATTCCACCCACATATTTCCGAGTTGTTTCCATCAGTTCCTCGACTGGGGCATGGACCTTTGACTTTAGACGCGTCTCCCCACCCGGCGATACATTTGACGACGCGTCTTCGAAGAGCATCCGCCAACCAATCATGGCATTCGCCTGGGTTGGATCCCAGAGCCAACCGCAAAAAAATGGACTATTATCGGGTGGGCGCGCTGAGAAATTCAGTGATCTCGGTGTAAAAAAGCGTCAAAGTCATGGAGGGGCTGGTATTTCAGCAGTCTGATTCGAAATCTGACCTACCATCCCGGCCAATTCTGGTCAGTTTCAATATGTGGAAGATGGCTGTGATGGAAATCCAGCATTTCTGTTTGGTCAGGCCAGCCATCTTGTGGCCTTCGGAATCCTATATAAGAAGGACGCCGGTCCTTGACTTTCTTCTTTCCTTCTCCTCCATCCGATATCATTTCCAGCTTTCAAAAACCACATCAGCCCAGAAAAAACAATCAAAAGTATTTCGAGTTTTCACTTGAACAATTCTTAAACCAACCAAAGGTTTCTACAAGTTACTCTCTTATCCTTATCTTTTAAACAAATCCATCACGTGAGTCAACATCTTTTTAAAATGACCCAGTGTTCATTTTTTGTGTTTTTTACTGATTATTGAATTTTTAACAGATTCATACCCTGAATACCACAAGATGTTTTTCCTTGGATCAAACTCCCTTCTTCCACTACCACTTGCGCCTTCAGTTTCTCAACCAATCGCAGTGAATTCAATCATCCAAAGGAACCTCTACCGACACGCAAAGGTCGAGCTAGGCATATACCTTCTGTTGGACTCTGAACCAACAGAGAGCCATGACAATCAATCCTCCCTATCCTCTACTGGACACCACTTCTCTTCCTCAACTGAGGACTACTGGAACGATTGCTCAGAAACTTCGATCTCATTCGATGAATTTATCCCCGCTCACCTTTACACCCCTCGGCGGTTGCCCATAACTCTACTGATCAAAAACTGGTGGCGATACCGTTAAATAAATCACGCACGTCTAGGCCCCCCCCCAAAAAAAATATCACTCCCGCATCGCGCCTCGCCTCCAGATCTGATCTTTGCCTGCACGCTCTGATTCAGAATTCTTGGAAGTTTTGGCACTATCTTTGCAAAGATTGGTCTGTTACTCCATCGGCTCAACTATACAACCTGGACATTCCAAACAACGCGTAAGGCGCCGGAAAATGTGGTCCACTCCCTCCGATTTACTGTGATGGAAAACAAATCATAGTATTTCCATTCAGAAAAATTAAAAGAAGCTTATCTGTTTCTGAAATACATCAAAATCAGTTCTTCTGTGTGGCAAGCATAGCTCTTGCCAATCCGTCTCCGTCTTCACTCTTAATCTCTTGATCTATCAGTTTCTGTTTGAGTGTTTCTTTAGTTGCTTCTTTCCTCCTTTCATCCATTCTAGTATTAGTTTCTGTTTTGTTACGTTCGCTCTGTTTTCTGTTCCAGTCATTCTCTCTTTGGCTTTTCTACTTTCTCTCTCTATTCACTCCTCCCTGTTCTTCAAGAAGCTTTGATTTCTGCAAACATGATCATAAATTTACATCCAAGAACTATGCCACCTACCTTTAATCGGGATGTTTGCGCTCAACAAATCTATTGCGTTCTCACTGACACCAGTCAGGGCGAGTGAGCCTTTACCCATCATAGCTCATGAGTCTCATATCTGAAACAAACGTAGTCTCCCCAGACTGATGAATTTGCGACCCCGCAGACCGTTTGTCGGGACCTCCCTCTCTATGATTTTTTTGTCTGATGTCATGTATAACCCAGTTGCAAGAGATGGGACAAAGCGATCTGAGTGAGGCAGGATACCTTTCCAGTTAGTAGTTTGCTGACTCGGAAGAACCAGGCGACATTGACTAGAAATCGACGCAGTAAACCTATTGTAAACACCTTCAAGAACCTTTGAGGCTGTTCAAAGGCTCAGAAAGCCTCTGCTCTGCCGACTGCCTCTTTCTTCATCGCCAGGCCCATTCGTCTCCGATTGTAAATAATGTCTTTACGTCCACAATATATGAGGCCACTTTCACCACTAAGGAATTACAAGATCGACATGTTCCTTACGCATCTGCTCGTCATAGTTGAGTGTTTTCAGCTGGCGTTATTTCTGGAATTTTCGGATAATTGAGGAAGTTTTTAACTTACTTTTTTTGCATAGACTTTTGCTATCACTGGCCCAGCCTTTGCGATACCCATGGAGCAGGAGTTGGCTGGAAGAGCTGCAAGGCCAGAAGCCAATGTGGGACGCTTCCCTGCGAATACAAATGAATTGGTGCATCCACGAGAGGCCCCAAATGAGCCTTTGAGCAACGAGGTGCACGTATATATTGAACAACCCATCCGCGGCACTACAGAAAATCAAGCCAGATCAAGCAATCATCCAGAACCACAAAACCCTGCCCATTCACAAACTAATGAAGCTGATGACATGATTGGGAATGTTTCAAGGCAAGCATATCAAATCCATCATACTACTGCTACTACTACTGGGGTCGCCCAAGCTCAACGTCAAAATCGGAGACAACTTTGTCGTTTTTTCTTTGCAGCAACATTCCCTGCTTTGATATGTCTAATGTTCATGGGCAGACACCCCATCCCTTCTGATATAGTTTCCGAAACTGAATGGGCTTTTATCGGAGCATTTTTCGTTTACTTGTTTGCCGTTCTATCATCCTTAGGTGCTGCTACCATAAGATAACAGGTCTAATCATCTTGAGGAAATAATGTAGGAATTCTCAATAAAATCTTAAAAAAGAGCCTCTGTGTTTTTTTTTCTTTCAAAATTCCAAACAAAATGAGTTCCTTTTTGTAAGAACAGCACTTGAAATGGATTTCTTCTGTCAAGTGCCAGACCCAAACCACAAAGAATGCACATAAAAACTCACCTCAATCAAGACATTCATTGTCTGTTTGGGCATTGAGGTCTCAATAATCTCAATAACAGCGGCTCACATGATTGGCTTGAAGTTGGTAGTGTATGTATATGCTTCATTGTGTCAGGATTGAAATCAATCCCTTGTTGTTACATTTACATCATCCTTGTTCATCTCATTCCATCGACTTCATCGACTTCTCGTGCATATGACAATCAAGTTTTTCAAACTTTTGTTGGTCTTGTTTTACGTCGGAGTGGAGTGAAATCATGGACTGACATATTCTCTGGTTTACTCCAACTGAGAACATGTTCAACTCGAAACAACAATTTATGGCATGTTTTGTTCTATTGCCCTGTCGATGGTTTCTTTTGCTTGATCAGGAATGATCGATGTGCAAAAGAATAGCTGACAACTCATGCTATGTAGCTATGAGCAGCTGCATCTTATAGATAGCGGCTGGTAAACGTCATTCTATATATTGTTCGAACAATGTTCTGGAATTTCATGGCCAACAAATTAATAAAATAGGGATAAAATTACAAGCTTTGTGTTAAGTAAGAAGATGGGTTTCACCATGTAAAGCGCAATATCGATTAATTTCTGGAGAGTAGAAGATTGTTGTTGGTGCGCTTCCAGGAGAAATGTGTTTGAATGAAAGTCGAAACAAGTTTGGTTAATTTGGTTTGATTGATAACTTGATTGTGGAGTTGGAAATCCTGAATAAGACGGTTTGTTCTTGCGAGATTGATTGCGTTAAGAGCAACAGCTGTAGAGATTTGATAAACTTGTCAAGGCGACGTGGATTGCATTCAATCGCAAAATCGGAAGCCCTGATTATTGGTATATACTTGCAGATACAGATGCTTGAAGGAAAACGAACTACTGAGGAACAAGAGGCTGATGGAAGGCAAAACTTTAGCTTATACTCTAGAACCTCCAAGATGGGGAAAATGACGCACTTTAGTATCTTGTCCAAATGGGCGTGGGTTGGGACTTTCTTTCAAAACATCCAAGCCACGGTTGTCTCCTTTGTACTCTGGAAGGTTTTCGAGAGTTTGCTTAGTTGGGGTTACAACAACCGGTTGACTGTTTGAGATTACATGAGGTGTGATCGGCCCGGGCGAATGATCATCTGGACTGAGTGCCGACCCTTCTTCATCAGACGATCCGCCAGCTTCTTCTTCGTGGCTTGTACCTGCGCGGTGCGTTACAGTTTGAGGGCCAGTATCTAAGTTGGAGACATTCATGATATTAGGATGGTTTTGTGGATCAACACAAAATATCTCGAAGACATACCTGGGGTTTTGTCCGTAAGGGTTACTGAAAACGGTTTGTTTATTAGTTCAACTGTAGACTTATTTAGACATCATGTATCGAGGGGGAGATCGAGGAGGGCTTACCTGAATGTTGCGCAACTTTCTGCATCAGCTCCCACCAGTGCATCATCTCTGCATGGGTGCGCGATTTGAAACTGAAGGCGACTTCTTTGCTTCCTATGTGCAAAGATTTCTTCATCTTGTTAAGACTTCCAGTGTTGTGACCACCGCTCGTGCGTCTGGCACCCTCGATGTGCCATTTGAACGTCTTGGCTTCCGGTGGTGCCGGTGCACCAAGCGTACAATTAGGTAAGAATATAGACATCTCCGGTTCGCTGTGCTTTGTAGGGTCGGAAGTCTTGAATTCATGAAGATAACCGGAAGGTGTAAGAACATAATACCCCTCTTTGTAGTTCCGCGTGACTGTTGTGTTCGAAAGCGTAAGGTAAGCCGGTGAATCACAATGTGCGAAAGCGAAAAAACGTCAAGTTAGTTCTTACATCTCTTCTTTCGCTCGAGTAGGCCGACATTAATCGGACTAGTAAGTTCTTCGTTATGCCCAGGGAAAGTGATTTTTTCAAGATCACGCATTTCAATATCTTCAGGAACGAGATGACCGCTTCGTTGGGCGAATTCAGTCCACTCAAGCTCGGGGTTTAGTCCCGTGACACCAGCATGAATCGTTTGCCATTCATTAGAGATCGACTTCTCGGCATTGAGTCGTGCGGACTCAAAGTCCTTTACCACCGCTTGGATGTCAATATTCACGCGCTTTTCGAGCTCAAGTCCTTTCTTCTGGTACTCTGTATATTTCGAGCGGTGAAGGGTGAGTTCGTATGAATGAGTAACAATAAATTCTGGGGTCGATTACGTAGGCGATGTGACTCACCGATAATCATGCGAGTCAAAGAATTCTCGAGATTCATTTGTTGCTTGACTTGTTCTTCCACTTGTCGGTGTAAGAGGACTGGATCGTCGTGAGCCACCAAAGCCATTGGATTGGTTTTTGACTGGGCTATGGACTTTGAAAGATGGGTGATCACCTCGGTGGATTCTGCGCGACTCTTACCGACTTCTGTGGCAAGTTGAGTAGGCTTCGCTCCGAGCTCTGCAATAAGCTATAGAAGAAGGTGGAAACACCTGAGTAAATGAGCATTGCTACAGAGGTGTAAAATTTGACGAACCTCCTTGACATCGGCCTTGATCTTGTTAAGATCGTGTAAGGTGCTCTGCGTGATGGATTGGGCAAAAGCGGTGTGATGATCCGAAATCGCTCGGGTTCGTTCACGAGTGTTGAACAGGATGGTCTGCCAACCGCCGGCGCCCTCCGCTAAAAATTGATTCCCCTCCCGTAACGGAACTGGCAAATGACCGCCAATTTTCTGAAGTTCGGCGGCCGTGCTGGTCGTTTAAAGTGTTAAATCCCTCTCTTACAAGTAAGTATTTTGAAAGTATCGAGAATCCGGGCGAGAAGAGAGAAGTGGTTGGCTTACGAAGTTTCTAGTTTGGCAAGGCCTTCATAGTATGCTATGAACCCTTTGGTGATAGATTTATATTCGACTGTCGGGCGAGGTAACCAGTTAGAAATCCTGGAAAACAAAAGCTGAGAAGAAAATTGCAAGATGACTAACGGAAGCGGTCAACAAGGATATCGATTTCCTTGTGCTCCGGTTGATCGGCGTGTTCCGCGCAGCCGGAGCCTGTTCATGAAAAAAACGTTTGAGTGATCAGCGAGTTGTCGAATGAAGCCCGTTTGGTCATGACTTACCATTTTTGATAGTGCTCGTATGCTTCTTGGTCATGATGGCGGGCTGACTGTTTTCCAATTATTCTACTGGAATGACTGTTGTAGTATGGAGATAGTGAGATGGTGCTATATGTTTTTTTTTGTTTTTGATGGGATGTTGGGAAGAGAGGAGTGGTTGACTGAGCCTTAATCCTATATAAATACGATTTTTCTGTGCTCAGATAGCGATAAGCTGCGAGAGGTCAACAAGCGACACCACTTTGGACTAGTTGAGAAAATGTTCAGGTGCTTATGATGCTGGTTGTAAGTGGCGATATGTACGGGAATGACGTCGATTCAAAGAAGGTGAGTGAGGTGGTTGGTTCTATCTGGAAGTCTGTGGGTTTTGAGCGCACTGGCCGTTCAAAACAATACCAGCACTTTTTAGAGCCAAATCCCATAATTGGTTGATTCGCCTTCAAGTTCAGCCGGCTCAGGAATTATTTGCTTGGATCGGTTGCAGGCTTGGACGATTATAAGGGAGTAATGTATCTGAAGGAGCTCACCCAATCATTCTAGTCTCTTGCTATGTGGTCTGGTCATGAGAATCGCTCGAATGTTGGCAAGGAGCACAGAATGGATCCAAATGAGAAAATTGTACCTGAATTGCCCTTTGCGCAGAGATTGTATCCTGTTGGGGTTTTAGGGGGGGAACTCTCCATCAAAACGTGTTGGATTCATCACCAGCATCAATTGCCACAAGTTTGTAGCTGATTCTTCGAACGAAGGAGCAATGTCGATCTCTTCAAGGACAAATGGACTGGTGACGTCATCCCCAAAGCACGCTCAGGCTACAGTCCGGATAGACTCGGATCGAGAACATTATAACACAGATGAACTCTTCACCAACTCACTATATTACCGGGCGGGAGAAAATTACAAGTCTCTTTTTGCGGCGCATAAGCCTTGCAAGGGGGGAAGCCTGTAAAAGTATGGTGGTGGGCATATATGGTGAATTTTACAAGGCTCCGGGCCCATTGGTGGCCTTGTAAATCAAAGCCTTGTTAAATCTACCTCTCAAAAACGCTGGTGATCAATATCAAACATGAAGATTGCGCGCCTTATTTTGCACCGTGTACAAGGGGGCCGGGGAAAAGTATCAAGGAGCCTGTACAAGATGAAAAATACAAATCGGCTCAATACATGCTAAAGCCCTGTACTAGAGCAACGGTGCCACAGATACGAGACATGTATTTGTATCGGATTGTATTGTATTTATTTTGAGCCTGATACCAGTATCAGTATTTCCTTGGTTGGTGAAAAAATACATTGTATCGGATTTGGATTTAAAAATGAAAAAAAAAAAAAATTGTCTTCGTTTTTTTCGTTTTTTCTTCAATACAGCCAAGTATCTTATGTATCAAATACGGTTTTGGTGGGATCAGTCATCTGAGACGATACAGAATACATTTCTCACTTTTCAAATACGATACATGTATATGTCTCAGGAAAGTGAGACAACACAAATCCGGTATTTTTGGGTATTCCAATTCTGAGACGATACAGATAAACGCCTGATACCGTATCGTATCGTCTCTGTGGCACCGTTGACTAGAGGAGGCTGTTCAAACTGCAGGTTGAGCTTGTGGGTGCAATTTTTCCATGTGTCTCAGGCTGAATTTCCATGCCAAGGTGACTCCTGCTCCCACCATTTGGGAATTCCAATCATTACCTTTTTCTTTGTCGAAGCTCACATGAATCCCACCCACAAAGACCTCGAGTGGCACTCTGAAGGCAATTCAGATGCATCTGACAACAGCCTAGTCATGGCCAAAAGCATCCCCATCCGCCTCTCACGCGGCAAGCCGAAGGTGACTGAGGAAGACCAAGACTCCGAAACCGCCACACAACAAAATCCAAAGACTTTTTTCTTGCCGACTATGAATGAAGAGACTTTTATTGACCACGGCTGCACCTTGGATGCACAGGGGTACCCAATCTGCCCCAACGGAAACACAGTCTTTGTGAAATTGCCTGGCCAAACGATCACCAACTTTGGCAATGTTGGTTTTTCAAAGCGAACCGGTAGTGAGTACCGCTCAAAAGGCACCTGGAAGCTCAAGCGGATCTATTGTCTGGGTGTCCTTGCCTGCGACTTACCAGACTGTCAATGGGCAGGGGCCCCTCCAACTGGCCGGGTTGATATGCGCGAGTGGTTAGAAGTGTAATGTCATTCTCATCCACACTTACTTGCTGATTCTCCTAACTGACATTGGACTTGATTTCCTCAGGAACTCCCATTGTCGTGGTGCACGCGGGACATGTCCAGGAAACGTGGCACACATTGAATGCAAGCAGACCCTGATCCGAGTCGACGAGCATGTGCCTACAACATGGGCAATCCTACGTCATCGTGGTGAACATAATCATCCCTGGCCCGAGGCTAAGAAGCCAGATTTGCTCTCGAGAGAGACTCTGAAGGCTGAGATTGCAAAAAATCCTAAAGCAGGTGCCTTTTCGCTCAGGGTATGTGTCATATATCTATAATCCTTTAAGTTTTGGTGAGGTTTGCTCATATTTTGTGATTTTTCATCAACATAGATCAGGAAGCCAAATGCTTCGCAAGACACTTACAACAGTGTCTTGGACATCCACCCTTCCCTTGGGAATGCAGACCAATTGCGGTATTATCGCAAACTGATGCTCAAAGAACTGAACATCACACCAGACCATCTTGGAGGCAGTGTTGGTGATCAGTTTATCACGGACATGTTCAAATGGGTCAAGTGAGTGGATTCCGTTACATATGGCAACATCAAAAAGCAACCCGAGACACTGATGGTTTGCTTTTGGCTCAGGCGTGGCTTGCTGATCATCTCGTCGTCATACTTGGAAGGCGAGGAGCATTTCACATTCCAATCGGAATGGATGCGCAAACGTATATTGGCCCGGGACATCGATCACAAAGTTTATGGAACTGGCCTAGTATCTGATGTGACGTACCGATTTTTTCGGAATGGCTACTTGCTTTCAACCTCAATGTATTGTGAGGAGCTGGCCAGATGGATTCCCATCCAGCTCACCTGGATACGAGGACTGGCCAAGAGGTATTACCAGATCCACTTTGCGGTCTTGTTCCGTCAGTTTGTCATTCCGGATTTCACGGAAGCCGAACGGGATGTCTTGGTCTGCAATATCGTAGACTTCTCAGCGGCTCAACGGGAGGGCTTTGTCACTGCTTATTGGGAAGTTTTTGGTATGTGTGACAAGAAGGTTGTCCTTGACAAACTGCAAGGGTGTCATGAACACTACCGTGCTCAAGTGACTCGGGTGAAAAGGAACCGCCATGTTGTGATGGCTGATGATGAGGCAAGTGTCGGTTTTACATATTCAGAGCGGCATTGGTATGACTCCCAGCTAATTAGCATCTTTCAATCATGACAGAGCGTGTTCCAGACCATGTGCATGGATCTCATCAAACAGCCGGCCGAAGGTGACACCAGCCACGAGGAGAAGATTGATGCCATCCGTCGTCGTTTCCCCAAGGCCAAACGTTGGCTAGATTGGTGGACCATGGCCGATGTTGAGGCCATGCTATTCCCATCTCGCCGTCCCAAGCTGGAAGATGCACCCGAGGATCAACATCGACCGACAAAGACCACAAATGCTCAGGAGAGTCTCCATCGATTATACTACATGCTCTCGTACGTACATGATCGGTTCTCATGAGTTTGCCAGCTATTGTTGACAGCAGGATTCTCGGTCTTCCGGTTTCAGTGAAGGAAAAACATGCCTCATGTTAGGAATGATACAACTGTACTCCTTCATCAAAGTCCTTGAGGAGGACTTTGATGCCGTCATGCGAGGAGTATCAATCGAATATGGATCCAACCGAAAAGGTCAACCAGACATAGCGCAGTCTTTGGGATGGGAAAAGAAACGAAAACGAGCTCCAAATCCAGCCAAACCAATTGGAGAAGAAGTTCAAGTCCGACATACCTATGCCAACGATGTAAGACTCAAAAGTGGTTGTGAAACCCTTTTGCTGAATGGAGAAGGGGATGGTGGAGTTGCAAGCTCTGCCCTTCTATGCTATCAGAACAACAAGACCACCAAGCTCAGCTTGGCAGTTTATATATCGTGATAGAGGATAGTTCGAGATGAAGCTGTCGAATGATATGTATAACGGTTGAAAGTGTTGATGATTGTCGTTGATGAAGTTGTTGATAGAGGTGTCGATGATAAGTGTTGAGAGTGAGGCTTGAACACGCAACCTCGAGGTTGATGGTATATAAATTTTATGCTTTGACCAGGAATTGAACGGAGGACCAGGCACAGGTGGAGGTAAGTTGGAGTTAAGGTGGAGTTAAGATGGAGTTGAAGTGGAGTTAAAGTGGATGTCTTGAATGGGAATTGAACCCAGGTCCTTGCGGTTGGGGTGTATAAGGGCAAAAAGCAGTGGATTTCAGGCAAAGGTGAGATAGCTTAGTGGTTATGAAAAAAAATAATGTTGATATTTCTACACTATAAACTGTTATAATATATATAAGGTGGGCTATAATTATAAAACCTCAATACTAGGTAGCTAATAATATTGAAGAGTGACCAGTGATGTAGTGTTATGGGGGGGACTGACTACAGAGCATCTGATGAGGAGGGAATACAACTGGCAGGCAGAGGCCTCCTTATATAGACAAAAGTGAGGGAATTTAGCTCCAGGGTACATGCAGTTGAGGGAATTTAGCTGGCCTGAATATCCAATGAGGGAATTTAGCTAGTCTAGTACATGCAGGTGAGGGAATTTAGCTAGTGATAGCACAGCCTTGAGGGATTTTAGCTAGCCTACAAGGTCCTACTACAAAGGAATGCATGTGCACCAACAAAGGAATTCAATATGTAATATGAGCTAATAAAGGAATTCAATATGAAACAAAGGAACTCAATATCCAATAAGCATCCAGTATTCAAATTGAGCTATAGTCAGAGTAAAGGATCCAAGAGATATCCTGTGATAGGTTGAAATAGGTGTAACTTCTGAACTAATAGAGATAAGGGGGTAGTTGTAGTGGGTGACTAGGGGTTATTTTACCTCAGGAATCCATTTTTGATGTTTATTTTACCTTATATCTGATGTAGAAAAAGATGAGAATAAATTTTTATATTTTTAGCGTAGAAACACAGGAATAACTACCACATCCTCCCCCAACTTATTGGCTGTCCCCAGTCAATTCTGACTTTGACTGTGTTTTGAAGCTATTTTCTGAAGAAATTTTGAGGTTTTGACTGGGATTTAATTGGTGTTGCTTCCAGAATTCTCTTGCGGCTAGATCCTGGCTTCTGGTTGTTTGCTATATTGGTGATGAGTTGAGTTTGGTGTTTGAGAATGGTGACGGTTTTGAGTCAGGTGATTGAGATTGGTGATGATTTTATGATAGTTGATTGAGATAGGTGATGAGTTGATGATAGGAATGTTGGTTAAGGTTGATGATTTTGAGTCAGGTGATGGATTTTAGTCCCATGTTTGAGATTGATGATGAGTTGATCTGATGGTTGAGAATGGTGATGAGTTTATGATAGTTGATTGAGATAGGTGATGAGTTGATGATAGTTGATTGAGATAGGTGATGATTTTATGATAGTTGATTGAGATAGGTGATGAGTTGATGATAGGAATGTTGGTTAAGGTTGAGTTGTTTTTGCGGAGGAGCAGGCCAATGAGAAGAGGCTGAGAATTTGGTACGTTGCCGAGTCCTGATTTGATGGAGGAAGAAGTTGTTGATCCAATCCAAAAGAGATATATCCAATTTTGTGAGGGTTTAACACATTTGACTGATTGTTTGTGTCCGTTGCCGTCCTAAAGCTAAAATTGGTCCAAGAATCTAGAAGAAGAATCAAATCCAAATAAGAGTTTGAGCTGATAAAAGAACTGTAAGAATTCAATCCAGAAGTTTGAGATAATAAAAGTAAACCAAAATAGAAATCCAATCCAGATAAGAGTTTGAGATAATAGAGAAACTAAAAGAGAAATCCAATCCAGATAAGAGTTTGAGATAATAGAGAAACTAAGAGAGAAATCCAATCCAGATAAGAGTTTTAGATAATAGAGAAACTAAGAGAGAAATCCAATCCAGATAAGAGTTTTAGATAATAGAGAAACTAAAAGAGAAATCCAATCCAGATAAGAGTTTGAGATAATAGAGAAACTAAAAGAGAAATTCAATACAGCTAAGAGTTTGAGATGATCAAGAAACTAAAAGAGAAATATTCAATCCAGCTAAGAGTTTGAGATGATCAAGAAACTAAAAGAGAAATATTCAATCCAGAAGAAACTTAGAGGTAATAAAAAAACTTATATAGTATTCCAATTCAGAAAACACTTTGAGATGATAAGAAACTGATATAGAAATTCAATCCAGAAAATACTTTGAGATAATAAAGAAACCTAAAGAAACTGATATAGAAATTTTTCAAGAGTATGAAAATAAAACCTGGTTATAAGATAAAAAGTATGTAAAGGTGTCTTTTGATAAAAGAAACTTAAGGATAATGAGATGGGGTAAATTGGGGACATTAATAATGTGAGTGAACTATGGAATTTTCCTCCCCCAACTTTAAAAATTTATGTCTACTAGTGGTGTTTTTATTTTGTAAGTTGATGATTTAGCTGATTAATTTGTGCTATTTTATGGATTTTGTAGACTTGAAGCAAGTGTTCTACTGATTAATTGAGGGGATATCAGAACTAGGGGAGTGAGGAAGGCTTTAAATGAGTGAATTCTAAAGGAATGTGAGCTCCTCCCCCAACTTTTCAAAATAATTAAGAGACATTTTTAAGAATTATTTGATACTCCTTCAATATATTTTTCCCTGAGGTTGATTATTTGCTTTCAAGGTCCAAATTTCTTGAGGGTTCTTCTTGTTTAGTCCAGATTGTGAGTTGTCCAAATCCAAGGTTCTTCAGACTTCTTCTTCCAATTGGAGTGTCTTCTTGTTTGTTTATATGTACAACTAATTAAATAGGTTTTGATCTTCATCCGCCAGAGTATACATCTAGTGTTATGGGTGTGTTCTTCATTTCCATCGTCGAGTCACACCAATTGTTAAATCGCTAACATTGTCATTCGTTCCATTGTTCATTCTTCCACATCAATCGATCCAGCTGTTTGGTACGTCATCGTTGATTCTTTCATCCGCAAAAATTGTCCAAGAGATTGCTTTTGAAACGTCATAAAATGATTTAAATCATAAAAGAGGCTAGGTTCCACAAGGATTTGAGTTGGTCATTGGCTTTTGGTCTTCAAGTTGCATTGTAGTTCCGGATTCCAATTGAACGCTGAAGATGATCCTGAAGGTCGGCCGTAAAATCAGTTCCTAACAGGGGTTGATGGTGCAAATCCATCTTCCAAATCTGGTGTACTGAACGGTAGACTCATGTTGATTTTGATTGATTTTCCTAGTTTTCCTTACTTGACGCTCCTTCGATACCTAAACAAACGGTTGCTCTGAAAAAGAAACAAATAATACTTTGGTCGCTGGTCTCTTTGCCAGGGCAAGCTTATGGTTTTCTTAAAATAAATAATCAGTTAAACACTGGGAATTTCTTCTTTCACAGAATCTACTTATCCAAATCCTTCGGTGGTCTTCCTTCTTTTGGTCAATAAGCAGCTGCTTTCTTCGAATAGTTCCAGAGTTCTCTTCAAACAGTATCCTAGTTATCCAGATCCTTTGGTCTCTTGCCTTCTTCTGGTCAATAACTGGCTGTCTTCTTCAAGTCCTCGTTTCAGTCGATTCCTACGCTTTCTTTTCAGAGGTCGGTTGGTTATGTCGTTGAATTGTTTATTGAAGTTTGACTAGTTGATCAACAGAATAACTGAATATGCCGCTGAGTTGTCCAAATTTGTTTGATGAATTCGTTCCGTTTTACCGCTAGAAGTAATGATCCTTTGTCAATGTCTTCGTTGATTTGTTCTTCTTTTGTTTAGAATCGGTTATACGATGTCACTCAAAAGTTTATCCTATCACGTTGGGGACTCCCTTGTAAGACTCAAAAGTGGTTGTGAAACCCTTTTGCTGAATGGAGAAGGGGATGGTGGAGTTGCAAGCTCTGCCCTTCTATGCTATCAGAACAACAAGACCACCAAGCTCAGCTTGGCAGTTTATATATCGTGATAGAGGATAGTTCGAGATGAAGCTGTCGAATGATATGTATAACGGTTGAAGGTGTTGATGATTGTCGTTGATGAAGTTGTTGATAGAGGTGTCGATGATAAGTGTTGAGAGTGAGGCTTGAACACGCAACCTCGAGGTTGATGGTATATAAATTTTATGCTTTGACCAGGAATTGAACGGAGGACCAGGCACAGGTGGAGGTAAGTTGGAGTTAAGGTGGAGTTAAGATGGAGTTGAAGTGGAGTTAAAGTGGATGTCTTGAATGGGAATTGAACCCAGGTCCTTGCGGTTGGGGTGTATAAGGGCAAAAAGCAGTGGATTTCAGGCAAAGGTGAGATAGCTTAGTGGTTATGAAAAAAAATAATGTTGATATTTCTACACTATAAACTGTTATAATATATATAAGGTGGGCTATAATTATAAAACCTCAATACTAGGTAGCTAATAATATTGAAGAGTGACCAGTGATGTAGTGTTATGGGGGGGACTGACTACAGAGCATCTGATGAGGAGGGAATACAACTGGCAGGCAGAGGCCTCCTTATATAGACAAAAGTGAGGGAATTTAGCTCCAGGGTACATGCAGTTGAGGGAATTTAGCTGGCCTGAATATCCAATGAGGGAATTTAGCTAGTCTAGTACATGCAGGTGAGGGAATTTAGCTAGTGATAGCACAGCCTTGAGGGATTTTAGCTAGCCTACAAGGTCCTACTACAAAGGAATGCATGTGCACCAACAAAGGAATTCAATATGTAATATGAGCTAATAAAGGAATTCAATATGAAACAAAGGAACTCAATATCCAATAAGCATCCAGTATTCAAATTGAGCTATAGTCAGAGTAAAGGATCCAAGAGATATCCTGTGATAGGTTGAAATAGGTGTAACTTCTGAACTAATAGAGATAAGGGGGTAGTTGTAGTGGGTGACTAGGGGTTATTTTACCTCAGGAATCCATTTTTGATGTTTATTTTACCTTATATCTGATGTAGAAAAAGATGAGAATAAATTTTTATATTTTTAGCGTAGAAACACAGGAATAACTACCACAACGATGGAAGGGCGCCAGATACGACTGATTTGCTCGTCCCTGAGATTGCTAAGAAGAAACTTGGACGGCCATCGGGCTCGGCTAACATTGATCGTAACCCATTCTTGACTTACCCATCCTATCGAGCCTCCAGCAAGGAGCATTTAGCCAACCGCTGCTGGTTGGCTGCGGCTTTGGAGACCATGTATGCTCTGTACAGTCCCCTGTGGCATCGTGGCTCAAGTGGAACTGGGACCTCTCTTTTCACTTCAGTGGTAAAGCACTTCTCGGCTCGAACCACCTTTGAATTGACCCAGCTTGGAAGCATCTGCGGCGTCCTCACCCAGGCACAAACATCGCTGTTAACTCAAGCCCAAAACCGCTCACCAAAGAGCTTCATCGCGGGTCATTTTGCCTCTGCTGACCTGTTTATCGAGCTCTTTCTGGATCCCAAAGGAAACCCCAACCGAGGCCTAAAAGGCTCATTCAAAATCGAAGAGAAAAGGATCCTGACTTGTGAGGTACATCCAGCGGCTACTCAACATCTCAAACGAGGGGTGTCCGTCATCAGCATCCGTTGTGAGGCTTTCAATTGCAACTCAATTGACCATGCAAACGTTGCGGACCTCTTGAGCCAATGGAATTCAGTGGGCCTGCATGGTGGGTGTGGACTACAGTGCAAACACTGTGTTGCTGCTCAGGAGACCGTACCCGGCCCGCCCAAGCGCTTGACGTCCGAGATCACCATGATGGAGACACACGGAGATTGATATCAAGATTATTCTTACAACCAGCACTCCACCCTTGGCTTTGTCAACGGTGAAGCACCCGCCCATCTCTATTTTTTTGTCGATGTTGGAGGCATTATGGACCCTGTGGATCAGCAACTGTTCATGGGCGCATTGGACTGGCCCTCAACAATGTTCCTTTCCGGGGTGAGATACGACCTTTTTGCTCGTGGATATTGGAACGGAAATCACTATTGGTGTAAGGTCGTCAAGGGGGTCGGCGGTATGGTTGGTGTGTGGCTTCACAACGATCGGGCAAATGATGGGTACGCTCGACTGGTCAGTCCAGACCCAAGTCAGCTTGGTGGACCTTCTCCGAACACAAGCTGGCTGATGTACTCTTGTGGCTGGACCCCTAGCGAGAAGGACCATGTGGATAAAATGATGACTCAAATCAATAAAGATTATCCACATGCAACCGGTCATTCACCCTTTGCAAGTCTCTCTACAATGCTGGAGTCTTTCAACAAGGACTCTGCAGTTTTGGATACACAAATGCCTGACCATTCCGCCAACGATTCGATCGCAACAGAGCTATTGAAGATGGCTCCGATGAAATTTCAAGGTAAGCCAATCAGTCGATATCTGCCCATACCTTCATTTGCTGACCTACTGTTGGTTACTCAACAGAAACGAATCATCAAACGAAACCAAACCTGAAGTTGAAAATCAGGATGAACGGGCCATCCTCGTGCGCCGCACCCCCCCATAAAGTGGCTCAGGATGAAAAGGGGCCAGTGGGACCTTCTGAACGGCCCAAGATTGATGCTGCTCGCCGGAGCAAGCGGGTGAGGCGGGCTGGGCTGGGAGTTGCAAAGTAGTTGGCTCGGCTTTGATGCCTTGCAAGTAGGGCCAGATGGCTTGTAAATTTCGGTTTTTGTCTTGCTCAGGAAGTGTTTTGCATGGGGCAATTTTACAAATTTGGGCCTCGTAATGCCAAAGCCTTGTGATTTTGCTACCCTTTGGACATTTGGTTTTTTTTGCGCGCAATTTGCATTACAAGGCTAGTGCCTTGCAAAAAAGGCCCTGTGAAATCAAATATATATGGCTGCAAGGTCTTTTTTGCGGTGGACTTTTTACAAGGCTTTGGGTTACAAGGTCGGGCTAGTAAGGAATAGCTTGCAAAATTCATATTTTGCGCGGCAAGGCAGGATTTTGCAAGTGTTATGGATTGCGGGGCTAAAGCCTTGTAAATTAAGACTTGTAAAATTCTATACCCCCCTATATTACCATCATTGGAACATGATGCGCATCACCGCACCTATCCTTGGTTGGGAGCAGAACCAAATTCCTCTCCTCGCAGCCCACAAGAAATAAAATGAGAGGACATGATGTCTTCTTGAAATATCCATTTTGGTGCTCTGTCTGCATAAGTGTTTACCAAATCTCACCCCAGGAGTTTCTTTTTCTCTGCAAAGCCCAAGAGACACACATCTATCACATACTGCTGAACACAAGTGCTGCCTTGAGGGGTGCATCAAAGTCAAAAATCACACCTTCTTTCTGGTAGAACATGAAGTTTGATAACAGGAGATATGTCAGAATTGTACTAGTTGAACTACATGATTGGCAAAGTTACTATCGCCATTGGATTTCATTTTCATAATATGGGATGGGTCAAAAACCCTGTTCTTACATCTAACCACTCTGGATTTCTTCTCTTTCACTTTCATCAGGCAATCCACAACTAGCTCACAATTTTAAAACTCAAACACTGGCTCACATAGTAGGCCTTCTTGGCTATCTGTAGGTGCCTTCTTCTCCATAGAACAGAGCAATGTGTGACAAGCAAGCTCAACTTAGGCTTAGCTGTGGTGCAAATGCTTCTTTTCCCCTTGTTCCTTATGCTTGAAATATCCTTGCTTTGGTATTCTGATGCCATATTCTACAGGACCAGTCTGTTGTGCCAACAGCAGAGAGAAAAAAGCTTTGGAGGATAGAATTCTTTAGATAAGTTCTACCACTCCTCAACTGCAAGCCTGTCTCAATGTTGAGATAAATCTGAAGACAGCAATGATGATGTTGAGAACAACACTGGGTAGTTACATTACTTGTAATGTTACCATAAAGATGAAGTCATGACTTTTCACTCACTATCATTACTTTCCCCCTAATATTTGGATATTTTTTGTATATTACAGTATCCATTTTGTCTCAGATATTTTTTCATGCTCACTACACTATCAGCAATTTGTATTTTTTTTGAAAAACCCCTAAATGTTGGCAAGACATGTGATGCTTTTTCAAAATTTATGGTGTGTCTTGCTGCTAAAGCCCAAAAAGAGCGGCTTTCTTCCACTTGAAATGTGTTTAGGGTTGCCTAACCTCTGGATAATGCAATAATGCATTACTTCATCCATTCATTACAGACAAAAAGTTAATCATTACACTACTGGCTGAGAGAAATATTTCCCACTACAGTGCAGATAATGTTACTGTATCAGGGAAGGAATCAAAGCCCCTAAATTACTAGGATAATGCAGATAGTGCAGCAAAAGGTAGCCACCCAGTGTTGTCAATGGGGAGGATGTGATTCATTTCAATATGAATGATGAATGAAAAGATGAGAGAAAATGAAAAGAAGAAAATGAAAAACCTGAAGACATCAATCATAATGTTGGGAGGGATGAGGAGAAAGAGTTCCTTGCCAAAAGCTGGCTCCAGTATATAAACTGAGAGAAACAACAAGAGATGTTACAGTCTGTGACATGTAGTGTGAAAGATGGAAGTGCACTAACAACAAAAAGAGGAGTGATTAGACATGATGATTGAAACTGTACACAGTCACAATAATTCATTGTAAGAAGATAACACAAAATGGACTCTAGCACTGTTTTAGGGTTGAATTTTGTGACAAATATATGACAGGATCTTCTCCTTGCAGTCATTTTTTGAACAACTCCTGGAAATTGTTATTGGAGCAGCAACTCTGTAAATTTCTGGAAATTTACATGCTTGATAGGCAGCTTCATGAGGCATTCATAGAATCAATTGCAACTCCTGGGATTTACTACTCCAATGCCACCCAAAGATTGGATTCACCCTTGATGAGTGGGTATGGTCTGGAATTACTGTCCAAGTGAAGGAGGCATTCTGTGTTGGGTTATTCACTCAGGAGTCAGGTGTCTTTCTTCTTTTGTTTGCCTCTCACATGTTTTTCTCATTTCACTTACATTTCACAAGGTGTATGTAGTTTAACTGAGGCAGCAGTTGTGGAAGGATCCTTTCCTCATCCTTCCACAAACCTTGGCCACTCACCACTTTGTGCCTGCTGTCCTCATGTATGTTTTTCTCTCTGTTCTCTTGATTCTCTTTCTTCTCTCTCTTCTTTTGTGTTCTATTTTACCTAGACTTATGTGTAATGAATCATCCTTCCCCAACCCTCGGCCACTCATTAGTTCATGCCTGCCGTCCTCAGACCCGTCACCCAGTCTAGCTCATCATTCTGAAAGCCAATCCAAAAATTGGGGAGTAAGTCCCAAATTGTGTGCAATTTGGAAAATTCTGGCAGTCATCATTCCAATCTCTTGGGGTAGTTTTATAAAACTCCCTCTTTTATTACTTTCTGTGAAATCAAACTCTCACATTCAATTTAGCTCCCAAATTACACAATGCATTTCAAATTTCACAATGGATCCATTTGACCACCTACAAAGCCATGAAACAGGGACTGGACATGGATGCAAAGACAAGAGACAGCCAAAGACAGAAGTGCTAAGACAATGATGAACCATAGATAAATATGACTAACATGAGATATAAAAGCTAGGGGGCCTGAAGGTGCATAGGTAAACAAGAGCCAGACATAGAACAAAGAAGTGAATGAAAGATTATCTAAATTTAAACCAAACTATGCTGCATCCATATAAACATCATTAGTAGTTCCAAATGCATCTTGGTAGCCAAACCCCAGTTGCATTCATGAATCAATCCCTGGATAAGATTTCTCTGCATTGGGTATGAAGTGTTTCCCAGGCTCCAGGGTGCAACAGTGGGAGGTTCTTCTACCTGTAACAGTAGCGTAACAATAACATAATGGAACTGTGGCTGTAGGTGTTGAGATAACCAACACAGCCTTTCCACCATGTTTTCTTTTTTCTGCTCTTCTTGTTATTGTTATGCTGTCCATCACAACTAAGGTTGGATAATAAACACATAATGAGGGGGTTGACCCTCACATAACAGGGATAATGTGATGTCTGCATTATTTATTTTTCTTTAACAAGGGGGAAAATCCCTTTTGTTTCATTACTTGCAAGTCAAAAAACAGAAAATTCTGGATAATGCTAACAGTGTTATCCAATGGGGAAGTTATGTTAAAAAAATCCCTCCAGATATTGTAACATATGTAACTTCCCAGTGTTTTTCTGAGTCACAACAATGGGAAGTTATGTTGGTGATATAACAATAACGTAAAGGAATTGGCACCACAAGTGCTATTATAGTTGCAATGACCTTGCTGTTACATTATCTTTTCCTTCTTGTTTTTTTTCCACTTCTGATACATTATCCACCACAAAGACGGGTAGAAATCAAACACACAAAGAGGGGTTTTGACCCCCCCCCCCCTTTCATGGGGTTTGTCTCAAATGTTGCAGAAAATGTGTTATCTGTGACAAGGGGTAAAAGTCTCCTTGTTATGTTGCTTGAGCCTCAAAAATGCAGGTTTTCTGGATAACAATAACTTCTTATCCAGTACACTGAGAAGTTATGTTACAAAAATCAATATCGCAACATATGCAACTTGCCATTGTTGTTCTGAGGTCTAAAGTAAAACCCTCATGGTATTGGGGCATCACCTTGATAACCTAGGTCAAGATCCCCCAAAATAGACTTGCTGGGTGGCTTGCTCCCAGAGCCCTTGCTAGACACAAATTTAGACCAAAATGTCTCAGAGATTTAAGTACCCAATCCACCTTCCCCTTCTGCTGATGCCCTAATTTTCCAAGCCCCATCCCAATGATCCAACCCCAGGGCCAACCATAGGCTTTTACAATGTGCTAAAATACTATAACAGCTTATCATATCAGACTTGTTTTTGAAGCTCAGTTGTATGATTTTTTTTTTGCCTTTCTAAATGTGTTTTGCCTGACAGCTGCTCTGTATTGGATGTTGTCAATATGTTTGAGGCCTCTTTCAGACTTCATTAAACATCAGGATAGCTGTGGTTCAATTCCAGTCCCAGTAGGATGCAGACCATCAAATTTTATCTTCACTTTGGGAAATTTGTAGAACTTTGCAGCTGGACATAACCATCATGAAAAAAACTGAAATTGTTCTTGAAATGGGGGTCAGGACTGGTCCCACAGGGCTCGCGGCACCGGAAAAGATCAAACGATGCAGGACGAGAGAAAACAACTACATCCGGTGACCTCACTTCTGAGGTAGGTGTCGAAGGCTTGGGCCAAATTCTTTCTGGTACGGGTTGTCTTCCTCTTCACGATACATAATCGCAACATTACTTTCTTCGCACACGTGGCACCAGCAACCTGGTGAAGCGTGCGAAAGGCGTTCTGAGAATCCGATTATCTATATGTGTATGACACCAGGGTTCCAGTATCAGAACGCGACAGCATGAGAATGGCACTTATGTAGATCCGATAGTAAGTGACAGGCAATGGTCTTCTACTCACAGTTTCACTTTAACCTTGCAAGCAATCCCGATGTGGTGTGGTCAAAGCTTTTCGCTACTTTTATGCCTTGTGATGCTTCTTCGGGATTAATGCCCGCTAGTGCCCTGGTTCCTAGGAGGACACTACATTAGAGCTTGGACTCATGTTGGGTCTTTCGAACTAGAAGATTTCTCCTAGATCATCAATGCCTCGCTTTCGCGGGCTAGCAAGACTGGCCTCTGGCCTCCAATCATTACTTCTCCACGCATTCTATCAGAGCACTCAAATTTGACAACCTCGGCAGACATCCGTGACCATATCCCCACCCAACTGTTATCAAGAAGCCAAAGAAATCCCCTTGCGCCTGTACTCCATCACCCAGCTTGACCGGATTCTGCTCCCAAGGCACGGTCCCAAAGATTCCTATCTCCACTTGACCAGAACCCCTGCGACTTGCATCCATCGGTAGAGGTATGGACAAGCCGAAGCTCCCCAAAGAGGCTCCAAAAGTCCGCAAACTGGACCTCTCAAAAGCAACTTATTCGAATTTCTTATCAGCACCCAAGTCTGCGCCCGCATGGATCAAAAAACTGAGTGATTCAAACCGATTCAGAACAAGGAGGTCACCTTCTGGAACCCTTGCGACTGAAGCTGAGGAAAGCGCATCTTCTCCTATCACTGCCAACGATAGCTCGATCCTACAGGACGCAACTAGCCCGTATTCAATTAGTAGCTATAACCAATCCGAAAACATCACTCCCTCTGACAATCACTACCACAATCTTCAAGAAACCGATGAAGCCGTTTTATCCCCCACCCAACCCTCCCCAAATCCAATTCCAGAAGCAAATGATGTCTTGCTACCTGCCAGTAGTGACCTTGGTAGGGACACTTCATCAGGATGGGTCGAGCTGAAGGTAGCTATAGTATTTGTTTCTCGCAGACGAACGGCATAAAATCTGACTTTGAACCATGCCCGTAATTCAAACTCTGGTTCAGCCTTCCGTACCATCTTCTGCAGGAAAGCTAGCTACCGTGGAGAAGGCCGTTGCGACCGGGAGGCTTTCTCTTTCAATCACGTCTTCAACGCCCTTTTCAAAGCTAGGGAGCAACTTCTTGGCTCGGAAATTTACTGCCAAGCCCAACAGGAGAATCAGCATTGATATGATCGGACAACCACTTAAAACCAGGTCGGTGGAAACTTATAAAATCTTAAAGAAGTGGAGACAATCGAATTCATAACTATTCGGACTGTGTTAGACATTTGTATCACACTAGTGATCCTGATAAAGCAGGTGACATTCTAAAAACTTGGAATGATCAGGTTAATGGAAAACCCGCTGGTCAGTTAAGCTGTTTCTGTGATATTCCATAGTAGCTGCTCACATTGCATCTCGCGCTGGACTTGTAAAATTCCACGCTCAGCCATTGCGAACAACGGATCCTCCCAGAAGGCGCTAGATGGGACCGTACCTACCGAGTCTGAGCATCCTATAGACTCGAACGAAATGCTCAACAATCCCAACCTCCAGTCTTCTGAATTTAATCCGGTGCTTTGCTCTAGTCCGGTACTTACTGTCGAGCCTGAGGATCCTACCCCTGACTCCAATATAAACCAAACTATCATCGTTCGCAAGCAAGCCCCGCGGACACGGCGTACCTTAGAGTTCTCAGGTCTGGGCGCACCAGCCGGCTCATCAAGTGAAACGAGCTACCTGCCTTCATCGGTCGGTTTGCTCTCTGAACCTCTGGAGGGAATCGCAGAAGAAATGCAGGAGGTATCCTGCTCTCCAAGCGTCATTACGGTGGAGAAAGCTGTAGCCACGAAGGTTTTTTTCGAGAAGCATTATGGTACATTTCACTTTTCCAAAACATAAATTTCCTCCTGCTAATGCATGTTTCTTGGAACTCCCCAGATGCGATTTTGAAGCGTCCAAAAGACCGAGACCAACGGAAGAAGTTAATGGAAGATGAGCTTTTGAGACTCGACATAAACGCCTATGACCGCGAAGAAATCATGAGAAACTGGAACCGCAGTGAGACGGCTTACCTGCGTGAAATTCGGAATCGAGTCGGGATTGAAAACTTCAAAAAGCTGAAAACCATTGGTCACGGCGCGTTTGGGGTTGTTTCTCTAGTCAGGGAAGAGATCACTGGGGAATTACTAGCAATGAAACAGATGAGAAAATCGGATATGCTACGTCGCGGCCAAGAAGGACATGTTAGGGCCGAAAGAGATCTAATGACTGCTGCCAGCTCGATATGTCGGTGGATCGTTCGATTGGTTTACTCTTTCCAAGACGTCGATCACTTGTACTTGGTGATGGAGTATATGGGGGGAGGTGATATGCTTAACTTGTTGATTCAGCGGGATACGTTTCCAGAATCAATGGCCAAATTTTACGTCGCTGAAATGATCCTCGCAATAGAAGAAGCGCACAAATTAGGATATATCCATCGTGACATCAAACCTGATAACTTTTTATTCGATAGAGAAGGACATGTCAAGTTATCAGACTTTGGCTTAGCTACCGATTTTCATTGGTGAGTGGCTGGATAGGGCTGGGTAATGCGTAGGAGTCGCATGTGAACCACCGCTAACAAATCATTTCTTTCTAGGGCACATGACGCTGCGTATTACGAGCACCAGCGGATCGCCCTCTTACGCAAGCATGGAATTGATTTGGAGGATGGACTTCCCAATCTGAAGAGACTTGATCAAGCGTACTCACTAGACGAAGAACCCACCGGGGCCAACATTGCAGCTTCTGGGTCGAAGGAAGACCGACTACTTACTATAAGGGATCGGAAACGTAAGAAGATGGCCTTCTCCGTTGTTGGTACAAACAACTAGTGAGTAAAATCGATTCATTGGTCCAGAATTGCCCGATATTGATTCTTCCGATTTGTGATCCGAACCATTCCAGCATGGCACCAGAAGTCCTGAAGTCGGGTGGATATGACCGCGCCTGTGATTGGTGGAGCTTGGGTATGTAGGCACTCAATGCACCCAAAGACACTCAATCATTCACTTGAAGTAATCTTTTTCATGGCTTCCACAGGTGTCATTCTATTTGAGATGATATATGGCTATCCTCCATTCAGCTCTCGCTCCCGTCAAATCACACGAACTAAGATCATGCAATGGAAGTCCTATCTTCGATTTCCCAGTAGTCCCAAGATTTCCCAACAAGCAACCCACTTCATCCAATCCCTTTTGTGCGATCGGAAGGATCGATTAGGGTCCACAGTTCGTCCTGCACTTCCTCAGCGCAACCCACGCAATTCTACTTCAAAATGGTTGAACCTGGAGCCAAGCATCCAGCGAGAAGGCGCAGACGAACTGAAAGCACATCCGTGGTTCAAAGGTGAGTGAAACAAATTTAGTCAGTTGCCAGTCACATAGATCAGGTCTAATGCTTATCTTCTGTGGCGGGATTCAAAACCCTCTCAGGAATTAACTTCAAAACAATCCATTTGGAAAAGCCTCCTTTTATACCCAATCTCAAGTCGGAAACCGATACTCGATACTTCGAAGAAGACATTGACGCGAATCCACTTCCTTTGCCTGGAGGAGCTGCCACCCAAACTCGCGATGTTCTTTTGGGGCACCACAAGTATGGAGCTGACATTCTTGAAACAAGGAAGAAGCATGCTTTTGTGGGTTATACTTTCAAAAGCCCTCGCAGAGAAGTCTTCGATCCACGCAGAGGATTCCTTCTCCAATCATTTAGCTCTGGATCCGTTGAGGACGCCAAGACGCAGATCCATACGGATATCGAGACTTTCCCCACTGGGCCCTTGTTGCCGACTGAATTGCTGAACGAAACAGAGGAGAATATGCGCCGTATGTCAATATGAGATTCCTCACTCTCAGTCATCATTGTAGGGGAGGGGGCGCTGCCACTAGTTGTTTGCCACTGCGCACCAGAGGGGAGGTATTTAGTTAAGCTAGGAAGTCATCCATTTTTTAAGTTTTCATTCTCATTTTTTGCAGAACTCATTTCAGCACTTGCTGTACACTTGTATTAAACTTTACTGTTTGTAATTGTCATTGTTGTCAGTTTTAAACTATAAGAATTAACCATATGGCTAGAGAAAATAAGTTCATGACCATACTTTACATACTCCATGGAAATTTTTAATGCTGCATTTTTTGTATTTGTATATTTGAGAATAAATTTAATTTCCTTCAATTTCCTTATTTAAAGAAGACAGATTGGAATTTCTAATGACAAAGTTCTGAGAACCATATTTATCTTTTCCTTGCTCAAATCTGCAGTAGGAATTTTCAGCTGCACTTTCCCAATTTAGAATGTGCAAGATGGGATAGCACAACCAGGGGTAAAGTGAGTGCCCCAGTGCAAAATGAGGCATTTGATCCACAAAAGAAAGAAAGAAATCAATTCAAAAACATGGACAAATGATAGACACTGCATCATTGAGGGAATTATAATAAAAGATCAATAAGTAATAGGTTTTATATTAACCACATCAGGCAATTTTTATAGAGTTTTCCTAAGGTTTTAAAAAGTCATGTATCTCACAGACAAAGGATTATGCAAAACCTTTATGTAAACACAAGAAAAAAAACTCAATATCAGATATTTTCTTTCATTTTCTGAGACATCCAATATATTTGAAAGCCTTTACCAATCTGCAAGTCATTGATAATTTCTTAAATGTGCAGCCTGGTTGATGTTGCTGTGATGTCTGATGGTCTTGATCAGAGCCTGAGTCTCCAGATGGTACATATGATTCTGTACCAAAGTGCTAGAAATTTGGCTTGGAGAGATCCTCCAATTCATCTCCAGGTGCCGTGCTGCGGGGGGTCAGGCACATGTAACACCAGTGTTACACCAGTCTTTCAACCATCCTTGTGCTATTAATTCTTTTTGGCTCTATTCATTTTCTCAATGTGATTCCACCTGAAATGCTTTCAAAACCTTGTTTCCCCTGACCTCCTCATGTCCAATTAGTGTTGAAAAATTGATCTGTTTTCCATTTTCCAAAAACCATCAGGCAAAGAGGGGTTTTCTCAATTGGCTATGATTGGATTTTCGAGCACACATATTCCCACTGAATCTGAATCTGAACCAGATTTTATTTTTCACATGAGTTATGAGTAAGATTTAGGTACAGTTCAGATCATCACATGCTGAATCAGACAGTTGCTTTATAACAGCTTCCAGAAACTGGTTTATAAATAGGTTAAGAAGATACATTTAAATTTAATTCGAGTAATACAAAAAATGTAAAATGTCAGACTTTTGTTCTGTGGACTGTGGATGATGATAGGACTACTCCAACGCTTTGTTTGTATACCATAGTATTTTTTTACTCCACTTTGCATCATCTTTTGACATTTTGAACCTGTTGATGGTAGTAACCAGCAATGAATTTATAAATATGAAGGTACATAGTTGACGCCTGAGATAGATTTGAGAAGGTAATCAAGAGAAGAAAGTTTGTTCGACTCGAATCCTACACGCAACCTGCAGATCCAGAGATGCTTAGTTCTATCAGGCTTCTCACATCTTCCGCCATCCCATAGCTTGCCTTTCATGTGTAAGGGATAGAAGATCAGAACAGGGATGTGTCAACAACGAGGAACTACTCCTTATGAATTCCCGCCGGGGTAGAAACTATAGGTTTTGATTAACATACCTGGAATCCTGCTCCTCTGGTTGTTGCGAAGATGGTGACAGAGAGATGAAGTTAATCCCTTGATTTACTGAAGAAAGTACGAGCGAAGCAAAAGACCAACCCGATCCCATAACAATGGACCAAAGTCCCCATCGAATCCTCACGAGAGTCTCCCCCTTTAGAAATGATGAAATCCACACTTTCGAGTCTAGGGCCATTCTTATGACTGGGTCTCAGAGCCACGATATGGTCCAAAATCTCGATGCCCTCGGTTGTGCCGTCGCGGCTGATATCAGGACAGAGCTTGAGCGTCTCGGACAAGATCCTATGGGTGATTTCCGGGTCGATCGACAATGAGGAGTTGCCCGGCTGATAGCAGCCGCCCAGGATGACCTCCTCGCCGTCGCCGGGAATGGTGGGTGGACGGGAGCCGATATAGATGCATTCTCCATCGGCCAGCCGTGTGATCAGCTGGAGCGGTCGAGGGGGGCGGATGAGAATCGTCTGGCCGCGAATCGGCTCCACCAATTCGTCCGAGACGTCCCCGAAATTGCCCGCGCCAAGACCGGAGGCATTGACCACTACTTTGGCCGCCGGGAGGCCGCACTCCGGATCGCCCAAAAACGCCTCCGAGATGGTCTTGAGACGATGGTGAATTATTTGCACACCGCGTTCGGCCAGTTGCTTTCGGAGGTATCCTAGGTATCGGAGTGGGTTCAGTGAAACTGATTTGCAGACCACTCCGTCTATTTTTCCTTCTGGAGCCTTTGCTATTTCTTCATCGTTCATTCTCCGAACCTTCGACCAATATGGAAATGTCAAGTCAGTTCATTTTCTAGAAGTAGGTAAGGAATTGCAGCGGGAATTGTCTGAATGGAATTCAGCGCATTCGATAAGCTGATGTACCTCTGGACATATGTCCAAATACCATGGCAATTCAGACAACCGATGACTGTAATACTGTTTGAAGTTGGCTTTCTGATAGCCACCGAGAATCGAAGAATATCAGCAGGTCTTGTTCTATTGGGGTGAAGATAGAGAGCTTTGCTTGTTTCAGCCGCTGACCATGACGACTGAAGGATCTTGCTCGGCGATCTCCCAAAGATGCTTGAACGACGTGGTCTCCCATCGGGCTACCCTTTTCTGTAGCTCGGTCTCGGGATGAGGGATGAAGGGATGCCAGAATGCAGCCTATCAAGATGTGCAGAAGATAACATAGAACAGGGGAAGAGTCAATTTCTTTATCCGATCTGCCCGAAAGCATAAACAATAATGAATCCAGTCGGCCATCTGTGCCATTTCAATGTACGTACCGCCCAAGGAGAAGCAAAATCAGGCTCCACCAGAGGCTTCTTCGACGGGTCTTCAATCCATCCGGCCAGCGCGTTTTCGGCGGTCACCACATTGACAAGGTAAGGCGAGCCAGGCTGTTTGGCGAGCTCGAGAGCACAGGTGAGACCCAGTACACCGGATCCGATGACATTGACCGTCAGAGGGCTTGATGGTTTAGACATAACAAAAGCTAACCCAACCAGATCTTGATTGAGCTGAAGGATTTCAGGAAGGAAGATTTGATGGTCATAGACCCTTGGCGCTGTTGCTATAAAGGCCCGGCTTCCCTCGGAGTTAGCAATCAGACTCAGACTGGCTCATGTGTTGGTCCGATGACCCGGCCCACCCTGTGTGCTCCCTCGAGCACAGGTATCGGCACTACTTTATGACTTAACCCACACCAAGAACCCCCCATTCCCCTTTGGCTTCAAAATTAATCCTTCCCCTCTCAGCCCCGACAAGTCAAACTCTTGGTTTTACATCTTCAAAAAACACAAACAAAAATTTGAAGCTTACATGTTGGAGGGCAAAAAAATGCAGACAAAATACTCTTCTTCAAATCTCAATCCATTCTTTAATTCCCTGTTCATGTTAGTGTTGTTGATCTTGAAGTGGTTGCATGATTACAGGGGGAAAAGAGGTAGAGTTTTAAAAATTGATCTTTTTGAGGGAGAGAGAGACTCCAAACCATGTTTCTGAGTTAATCATTCGAGTCACTTTGACCCAGTGCACTGTTACATCTCAGATTCCAAATGAAAGATGATAGCACTACTACCATTGAATGAATGAAAGGTACCCATCTGTAGTGGCTAAGTGAATGCAAATCAGTTGAGATATTTTATACAAAAAAACATGTTATTCCCCTTAATGCACCCCCAGCAAAGCTCAAAGTTTCTTTCTTGAGCCACTGTTAACATATAGCAGAAGGACCTGATCGAAAATCATCCAGAAACAAATCCTCTTTCTCTTGTGCCAAAGTTGAATTGTAGAATTCCATCTTAATTACTTGAGGAAAATGGGGTGGAAGTACATAAAATCAAAACCAATTAGATTTCCCAAGCCAATTGTTTTGGATGACTGAACAAATACCTATGCTAAAAAGGGACATGAGGAACTCCTGATAACTTGTGTTTAAATTTGAGGGAATTTGGGGAGTCAGTGCTGGGATTGAATTTCACACTTGGAATCATTTGATCACAAAAGGCTTCAACTGATAAGTGACCTGCTATCCTAAGCTGTTGTATTCTTGAGCATCCAGATCATACCTCCATCCCTTCCATATCCACAACAGACCATCTGCACACTTTTTTCTCAATCTCCATACATTTTAGGGATATTGGAAAGTTCCCCAGTGCTTTGCAGTCCATTTTATCTGTGTAAACAGAGAAATGTCATAGTTAAAATAACATTAAGTTGCTTGTTAATTTTTCTGAGTCTAATTCTAAGAATTGAAAGGGATGATAATATTTATCTACAAGACAAAAAGGGGGATAAAAGATAGTGCCCGTCAACAAAGCATTAGATTATTTGTATGTGTGGGTGTTGCAGTTAGTGATCCGGAAGACAGAAGGGGGATGGAAATAGAGAGAAAAGGTCTACAAGAGATATGCACTTTTTTTGTTGATTGATTGATTGATAAATTGATTCATTAATTTGCTGAGGGGGTGGATGGAGAGGAATAGGAATGATGATGACAAGTCTATAATATTTCATAAGAAAAATGTGAATTCTGCGAGTAAAAATTGAAAGCGGAAGAAGTAAAGCCGAAGTAGCAAACGTTTTACACGAACAGCAGAAGTAGGAAGTCCATGAAAGACTGGATGAGTAGGATGGACGGCGAAAGCGAGGTCTCTCGAAAAGATGTGTATGAACCTAGTACTTTGAAAGTACTTGAGCAAGTCCTTCATACGAAGCCTTCAAAGCCAAAAAAAAAGAACAATCAGCAACAAATAGCGTATTGGATAGAGATGAAGGACAAACAATCATAATTCCACAGCTAGGGATAACTTTGGCCAGCCGCGGGGAGAGACCTCTCATGAGCCCTTTTCTAATGCCCTCAGAGCGGGCGATCTGAAGAATGATACGTATGGTCCCAGGGAGTCTTAGAGTACGGGAGGATGAGGATGAGGTCAAGGGAGGGGGGAGAGAAGGGGAAGCCTGTCTGCGGGTCTTGACAACGTCGAAGGGATTAGTGAGAGTAGCGGCGAGAGCGCCGCTAAAGGAGCCGGCAAGGAAGCTCTGGAGGGCAAGCTGGTGGACACTGGCCCGACGGTCGGCCTCGCCAAAGCCTAGTCCGCCGCTGAGCATCGGCCGGACGGCCTCGTATGAGGACCAGTAGAGCCCGCTAAAGGGCACGTCCCGCCACAGGGTCGCCGGTAGCCCCTGGTAAAGACTCCGAAGACCGGTCGAGCGCACCAAATCGAGCAGCGTGCCAAGGATCGGGCGGGGGCTCCCCCAACCACCCCGGGCGTTCGGATCGAATGGCGCAAGCCGGACTAGCTCAGGTCGAGTTGAGGGCGTTGACTGGAGCCGTGTCCGAATCAGCTCCAGCGGCGAGAATAGCGAGACGACAAACGAGCGTGTCAGGATCCCGGAGACGAGCGGGATCAGCTGGACCGAAGAGGACCCCGAAGATAGGCCGTCCCTGCTGCTCGGCGGGACGAGCTCGAGGAAGGCCGAGCGGAGGCTATCGTATCCGAGCATATAGATTGCCTGTGCCGGGATGGAGATCATAAGGGTAGGCGCGATTCCTCGCCAGAGTGAGCTAATGCCCTCGAGACGAACGATTTGGAGCAGGGTGGCTAGGGTGCCAGTCGAGGAGGGTGAGGGGCGACAGGGGTAAGCTTGGGAGAGCGGATGATCGTGCATCAGATGGTTGAGGGTCGTTGTTGTTGAGGAGGGACAATAAGCTAATCCGGAAAAAGGTTGAGATTGAGTTTGCAGACGAGTTTTGACGACATCCAACGGAGTCACTAAAGTAGGACCAAGTGGACAGGGAGCATGTATCAGAGGCCATCCATGATTTCCAGCGCATAGATAAATGAGATTGTGCAGAACTCAACTTGTCAAACTTGTCAAACATCCTCCCGCACATGCCGCCAGTATCTTATCCTTTGCTCGAACGGTGGTAGCTGGTTGGAGGCCGGCCCCGGGTCCGGGCCGGTCGAAGGATGACTCTTCTGGTTGCTGTTCCAGCTGAGGATGTTTTCCTTTCGAGCTCTTGCTTGGTTCTGGGTTGGACATCGATTGTCAGAGGTAGTTGATGCTTCTGGGCGGCGGGTGAGTTGGATGGTCACCCTGACCTGGTGGGACGGAGACCAGACCGCAAATGTCCACTGCCAACCCTGACCAAGAATTCACCGAGGCGCCTTGGCCGGGTCGACACTGGAACTCCCTGTGACAGTCTCGCAGAGCAGCGCGGCTGTGCTGCACCAACTTCCATGGCCCTGTTCGGACGTCTGCTTCCCGCAAAAGACAGCTTGCGTCGACTCGACCACTTTATTCTGGCTACATTGACTCTGGAATTGTGATGCTCAATGCACTTAGGCTTCGTTTGGCCGTCCATGATCGTCATAAACGATCATGGCAGATATTTCGGGGGTGCACAGCTAATGACGGGGCCTCATGATGGTGTTTGGGAGGCCACGTCATATCGAATCTCTTATAACGGAAATGGTCAACGAGATATATTCTCTGCCAAATCCAAGATTTTGGGTCCCCCCCAAAATTTTGCGTCATAAGTGCCGCTTCGGTGCTCTCATCACCCTCGGCTTTCCCTTACAACAACTCCATATCACCCCCCAGCTGCACACCACCCCCTCTGACCGGCACCATGCCCCCCCCGTCCTCCTAAACCGCCATTCCGATCATCCACTCCCGATGTGCACCAAACAGCCACATCGTTATTGATATGGATTTTCAGGCTGCGTCATCTGCACAGCCTGAAAGAATCAAACCTAAAATCTGATTTGACGATTTTCGATGACGGTCTACGACGATTGTGGACGGCCAAACGAAGCCTTAATCAGAAAATAGAGTCTGCAGTGTTGGAATGTGATTCCTGGTCTTTGCCCTCAAAAGAGGAGAGTATCAGGTTAGTTTATCATATGCCTGATAAACTTCCTGAAAAATAATAATAATCATCGCGCTGATCAACTATTTGTGATCATTTGCAGAATTAAGCTGTTCAATGAATGAACAAGAAAGAGACAAGATCTCGGCTTGTGAATCAAGCAATGATGTCATTGACATCATGAGCAAAGAGAATAACGATGATCATGATCAATCATTGAGCTCTTAGTGAGTCTTGATTGATTGTATCAGAGGAGCAAGATTGGTAACAAAGTCATCGAACAAGTTCCACTTCTTCGCTTACACAAAAATCATCCTTATTTTTCTTAGCTTTCACTCGCACAAGTCTAAAGAACAAAAACTCATCAATCGTATATTTCCACCAATAGTCGGTGAGTATAGAATAAACCTCGAATGCCTTCTTTGTAAAGAAAAAGAGAAATTAACAATTTGCTGAGTTATTCTCAATTCTGACAAAACTGTAATAGACTCTTCAGGCAATTAGCTTGATATAGCTGTTACGCAAACAGGCGATATATTTAAATCTATCAAAGTATAGTATTTCTCTATAATTAAGCGATAAGAGCAATGAACAACTTAGGCTAACAACGTAATTGTCTTCCGATAATTTATTCTGTTTCTGTAACAGTTATCTAAATATTATCTTAAATTATCCGAAGTTATTTTCTCATTCTCATCAAGCCTTACTATTATCAGAAAATATCAGATTGGTTCTGCCTTCAGGTATCGCTCTTATCTCTTGATCATCTTTCATCAAATTAATCATTTGTATTTTATTAAAAAGATTATTTACTTATAAAAGAAATGATACTTCAGTTTCAAATTCTTTCATGCAGTTCCTCATCTAGCTTTTTAAATGTAGGTGGGTAGTAAACATTCAAAGAAGTACTCACAAAAAAATATACTACTAATCTTGCAAGTCTGTGCAAATCAAACAACAGTGAGCTGAGCATGCAAGACCTAGAGCAAGCAAAGCTTACATGGGGGGAGGAGGTGGGGTAAATTTTGGATAGGATCATGGCTGTGGCAGTTTGCCCCACTTAAAAAGTGTGTAGGGGCCGATATATGCCTAGGAAACCCGTTTTTGGGCAAGGCCCTTGATCAGGATTGGGAGATGATCAAGTCACCAGGTCATTTCAGCTTGATACCAAAATTGTATTTTTTTTTCTTGTGAGACTTTTGAAGATGTCAAGTAACATTCTTTGTCTTTGAGGAAAAACATCAGCCAAGCTGTGTGGCCATTTGAGTTGGGGCCCAGGCCTTTAAGCTCCATGACATGACTTCTGGGTAAATTTTCAATTGCAATTTTGGATGTTTGTCTTTTTCATAAACCAAAATTCAGTTTTGGGTTTGCACCAAAAAAAAAGGACTGTAAATCAAGGGTGATGTATGGTACACCATTTCCACCAGATTCAATTTCCGATTTCCGGCTTGGAAATGAGCCTGGAAATTGGCAAGGTTGGTGGCTATGTGGTACAGGTCCTAAGATGAGAAGAGGTTTTCAGTTGAAATTTGGCCAGTTCAAATTGTAGACAATTTAGATTTGTGCACAGATAGGTGGTACAGTTCAAGACAGAGAGGTCTTGGGGGGGGGCAGAATAGTATAAGATGATAGGGGGACAAACAAGGGATTCACCACTGAGAAAGGAGAGACAAGTCACTAGGCATCTTCAGTTACAAGATATACCATTGACCATTGGCACCAATAAAACCTCTTTCAATCTCAAACATGAATCTCTCCGAGTCCCACCTACCCATTGTTGAACACCTTCCTGTCAGCCTCTATTCTACTAACCCAGCAGTTGCGCTGTGAGTTTCAATTAGGAAATGGGTTTCTTGCGTATTTGAAGAGGCAATGTGTGGTGATTTAATTCTCAACCTGTAACAGAAAGAACAGTGAGTAGGAATTCTTGTAACCTGACTCTTCCTACAAGGAATGCATCCAGATCAATCTTTTAAGGATTAATAGACATCCCAGAAAGACTCTTGGGTTTGTGGTAAGGAAGATACTGAAAAGATAACAAATATACCAAAAGGATAGCTTGTCCAAATACTTAAAAGGAATTCTGGAGTGGAGGGTGCCTCAGAGAATTGCTAAGGAGAGGGGGGGCTTCTTGTAGTACATTTGTCCTGTGCAATTTCATTCCATTCATTCTGAAAGTAGTATGATATGATCATCTGGATCCTTTGCATCATAGCTCATCAATGATTTGATTCTATACTTTTTAAGGCTGTTTGATTGATGTTTGCTTCCTTTATTAATTTTTTTCAACCATGTTTCTTTACTCTTCCATAATCTTCATAATCAAGACCAGACCCCTTCAAATTAGAGCCGCAAAGGTTATCTTCCATGAATGGCTTCTATCTTGTAATATGCTGTAAAGTAGATCAAATATTTCTCCTTGCAGAGGAGAAACGGCTCAGTAAGTTGATTGGATGAAATTTCGCAGAAAAAAATTGGAGACTGAGCAGTTTTTACAGAAAGATACAGTAGGATGACTCGTGTTTTTTCTTGATGAACTTGATGTGCATGAACCGGTAAGGTTATGAACTTACGATGCAATGGAAATTGGCTTGAGTGTGTTTGGCTTGGCAGTTGTTCCCAGGGCGGGTAGGCCGGGTGAGATGAGCGGAGTGCTAGAAGTAGATTGATAACCAACTCTGGCACACAGCACTCATCCCAACAGCGCCCCACCTCAACTCCAACTCCGACAAAATCGAAACTCTCGTCGAGATGCTGGTCTCTGATATATTTGGTACGCAACTCCCTGATGATGATGGTGTTTTTTTTCTTTAGTGACAGCTCACTCAGATGAATTTCTGTTCAGGTAATCTTTCCCAACTGTTTTGGTTATTTGCCCAGCTACCACAGATCTGGACGAATTACAGGAACAAATCGGTCGAAGGCCTCTCACTCACATTCCTACTGAACTGGCTCTCGGGCGATGTGACGAATCTGATAGGCTGTCTGCTCACCAACCAACTCGTCTTCCAACGCAACCTGGCCATCTACTTCAACCTCATCGACCTCATCCTCATCGGCCAATTTGCCCTATACTCAAGAACAACAACATCAACTACATCAACAACTGGAGCAACGACATCTAGTAATAACCAAACCAATCAGCATGCCTACGCCCCTATCTCGCAAACCCATCTCGAAAGATCACACCCGAATCATCCAATCGACATCGAAAGAAGCACAACAAATAGCAAACTCGGTCTAGATCTAAACCATAACAATCGACACTCAGATCAAAGCACTATCAAAGCTGCCTGTCCTCAACTCCTTCATCCAGCACCTCATCCATCATTCCAATCCAACCAACTCCTTAACTGGAACGAAAACTCTATCAACAATCCATCCAACACTTCCTACTATACTCCTTCAAGATTCACAAGGATTATAAGATGCTGTCATCTGAAACCTCTTCTCTTCTTGGCTATTGTTGCCTTCATCGGCTTTCAAATTACCACCCACCCCTCCTCATTCTCTCTTGGTGATCACAAGTCTCCCGATTCCTTCGCTCAGATATCGAGATCGACTTTCGACGCAAATAATCCGACTCAAAATTTAAGTCCAACCTCTGAGGGTTTAATAGAAAAGACTGAAAGGGAGGCTCAAGACACGCTCGAGGTGATTCAAGAAACAAATAAAGGAGAGAAGCCGGATTCATTGAAACAGAAGATTGGGAGACTGTCAGCCTGGCTGTGTGCATTCCTATATCTGACCTCACGGATCCCGCAGATCATGAAGAACCACTCGCGGAAGTCGGTGGAGGGGCTCTCGATCCTCCTCTTCGTCTTGGCCTTCCTGGGCAACCTGACCTACGTGTTGAGCATCCTCAGCTCGCCTCAAATCCTCTTCAACAACCCCGACGACGCGAACAGAGATCATCACAAGCTCGACTTTCTCAACGAGGCCATTCCCTACTTGATTGGCTCCGCCGGCACACTGTGTTTCGACTTGGCCATCTTCATCCAGAGCAGACTCTATCGATCTCATCCGACCCAACCCTCTCCCTCATCAAGACTCCCCGACTCTCCCTCAATCACGTGCAGTAATCTCGTCAACCCAAGCCCCCCACTTCTCTCTCCTTCCACTCATCCTAATCAGGCCCGCTTGAACCCCGACCCCGAAATCTACGCCGCCCTGCCTTTACTCGACTCTCGTTCCTCTACCTCTCTTGCTTGATTATCTTCTCTTTCACCCCCTTCGCTCTGCATTCCTATTCTCTTTTCTTCTGTAACAACGTACTTGTAATTGCATTTTCCTTGTCTGCAGCAATGTACTCCTATTCTCATGTCCTCTCTGATGCACTATCTCTCCCCCCCCCCCCCCACTCTCTCTCTCTCTCTTTCGCTCTCTCGCCACTCCGATCTTCTTTCTTCAAGAGCCACTTCATTCCCCCCTTGTTTCTCTACTTTTGGACCCAGAAAACATAATTGAACTCTACAGCTTTCATTCCCGTTTCATTTCCACAGTACAGTAGTACCAATTCATTTGAATACGCGAGCAAAAAAAAGAGAACAGAAGAGCTGTAGAAGGGCCGAAACCAACACTCCAACACTTTCAGAATCATTGAAACAACAGACAAGTTCTGTCCATGAAGTGCAGATGATGGGTAAGGCTAGTGAAGTGCTTTAAAGAACAGAACTTCTGGGTTGGGGCGGAGATTGAAGAGTGATTCAACATGTGGTCAGACGATTAGATGAGAACCAAACAAGAACAGTCCCAAATATCCTTCAAAGAAGGTTACCCCTCCTCTCTTCTTTCTTTTCCTTCAAGAAGAGCCAGAAAGAAGAGAGGAAGATAGAGGTACCTGTGAAGAAAAAAATGGGCAAGCTTGGCTGACAGGGTAGTGTTTGTGTACTGCGCTGCAGTGCAGTTGAAAAAGGACCCAGGAAAGCCCCTATAGAACACAGTAACCAAAAAACCAGGGTTTTTTTGAAAAAATTCATACATTTTTTGAGCCCATTCATACACGTTTTGTGCCTAGGTTGACCACTTTCCATGAGAATTCATACATTTTTGGTGCCTACCTTCTGCACAGGGGGGAGGGGGGGGGGGGTAAAACAGGCAAAAAAAAGGGGGAGAAGCTAACCATAGACCAGCCCTCACTTCAAGGGGGCTAGTTGCTGGTGCAAACAGTGCCTCTGAACTACACATCAGCCCTTCAAAGCATTGAGCCTGGGCTTTCAAGTTAGAAGGGTGGCCTTGGGGAGCATTGTGGCCAAAAATGTTTGTGAGTTTCATACACCTTTGGTTACTACCTCCCCTTCTTTGGTGAAAAATACATACATTTGATCAGGTGAGTACCTTTCTGGGCAAAAACAGCAATTCATCCATTTGGGGTGAGTACCTTTTTTGGTTTTTGACCAAACATTCATCCATTTTGGTTACTGTGTTCTATAGGGGCTTTCCTGGGTCCTGTTGAAAACTGCTCAAATGCAAGCATTGTTTTGCCTTATTTGTTATGCTGAGGCTACCAGTATGCTCTGATTTGAAAACCCCGCTCTTTAAGCTGTGTGACATCACTTTCAAGTCAAAAAGCCTCTAGAGGTGCTGCAATGCAGTGCAGCAGAGCTGAAACATGACTGAAATATACAGTTTTGGCAGGCTGAAGCAAGGGTGACGACACTGATTCTTCATGACTGTTCAGTTTTGTGTAGCATAGGGGCCCACTGTTGAGTAAAATATTTAATTGGAGCAAATGAATGAGGAAGATGCAGTGATGAAAATGACTCACAAGGTACAGCTAAGATTCACCATGTGATGTGTGTTGCTGGAGTGGGGGAAGCCAAAAAGAAATCAGAGAAAGTGTGACATCTTGAATTTCAACCACTTTCTGCAAAATATTCCAGTATTTTTACTTCACCCTCTTGATATGATCAATTCAATTAGACTTTGAGTGTTCCATATTTGCTTTGTCTGGAGGCTGGAACAACCTCCATAATCCTAAATTAAAATTCCAAATGATCAGAAAAAACATCTCATGAATCGCTGCCATATTTCAGTTTGATCACCTGATGAACTCTGGAATTTTAGAGTTCCAGGACCTTCATCCTAGGGCCTGATTCAAAGCTAAGTGAAATTTTAATGGCATCGTTGTAAAAAAAAAACACCATCTTTGCAGGGTAAGTTTTATGTTGCTTGTCAGGTCCCTGCAAAGATCTGCTTCCTGGTTTTCAGTGAAAACTGAAAACTGAAACAGGCTATTCTTAACACTTCAATTTTTATATTCAACCTGCTGAAACAACACAGAACTTCAGTCCTGTCAGGAGTTCATTTTTGGATTCAATCAACACCTGATCAACCATGAATGGTTCCTGAGTTTTTTCTCTTTTTTTTTTGGACTTGATCAAGGCCTCGAATTTGAAGGTTAAAATTAGCTTCTAGTGAAAGCGTTGAGGATGTTTTACATGGATCAATCCATTTGTGAATGCTGCTAATGCTTGGAAGATCATATTGTTGCTTTCAAGAACAAAACTTTGGGGTTTAGTATTGAAGGCTGAAAATTGTGGGCTGTGGAGTGGCTGGAGATCCTTCAAGTCAAAATTTGACAGAGAATAAATCATAAAACAGACTTCCACAGGGACCTTTGAAGCAGTTAATAAGCTTGGTCTTGATTTGACAAGTCCCTACACTGGTTTTGAAGTATGGTGGTATGTTGCAATCAACTTATGCTTGTTAGAACACCCTAACAATTACATTGACAGAACTTTATTTACCATCTCCTGTGTCACAAATCATGCCTCCTCATTCAAACATCATGACTCTATTAGTGTTTTGCAATGTCTTGGCCAGAAGATTCTAGGTAAAACTATTCTTCCTAAATTGATGAAAAAAACTGAGACTCCTCATAATCTAAGTATTTGAAAAAAAAAAAGAGAGAGAGAGAGAGAGAGAGAGAGATCCCATTTTACCATCCCTTGATCCACAAGCAAAAGTGCCTCCATGCTCAAAGTTAATTCAATTGGCTGGGAGCATCTTTGTTGTCACTGCACAAGATGCCTTTGTAGAGATGAAGTTACACCTCTTTACAGTCGGGTCTATGCAGCATCGGAAGTTTAGGGCAAGATCGTGCTCGTCTTCTTGACCCAGCTGTCTCTGGTCAGTCGATCAGAAAACTGGAAAAAGTCAAAGAAGGGTTCGAACTTGTTCATGAGATCACGCTCTTGGCGAAAGATGTATATGGAGCATAATGAGGTCATCGATCATATGACTGCAATCTCGTCGATGATATGCACTTACATATGCGTCCGTCCTTTGAATCTTAACTTTATTCCAGGAGAATCGTTCTTCACTCGAACTTTAATCTTGAAATCTCGAGCAAGTCCTGTTTGATCTTGTCTGATGATGATCAACCATATTTACATATTCTTCGGATTTTAACGAGCCGCGCCGCTCATTCATCCACAGTCGATCTTTATGATCTTGAGATGGATGGACTTGCAGTGGAAGGAAGCACCTCCACAGAGTTTGGGCCCTTGAGAGGCCTTGTATGTACCGCTCTCTAAAGCCCTGCAGTCGTCACCCCAGGATCGCCAATCGTTGTCATGGGCCAAAACTCACAACGACGACGCCCCTGCTTATCTCCACCTCCCCATCCCAGTCAGCACTCGTCGGCCAGTATGTATGTAGCTCCGCAGATCACGACGCTCGATTCAAAAGAAAGAACGAAAAACCGATTGTCTCGCTCATGGCCACCGGATCCCTAATCTCCTGGCATTCGATCATTCTGGATTTTCGATTCCTCCTTGTGTCATCCGGCCGGCTGCTCCGACTCCTGATCCATGCATTCCGACGAGCCGTTCGACAGAGGGAAGAGAGATCAAGGTTCGAGAATAGAACAGATCCAAAGTGGTTGTTTTAACGAGCATGTCAAAAATATACAAGCATGTATCCACACATTTTCAAAGTTGAGGATTTTCTCTTATCCAAGATCTAAATAAATATTATGTACTATAGATGGCCTCCACCCGCTGACGAACGACGATTGGATTTTGGGAAATGAACCTAAACAACATTGAGCTATCCTCTCCAACGGAGGGAGGGGCCAGCTTAGGCCGTCAATGCCATTGCCAGTGTTACGACTCGCGCCGCCCCCTCCCGCACCATAAGTGAGGATATGGGCCAGGAAGGAGGAGGTTGAAGCCGTCAGCCCACCCGGGCCGTCCCATCCTTGATATCGACTGAAAAAAAGAATAAGTTTTGTGGAGTCTCGAAAGCTAATTGGAGAGTCGTAAATATGTATGTAGAACACACCAAATCCCGTTCAGCGGATGCCCACTGGATCTTTCAAAACAACCAAAACATGCGCACACTTTTATTGACATGTCCAGGGTCTGGCTTTTCTTTTGCTTCGGGCTGTACATAGATCCTCTCAACATGTATCTATGCGAGATGGATGGCTCAAATGGTGCTGAAGCCAAGAGTTCGGCCAATAATGGACTCTCCATTTTTTTTTTTGGAGCGCTGTTGACTGTAGATCGCGATGTAGAAAGGAAAGATCCAGTTTGTAAGTTCGCGTTGTACCTTGTTTTTGGCTGTCACTGGGCAGCTCACCTGGCAGCAGCAGCAGCAGCAGCGAGCATTGGTGTTGAAGAAGCATGTTGATCATGGGCGTGTTGGCAATGAGAAGAAGCCCGTTGAGGTTGGGCAGGAGGGGACTACTTAGGAGGAGCCGGCTTCCTGGATCTCTGGCTCACTAGGGCTGCTACAGATGTATCACCATCATTGGTCGTGTACCCAGAGTCTTGCGCCATCGAGCCTGCGCTTGAGCAAGCCTTCGGCAAGCATTTCATTTTCATCAAGTGCTTCAAGGCTTCTTGGACAAATCAACTCAACAAGCCTCGAGCCGGGAGAAAGATCAAAGAATGTATCAACGTCATTGTAGTCATACAATCATACAACATCATGTTCACACACGCTTCTTGGATCTCTGGAATCACTTCAATCTCAGATTGCTGCCTTTTCCAAATCCCCAAACATGTGCTGAATATTGTCTTGGTCGACAACCATGGTTTTCTAAACGCCCCCGGAAGCGCCAGCCTCTTCGCTCCGTGTTTTTTTTTCTCTCTTCCATCGGCATCCATCGGCCAGCCAGGGCCAGCCAAAGCAAAGCGGACTGAGTGGAGGAGTCTGAACATGACACCTTGTCTGTACATACGTCACTACTTGGCTGTTATATCTTTATACGTATTATGTATTTATTTACACCCATGTGTGTTTGGGTGGATGTATTTATGTTGTCATAAAAGAGATACATATTTACATACACATTTTTAAGCTCTCAACTCGATCATCGCGCGACGCGATCGCCGTCGCACCACTAACGGGTAAAGACAACAAATACAGATTTTGTTAAGATGTAATTATGGCTTGAGAGAAAAATTCGCGGAAGTTGATGATGAAAGAACAAGATATTATGATATCCATCGATTGATATCCTCTGATGATGATGATGATTATCATCATCACCCACCCACCCAGGCACGGGATGGGACACGAAGATTGTGAGGTGGTTTTAAGGACATGAGACGATCGATTGAGACGAGGGCGCGCGCGGGATGGGGGGAGCCGCATAGTGTCCGGTGATCGGCTCGGCCTGGGAGTCTTTTTAATATTTTGTGTTTCTCATGGACAACTAATTCATCACTCTTGTATGAGTACATGGACCACGGCTATAGCCATGGGTCAAACAGCCTGATTATCCAGTCTGCTCACCATTGCTTCAAGCCGTCTCTTGTGGCTCTGGCCCCTTTACGTATTTACAACACATTGTACAAAAAGAAACTTGGTTGCTGAATCAATTGTTGTAACTTCTGCACGTCGGTCCCGAGGTTCAACAAATATAACCATGTCTTGGTCGCAGCGTTTTTCGCAAGCTTTCCCTTTCAACTGTTGAGCCGACGATCGTCTGTCCACCCCCCCCGCGCGCCCTCGATCCAGTCCTCGGATCGCCAACCCGACCGGCGCAACAAAAACAGACGTAAATATTGGCTCACTTGCTCAAGGCCTGTTTCGTTTCGCATCGCAACTCTTGGAGGTACGTATTATATCTCTTGACTGAGCCAGGTTCTGTATAAACATCTGCGGAGCTCCTCTATTAGTGTCCGTTTGGCTATGCCCCCTTCCTCCAGACTGCGCGAGTCGTCAGATTTTTGGCCGATCGACATCCAGTCTCGTCCTCCCTTTTTTTGTGTAACCGTACTTCATGCCGAGACTGCTGGGTGGTTCCCTTTTGTTATGTAAAGCCCATCAGGATTGGAATAGATGAAAAAGAGATGAATTAACATGTGTGCAGTGTGCGTATATTGGTCCACATGCATCGCAATATGGATTCTCCACAGACAGTTTGTATATATTGTTTAACAAGCGGGATTCGGGAGTGCTGCAAGAGTTCAAATTCAATCCTTTAGGACCGACCGATATACGATGAGCTAAACCCATCGTCGCCCGATGAATTATTGTTAAACCATTTTACCTCTTTAGCCTTTTCTCATTCATTCAATCAGTCAATTATGAGGTCTATATGTATGGTGTACCGCCCCGTACATAGCACGCAGGAAAACTCTCTGTATACATCTGAGATCCTTCTTTGCCACTCTTGGTTCAACTCTTATGTAGATATCTCTAAAAAAAAGTATCTTCAACTGAAGTCTTTCCGTTATAAGGAGCCAAAGTCCAATTAAAAAAAAAACCAAATCTAAAACCAAAGCCAAAGCCTATCTTCTACAATTTATTGATCAATCAATCAATCCTTCAAACAAACAAACAAACAAACAAACCAAAGAAGACGAAAAAAAGAATCAGTCGATCAAAGGCTCATACAAGTTAAAGCTCTTTGAGGATTATACATGTCTTTATACATAAGAGATCTTCAAATACATATAACCACATGATCGATATACACAATACATAACAGGATCCAACAGGGTCTCAGTAAACAGAGAGAGAAATGATTGATACATACAGTTTATGTAATGTGGGTGTGGGCGTGTGATGGCCAGGTTGAGATGGTACAACAAGAGTCAGTGTTGTACACCAAGGAATACAGTACGAATCCGATGCCGATTGTTGTAGACTTCATATGTACATCGACAAGAATGCTCAGCTCAGTCTCCTCTCCGATTCTGGTGATCATCGTCAACTGATCAATGCTGCATTCATTTCTCTTTTCCCCTTTCCCTTTCCCTTTCAAGAAACAAAAAAACACACACACACTTGATTAATTAAAAAGAGATAGGAGAATATTCATACACGAAAACCGAAAGCAAGAAGGAAAACAAACCGGCTCGAAAAAAAGATACATAGCAATTAGGAACGTTCCCGACCGGCCGACAGAAAAAAGGAGCACTCATCCATCACATTCACAGCAAACGTCTCTCAGCTTCCGAGTTCAAACGCATCAAAACTGGGTGGAGGGAGGAGAGGACTTGCAGATTATCAATTCCTTGAAGCAGTCGGGTCGATCTCTTCTCCAGTGTGCCATACACCCCCTCGGTCGAGCTGGGTTACTTTGTTCCGCCAGCTCTTTTTTTTTTTTTCTTTACGTAGCCGGACCGGCACCGCCCCGTCTCTGAACTCGATCCCCTCCTCCTGATCTTCATTCGCATCTGATCGCCATCGATTCCACTCCTCCAACTCTCACGGTTGGGCTCAAATATCCGATTCCTCAAAGTGCCACTCTGATCCAGGATCTTTGTTTTTTTTCTCCCGTTTTCTTGGATCTCTGCCGGGCTTTGGTCGAATCCCTCTTCACTCTGTTTATCTTCCAGGTCTTAACAACTCTCCTTGGCTTGGCTTCTTGACAGCTGTTAATCTCGATCTTCTTCACCTCTCATCATCCTCATAAAAAAAATCCAGCCTTCGGTACTCAAATGAATTCATCTTCTTGAACACACAGTCTCACAGTACCTTCAATCGGCTGTTTGTTTTTTCGTTGAGCCCTGTCTTTTTTTCTTTTTTTTTTCTCTTCTTTCCTTTCCGGCTCTTTTAATCTTTTAATCATCAACGTCGATCTCTTGATTCATTTCGAGCGTATTCAACTGTCCTCCTCTGCTGAAGACCCCCCCAACAGTCCAGACCCCACTACATCCATCCACCATATCTCTTTTTTGATTCCATCTTTCCTTCTAGTTATCATCTTCCTGATCGATTGTGACTGTGTATGTATGTACAGCTCTCTACGCTGTTGTACTCTCTCAAGCCATCCCAGCTCGATTCATACATCTTTTTTTTAGCGTTGGATTACCCTCTTGACTTTCCTCCTTTCTCTCATCTTCGTTCATCTTCCTCACACGCTTCCAGCTATTGATCAGCATACTCTCCCACATGCTTCCCTTTAAATCTTTGGCGCTCAGGTTGATCAGTTGAGAATCCAATCGATTTCTCTCTCTCTCTCTCCATTCCCCCTCACCACTTCATTCAATTGTGGTATATATAAAATAAAATAAAATATATACGATACATACTACATCAACTGTAATCAAATACTCTAGATTCCACTCCACCCACCCACCCAACCCCACTCACAGCAGCAAGACACACCCATCTTCCGAATTACCCACCTCCCCCTAGAAAACAGCACATCACATCATCATCACTTCCAGTCTTACATCTTATAAACATACATTTCTCTCCAAATCTCAACCTTCACCCTCGGCCCTCGTTTTCCTCGAGTCATCATCTCCTGTTTCCTTCCTTCGGCATCACTCGTAAAGAATCAAGAACCTGATTCATCCCTACATACAGAGAATTCTCCTCCTCCTTATATTTTCCCCCATTTCCTACTTATTCTCTCCCACCACGTGATCACCCTCTTACTCTCTCTCTCTCTCTCTCATACTCCCTCTCTCTTCTCTCGGCTCCACTCTATTCCCTTACAAGAATCATAAATAGATAAATCACCCATCAGCATCAGCAGCAGCATCATCATCATGATGACCGGCACGCTGTTCTCGGACTCTCTCGCCGCCATCATCCCAACTCACACTCACGACCGAAGTCGCCAGAATAAATCTTCTACACATTACCCTCACTCCTCTCATTCCTGTCTACGTCAACCTCCTCTCTCCTCACTCCCGCTACTATCGACCCACCACTACCACCACCAGCAGCAGCAGCATCCTCAACAGCAGCAGCAGCAGCAGCAGCAACAGGAACAGGAACAGCATCGCCAGCAGCCACCGTCACAACAGCAACATCCGTCTACACCCTCCAATCACTCAAGGTCGCCTGTTCATGAGATGTCTGACAGACCTACTCTCCCTGGGATTGCTAGTATTCTTGACTTTGCTGGCCAACGTAAGTTTTGCGGGCTTTTTTCTTCTCTCTGCCTATCTTTGTACGTCTTTCACACCTGCTTTGTAGCCCCAAAGTCACATGGCTCGCTTATTAATGAGCCAGAGACAGAGGGAGAGATAGGCTATTATCTAGTATGTATCCCCGGATTGCCTCTTCTGGAGGTGGTTGTGCGCATACAACTCACTACCAGCCCATGTAGGCACCACTCCCAAATCGGGGTCTCTCCCAAGAATGCTTGACCTTTTTGTTTACATAAACACTAGTTTAGATTTACACACTGTCAGCGATCTATCTATCTAATCGCATTACCATCCTGCCCGAGTCTCCGGGAATCATTCCTCCTGGTAATAATATAGGCTGCTGTTCCAGTTTCCTGACTTTTTGTTTGTTTTGGTTTTTCGTAATTCAAATACCCAGACCGACCTCAACCCCCTTCACTCTCAACTTCACACTCACATCCCAACTCACGGCACCAGTCATCCGATCCCGTCGCACATGTACTGCCGGCGTTTGTTCCCATCCCACCCTTCCAGGAGCTAAACAGTTACCCCTCAGCCGCACCCTACTTCGACTCAAAGCCAAACTCCAGCCATCCCCACCAACATGGCCATCGCCGTCGAAGCTCAAGCATCGCCGTCCTCCCACTCGACCAAGCACCATCCAGCCAACCCCATCAAACTCATCTCAAGCACTCAGCCTCCTCCCTATCATCTACTCAGGCCTCTAGAAATCCCCGACCCACCGCTCCCGAATCCTCAGCAGCTCGTAATATCATCCCCCAGCTCATCCAACCGCCCGCCCGCTCAGTTCGTGACCTTTGTCACCCTTCACACCACCCAGTTGGCAAGGAACCCTATCACTCAACTACCGACAGGCACTCCAGCTCATTTCCACTTAGCAGCTCAACAGCTTCTTCACTTGGAACTTCTAGTCATCATCATCACCATCACCACCATCATCATCATCATCAGCAGCAGCAGCAGCAGCAAGAGACCGGGAGACACCTAACTGATGATGGACTCCAACGCCGACATTCTGAACGTCTAACCGGGCCTCGCTCACAACTAAGCCATCATCCCCAGCCAGTTCCAAGTCCTCCTCCACTCCAACAGTCAATGGACGATCCTCGAAGCTATAGTCATAAGACACGGCGTGAATCTTATGATAGTCTCTCGAGCCACAGACCATCAGGAGGCAATAATCATCAATCCTATGACTCATCTCCTCATCAACATTCGACCTCCCTCGATATCAACTCACTATCCAAAATCGGCGGACCGATCATGAACAACAACAACAACAGCGTCGTCTCCTTAGGCCCTCAACATCATCGCTATCAATGCATGGAAGCTGGATGCGGTAAAACCTTCTCTCGGCCAAGCAGTCTCAAGATCCATAGTTACAGTCATACCGGGCAGAAGCCTTTCAAATGTATGCGATGTGACCGGGCATTCTCGGTGCAGAGTAATCTGAAACGACACCAGAGTCAGTTTGTTTCTTATCAGTTTATCATTTTCTCAAGTTGACACTCATCTTGGATCGAATTTGCAGAGGTTCATGAAAAACGTAGCGTCGCTGGACCGAGAGCTTTATCCACTCAACTGGGTGGTGGTCCAAACGGGATGGTGATGGTCTATGATCAACGCGGATCGGGAAGATTGATCGAAGAAGAAAGCGCAGACGAAGACCATGGTAGTGAGCATGGAATGTACGATCGGATGGAAGAGTAAACAAGCACACCTCCTATCTCTTTTTTTCGTTTCTTTGTTGCATGACTTTCTTTTCTTTTCTTCTTTTTTTTTGAGGGGTCGGGATTTAAAGCATCTTTTTTTCTTTCTTTCTGTCTTCTTCTTTTTAACTGTATACATTTCCGATTGTTTTTTTTTTGGTTGTTTCTCTCTCCGATTTCCTCGCCTTCCTTATTCCTCTTTCATCGTTATCTTTTTTTACACCAACCCCCCTTCAAAAAAAAAAACTCACCTATTCCAGAGATTACAAATACTTCTACACACTAATCAGTTCCCCACCCTCCTTTTCATTTCGAGTATTTCCCTCTTATCATCACCCTCATCATCCATCGACTTTGATTCTTTCCTTGGTTTTTACTCTCATCAAACATACATTCAAAAAAGCAAACCTTCTTTCCCTCCCCTTCCCTTCCCTTACTTATATATATATATATACAACTATTAAGAATCAATCAAACCCCGATAAAAATTAAATATACATACGTAATAATGCATCATCTTTATACTTATACCCCACAGGCAGGGAGCAGTTATTGTTTGTTTGTTTGCTTTTACTCTGCTTTGCTTTTGTTAGATCTTACTTTTTTTCTTTCTTTCTTTCTTTCTCTCTTCTTTTTGTTTTGTGTGAACTTGTAAATCTTGAATATATCAATCAAAAAGAACATGCTATATATACATTACATACATCAATAAACCTTACAGATTACTCTTGAATTTTTCTATCAATCAATCAATCAACCAACCAAAACAGCACACACCAGCTTTTGCTTGCTTCTTCTTTTTTGGTTTGGTTGATCAAAAGCCAGCTTTTGCAGCACACTGCACTCCACCATCTTTAATCAATCAGTCACTTCATTTCATTTTGTTTCTTTGTTCTGGTTTTTGATTTTGAGTTCTTTGATTTTGTTTGTTTGTAGTAAAGTGACTGAGTAAAATCAATCAAGCTATCCCTAAACTGCACACCCCATCATAACTCTCTCCTGCTAACTTACATATACCTATAAGAAGCCACTTTTTTTTTATTTGTTGGAAATTGGAATATGGGTGGGTGATTGATTGTGTGAATTTCATGAGCACTGATTGTGGTCCATGTCACACAGGTCTCTAATGGAAGCAAAAAAAAAAAAAAAAAAAACTGGCTGATTAGAGCATCTCCAGCAGAGCTGCGACTGGGCGATTTTCAGCCCAAATCAGTGGCTCGCGGGAGAATTTTGGGGTCCAGCAGACAGCCGCAACTGATCACCCCCCACCTTGCCCCCGGCTATAAACCCAATGCAATAGCCACCCTGGCAGAGACCGGCTACTTGCTCCTTGGTGTTTTTCTCACAACACACCCACACAACACCCACCACGTTACTTGATCCACCACTTCAACACCTAGCTACACCTCCCCCAAGGCAGTTGCTAGTTGTCTACCAAAGCTTAACAACTTGGCCAACCGCCCCCTGCTCTCTATTGCCAGTCTTCTGTGGGAGCAGTGTGACAGATGTGAGACAGGGGTGTGAAATGTGGTTGAAGGCCGCTGTTTGGGCAGAAACCGACCCCGGCTCTGCTGGAGATGCTCTTAGAATGGGCACATAGTCTGCTCATCTGAAGGCTGAGGCAGGGGTGGAAAAATCAGACCCCAAGCTGTGATTTTGGGTCCGCATTCAGTTTGAATAATGATGGTCTTTGTAGCAAAACATGCATATTTGATCAGCAGGGAATCTTGATCATCCAATCAGATTGTCCCGATTATTCCCTGCAAAACCAATACAATAATACAGACACTTTTGAACTCCTTTTGGGCGGCTAGGTCCACATAACCCCTCCTAAGACTTATAACAACTCGGCCAAACTCATATAGCTGATTGGGCTTCTATGGCCTTGGAAGGTTTTGACAGTACTTACAATCAGCCATATTTTGGGCAGTTTTTTGGGGGGGAAAGAAAAAAAAAAGTGTTTTTTTTTGGGGGGGGGGGATTGGAGTGGATTGGAGGGAGCCATTACAGTGTTCATTGTGTGTCCTTCTTTTCAGTTTATTCATGTATATACTATCTTACTTTTTGTTTTGTCTTATCAAAAGTGTTTTTTTTTATGGATTTATGGTCCCAGTTTGAAGGGTGGCTGTACAGCTCCGATAGATCTGATGTGGCCTTCAAGAAGGATTCCCTGATTCCCCGGATGTTGAGTTCTAATATCTGATAGGGATCCTTGTTTGGTGTCCAAAGATCATCCACACCCATATGTGCATCATGAACACATACATTACCATTAGGGGGGGTATCAAATATACAATTATTTGATTGACTGGTTTTGAACACATGTTCATGTTGGTTGTTCACCTACCCCCTTAATGAGGGACGGATTGGTGGAAACTCCTAATTTTGGAAAACAGACTGGTTTTCTGATGGTGGAGTGTGTATGATCTCTTTTTTTTTGTTTGGGTAATGTACAATCCAAAGATGATCATCCTCAAATGGACTGTTGTCATTGGAGGACTTGCGGTCACATCTAGAGTCTATAGGACCCTCACAGAAGTCTATCTGGACCCAACAACTGCAGATTCTCACAGAAATTAGTAACTCCGGGGGGGGGGGGGAGGGACAGATTGTGACATGATCAAGTCCTCTATTAGGGGGTATCAAATATTGGAAATCCTTTCCCCCAAAGTTTTTGTTTGCATCAATGGGCCCCAAAAGGGGTTAAATGGAGAACTGACATGTTTAACAAAGGATTGATTTTTTTTTTTTTCAAACCAGACAATTTAATATGGGTGGATTTGATACCCCCTATTTTGAGTGGTTTTGCCAACAGAAAAAAATAAGCAAAAGAAAAAAATCATGTGTTCATTTTGGCTTTGGATTTGAGGGAAGTGTGGCAGAGTGTTGTGTTGATGTTGTCTGCTCACAGCCTGTCAACCAGATTGTACATACCAGTATCATGCTGTAGTCGTTATCTGAATTCAATCCATCTTGATCATAAACATAGCTCTTTTCGTTTTTGGTTGTGTTGATGATCAGGATCTGCTTGGAACTTGATCACTGTAAGTAAGACATTGACAGACACTTAAGTGCAAGTCGCAATAGAAAAACAAAACAAAAAGGGCTCCTTGTGTTTTTTGATCATAGTCTAATGCAACACAGGCTGTATGTCAACTTGAAAGGTTTGAGTCACTTGAACATACACACAGTGTCAATGCTCCTGCCAATCATGTTGGAACCCAGCAGTGGGTTACCACCTGAACTCACATAGCCACCTCATAGACCCCATTAGATCATGTATATAAACTATCCCTGAGTTCAATACATGCAAATACTCGTACTGTTGTATGCTTTCTCTCTCACTTCACTTCACATCAAATCAAATCTGTATACATTGTTGGGAGTTGGGATCATGTGATGTTTCACTATGAAGATTGCATACTCTGAAGTGAGACATATCACAAACTCAGCTAATTGTACCTCTGTCCTTTCCAATCTGCTGCTTTTTTCATGCCTTGAAAGGCTTGATATGCTTCACTTTCACATTGAATTTACACCCCCTTCTTTCCCATCATAATCCATTCTTCCCATCCGTTCACTCCCTCATCCTATACACCACTTTATGTATACATTCCCCTTCCCTCCAAAGCCAATCAATCAACTCCAACATCACCATCTCAAAAACTGCTCAACCCTTCAAAATAACTATGATCCTGTCTCTGGCTCTCTTCCATCTTTCTCTCTCTCTCTCTCTCTCTCTCTCTGCAATTCTTTCATTCGATTCATCTCTTCCAAATCAACACTCAATTCTCTAATCATTCACTCTCATTATGACTTGTCCACCCACACCACACCATGGAAGTTGAAATGTCTCTTTCTAGAAAGGGACATGAAGGAGGGGTACAGTCTTCACTGAAGATTTGGTGGATGTTGCCTTTTGCAAATGCCCAATCCACCCCACCAACCCTTGGTCTGCTTGTGCAACATGCATATGTGTGAGGCACACTTCAAGTGTATTATGGACCAAGTTACAGTCATAGCCTCTTTATCTCCCGTGACAACAAGAGACACAACTTTTTTTGTGGTGCCACTTGAATTTAAAAATACTTGACTGTTTGAGAATAGGTTAATTCTTTTTCTCTTTCCTGATCTGAAACCCAGTGATATCAATAAACATTCAGCTATTCTCAAGATTCTGTTAGCTGAGTACTTTCTATAACTTTATGGCCTTTTAATTATCCTACTTGTTAATAATACAGAATCAAAATGGGGATAGTGGCCAAGAAAAAAAAATTGGATCAGAGTAGAGATGGGAGGTGATTTATATGCATATGTGCTACAACCCATATCTCTGGCCAAAATGACCCACCAGGTTGGACTGGTACCCGGATGGATACTCAGTTTTTTTGAACAGAAATTGGACACCTGCACCTGGCACCTGGCACCTGACGGTGTGTGCTGAGCGGGTGGACCAGGTACCTGCAGGCAGATGCTGGGTACCCAAGTGCCATCTCTAGATCAGAGCTGAAAGTCAACTTAAAGTGCTGATTCAGGAGTGTTCAAGAGAAGAGCAAATCAATAATCAAGCATTTTCTGGATAGCATTGTAATTGGACAACTGTGGTTTCCCAATGTGTTGCAAATCTTGCAAATCTGGAAGTCTGAAAAATCTGGAAGTCTGAAAAAGGGAAGCAGAAAGGCAAAAATTGGATAATGCTGATAGATTGCTTATCTTGCATCTTCAGTCATCTTCAGTCAATCTTTTTAAGGCTCCTAGCAGCCCAAATCCACATAAATCTATGGAGGTAGAAAACCCCCTCTGAGTTTTTCCTTGATGATTCTTTCCCCAATATAAAACTGCAGGGGGGGGGGGGGTAAATTCAGGCACACTTGGGAGTTTGATTATTTTTGAAATGTAACTGCTTCTGTCCCAACTTCCAAGATAAACCATTTTCAACCATATTGTTGAACATCTCATGAGCCGAATGGCTTTGAGATTCCCAAAGGGTTCTTGGTGTTGGGACAGATTCTAGATCAAGTCTTGGGTCTTTGGAACAAGCATTTGTTGGGCGGATTAAGGGGTCTACTCAAAGCCCGCAAGATAAGGTGTTTCTGTTACTTGTTTTTCCAATAATCACTGGTCCTGTGTCTTTACTGATATCACCACAGGAAGAGTCTCTGAGATCCCTGGCATATATTTTCTTGCAACCTCAATGTTTATGTCTTGAGTTTCCCAACAAATTAGCACACATAATTATATCCATGGCTTTTCCCACACACTTATACACTTGTGTCTCCCATTAACATCAACCTTAAGAGTATTTGTTGTATGCACAAAAAAAACCCTGATTTTGCAGGGGTGGGTTTTTCTCTCAAGGGTGGGATTTGAGCCCTTGATAGTCCAGTTTCTCCAGCCAATCTCTCCCGGGAAGCCAAGTTTTTTGTTAGCCCACATCTCACCAACCCAAGAGGTTATGTAGTGTTGTGTGTACATTGCTTCAACACCATCTACATAATCCAGTTTTTTCTTATGTTCTGAGATCCTTAATGGGCCAGGAAAATGAGGATTTGAAGATAGTGGTGGATATATGTGTTGATGGGCAGCCTTGGGAGGGGATTTATAAAGAAATGAGGAGGTTGAGAGCAGTTGGTTTCCGATTGATCTTGTACATAAACATATCATAGAGGGCCGCATTCTGAGAACCATTCTGTCCCTGGCCCAGTGTGTGGTGTGAGGATGTTCAAAGGAAGGCGGAGGCTGGCAGCTTACAAGATGCACAGGATTCCAGAAAACACAATATGAAGGTCTGCAGAGGGATTATCAATCCATTCAGCACTATCAATCTATCCTAAGGTACTCTTGTTGGGGATGCACCGCAGCTCATCCCCTAGGTTAGATGTGGAAAACAAATTCCTCCATCTATCCAAGTTTGGGTGTGTTGGATTATGAATATGCTTATATTCATTATACGATATGCTTCAACCAAAACTCAAAGCAATCATGTATATAGTCTATACCTGATGGCTACTGTAGTTTTTCCTCAGTGAATCAAAACCTCTTTTCTCTCACTCACAAAGTGTCACTGGCCTGTCAGCTGTGAACTTTGGTTTTCACCTTAATTGAGTTCCCCTCAACGGGTTGGTTGATAAAGATGGATCAGAAAAAGGGGGTCTTACTATATCTAGTAATCTCTGTCTTTTTCCTTGTCTCTTTCATTTTTATAGACCAAAGGAATTAGATACTTGTTTTTTGGATTAAAACAAGAGAAACCCGTTCTTGTTATTTATGTGCAAAAAAGGAGATAGTTTTTCAAGCAAAAATCTTCTGCTTTTCACCAGGGTGGGTGGGATGGTGACCAAAAAAAAAAAAAAAAAAAAAAAAAAAAAAAAAAAAAATTCAAGTAATAGAAATGATTAAGGAGATTGATGACTAACTGAGTTTGATAAGTTGCGAGGAATGAGGAAGTGGGGAGAGAAAAGAAGAATCTGAGCATGATGACTCTTGATGATAATTGATAAAGACTCAGAGGAAGCTGGATTGTTCTATCTGAGCAAATCTGGTCCGGGCCAGATTATTCGCAACCCAACTAATCCAAACTTGTCTGTGCACATGGACCCCAGCACCTTCCTCTGAACAGATTCAGGTGTTTCCTTCCCCTCCTCCACCAGGAAAAGAAAAAAATTGCAGCAGCAGGGGACAGAGGGTGTTTGATGAAAAACAGGAATTATGATTGAAACTAGAACCAGAACTGACAAGTCAAATAACAAGAATCAATAAGAGACACAAGAATAAAAAGAATGACATAGAAAAAGAAGAGAGAAAATTTACCATGAGAAGATTTGTCTTTTGATGTAGACAGAACAGATAGACTGAAGTAAAGTAGATCAAACAGGGACAGATAGTAAACACTATTTGAAACAAGAAAAAAAAATAATAGCAGACAGGTTAATGTTTTGGTCGATGAGGTTCAGAGAGATTCAGAAGTTGTTTTCTCACCAAATTGGCAGAAGCCAATTGAATATTTCGAGAGAAGTTGTCGGCCGAATGAGAATGAGAGATGGTTGAGGGAAAGTGGAGAGGATGTGAAGTCGTCGACGATGAGATTGAACGATCAGGGAAAAGAGAGATAGAAGATAGAGAACAAGAGAAGAGAAGAAACAGATTCGGATGAGAATGATGAAGGGAATTGTTGGAAGGAGATGGTTGAAGTTGATGACAAAGTTGGAGGTGAGAGTTGAGCAGTGTTGACTTAGTTTTTGAGTGGAATGTGTGTGAGGAGTTGATGATGAGGTGATGGCGGAGACTGCTTGGGGAAGGAGGAACAATTTTGAGGAGCAAGGCAACCTTTTTATCCTTGACGGAGGTTGGTTTGACTTGTGGTTGAGGTATGTAAACGGTTTGGCTTGTGGTTGATGATATGGCCGAGTAGGTCTGTTTCCATGGTGTTGAGTCGGGCGAGTTTGAGGTGTTTTGAGGAGGCCCAAGTTTGAGGCGTTTGACGACAGGTATTGAGAAGAGATGGATAGAAGAAGAGGCGAGAGTGAGAGAGTGAATAGAAGAAGGAGGGAGCGGAGTGAGCGGAGTGCACGGAGTATTTAAAGAAGAAAAAGAAAAGGATACGAAAAGAAAAAAAGGAGAATTCCAACAGTGTTGTTGTGTGTAGTAGAGACTAGGAGGAGTGATGGCCATGCTCCCCAGACTGCCCGTGTGTATCTCTGACCGCACTCCACAATCCTACTACCATCACCTCCTTTGAGGGGACTTACATCATACAAAGCACAATGTTCTCTTATAAGCTACAACATCATCAACCAATCATTGGGGTTTCCTCATCCTAACACCCTGTCCGCCCCCCCTCCCCCTTTTTTTTTCTCTCCCATTTGGGGTTGACTTTGATGCTCACACACACTCCCCCACTCTTTTATATATATATGACATCTAGGGCTCTCAGAGTCACATCAACTCAACAAGGCTGGCCAAAGAACCACCCCCCCCCCCCTCCAAAAAAAGGGCTGCTAATTTCATTGTCCAGTCTTGCTGGTTTGGAAACATGATCAAAGAAGTGGAGACAGTGATCTGAGATCTGTTTTCTTTGAAAGGGAAACTTCACAAGTCTGATTCATTCCAGACACTGGACAAGTGCAAGTGTGTGTGTGTCTAGACTCACATCCAATCTTCTCCTGGACTAAGCCCCCCCCCCCCCCTCCACCCCCCTCTTTCTTCTCATCTCAAAGCTGATCAGAGTGACAAGTCCTCAAATGCGTATCAAGATAAGCAGACATACTTGCATATCATCAAACTTGTGACTATGTAGACAACATACAAACCAATGTTATTGAGACTTTTATTCATAGGCTTAGACATCCATCATTTCACTTTTAATTTACTGCACCAGGACCCCGGAAAGCCCCAACCAAGCCGCCTAATGTAAAATGTAGCAAAACAGATTTTTTTTCTGAAATGTCCCTAATGTAAATCCGCAAAAAGGTAGCAAAAACAAAAAAAAAGCAGCACATGATCCTTCTGTATGTGGTAGCAATTTGTCCACCAGTTGTAGTTTATGCATGAAATGATTAGAGATTTTTCACAAGGATGAAAAAAAATTGAATTTTATGCATGATAGGAAAATTTATTGATTTTTTTTTCACCCACTAACCGAAAAGGACCCTGATGTCGGAGGTAGCAAAACATGCATCTGCCCCCCAAAACCAGATATTCCTAGGTAGCAAAAACCCAGATTTCGCAGGTTTTACATTAGGTGGCTTGGTAGGGGCTCTCCGGGGTCCTACTGCACCCCCCCCCCCCCCCCCCGCATTAACATAAACACACACACAAAAAATACCCCACCCCCCCCGAACCTTGGCATCCTCATCCTCATTGGGCATACACGCCCCCGCAGGCCCCGCCCCTGCCCACAACCTCACACCCAAAACCTTCCACCCACAAACTGCGCCCACACACCCCAAGGTGACAAGAAAAAAAAACTCTCCAACTGAAACTCAAGAAAAGAAAAAAAGGGAAGACCAACTGGTAATTAAACGCATTCCGAGGAAAGAACGGAGCCACAGTGTAAAAAATGGTACTACTGATCAAGAAAATGATGATAAGGATGGTGTTTGGTGGTGGGAATAGAAATAAATACCACAGAATAAAAAACGAGAGCGCGATGAAAAGAGGTAGAGAAGAGCACAACCGAGGAGAAAGACCTTCCATAATTTTGCCACCAAAAAAACAAGGAAGAAAAAGAAAACAAAAGGATAAGAAGAAGGGAAGCGTAGAGGATAAGGAAAGGAAGAGGATGGATGGTCAAGATTCGGTTCGGATGATCCCAAGACCTTGGGACGGTGTCGGATTAATCAAGCGAGAAGCGTTCTTATTCTTCGAATGAGAATGAGTATGATTAGTATTATTCAACGTATTAGGAGTAGAAGAAGAAGAAGAGGAAAGTTTCTGAAGAGGATGGTCGAGATTAGAGGACGGGTTGGAATGAGTAGGATGGTCTTGATGATGATGATGATCAAGAATGACCATGCCGATCGCATCATTCTCGTCGTCGTGCAGATGGAGAGTCTTATTGCTGATGATATCCAGTTCGCGAGGACTGGAAGACTTGAGATGGTGTTGATTGGAGGGCAGGACCGGGCTAGCCCGTCTGGAGAATTCGCCAGAGATCCGTTGGGTGACGATGGAGGAGAGTCTGCTGACGAGTTTAGGGGTCGAAGAAGTGGAGGTATCGAGCGGTGTATGGGCGGCAGAGGAAGAGGTGGATGCGGAGGAGGCTGCACTAGAGGCACGACTCGGCCCTTCGTCAACGTCTAGTAATAACGAGTCCATCGTTGGGAGGTCCAGTGAGACTGGGGCCGGTGGGGGTGGACGGGTCCGTCTACGAGGCTGTGATGGCGTCGGTTTCACGAGTACGGGCTGTAAGCCGGGCTCCGGCTTCTTGCCCGAAGACACCGGCGTGACGCTGGATGAGGAGCTCGAAGGTTCCGGGGCCAGCTCTGCTTCTGGTGGCCGTGGCGACGGCGGGGTCACATAGGCAATCGGTGTCGGCGGCGTCGAGTCATCCCGTCGATCCGGATCACTGACACGAGATGGGCCCGCTTGGATGTTCGCGAGTTGGGTGGAACGTCTCGAACTACTAGATCGAGATTGAGAACGACTATCAAAAGATTCATAACGACCTGAAGAGAAGAGACAGGGTAATATTAATATTTGACCAGGAGAAAGAAAGAACTGTAAAAAAAAGGCACAAACTTGAGTATGAACCAACTTCGGCCCAGCGTTGTTTACTACGAGCACACAAGGCTTCAATGACGCTCATCCCACGATATTCGGGAGCCAAGCGCCAACCATAAAAGTCGCCATCATCGCTAGCCGCGCCGCCGAAGCCAGCGCCATCGTTGAAGTAGCCGAGCTCGCCCAAGCCATCCTCGGTATCCTCGCTATCCTCGTCCGAATGAGTCCAGCCCCGTTCGCCACCATCGGAATCTCTTCTGCTCGTCGACCGGTGGTGACTCTTGAGTGCCCGTTTCTTTCCTATCAGGCGTGCAAAGTTCCCGTCCTCGAGGTCATCGGCAAATGAGGCCAGCCAGTTCGCCCATCCATCCCGTCCTTCCCCTCGCCAGAGTACCACCTTTTCATCAATCTCCCGTCCGAATGCAATCACTTGACCCGCCTCCGGACGGGCGTTACCCTGTCCTCCTCCTAATCGACGTCCATCGACTGATGAGGATGAGGATGATGAAGATGATGATTTTGTTGTAGTTGGGATACGTGGGGTGGGGTAGGAGGAGTTTGGTGGAGGGCTGAGATCGATGCCGATGTAGTTCCCGACTCGGTCGCTCAACAGGGGTATCCAGGCGGGATGTGAATAGACTTCGCGAACCCATCCGGCCGGACAACTGCTCATACCCTGGTCGACCCGAGGTGGATTATTGTTGGTGGCCGGCGGACTGGAATGGTGAGGATCTTGTGATGATGATGATGATGATGATGAGAAGTCGGTAGCCGCAAAGGCGTCCCCGGGCATCAAACCGCCATCGAATCGACGCCAAAAGCCCCACTCTGCCTCAACCTCCTCACAGCTCATGAGCCAGAGACCCCAGACGATTCCGAGGGGGGCGGATCCTGAACAGCGTGCAGAGTTGAGCGTGAAGACGTCCTGGCCGTCGTGGGTGAGGAAATGGTCGCGGATGACTTGTGGTAGTGCTAGATGGTAGGGTTCTAGTAAACGGTTGATCGAGTCGATCGAGAGTTCGTTGGCAGGATAGGAGAGCGTGTCGGCTAGTTCGGGTAGTTGGTAGGGTTCTCGACCAGGGTTCGAGAGATACGTTCCAGAGACGATCTAGTGAGCCATAGGCAGGTGATGGGTAGGATGGGGAGGCGATCGGCTGCCTCAGCCATCCGATGGCGCGGGAAGTTTCTCTTTGAAGAAGGGTAGGGTGAGTCGAGAGTGAATGGGAGGGTAGGACTCTGAGAGGAAGAGTTCATCAGTCGAAGGGTGGGCGATCACTGGGTCTGAGTTGGTCCAATGATGGTGCTCGTGATTGATGATCTGTTCGGCTGGAGTGGTGGGTGAGAATGAGTGGGTTGATTTGTCTAGATGGCTCTGTCGAGATGGTGGTCTGGATGGTCTGTTTTTTGTTTATGTTTTTTTTTTTTTTCAAGTGAGTGTCAAGAGTCAGAAGAGAAGAAGAATATGTTGTTTTTGTTTCTGAAGGGGAAAAGGCTGATTCAAGAGAGGGGGAAGTTGGTTGGTTGGTCGGGAGTATGTATCTCGTCAAGGTGTGCGGATGCATGCATACAATAACCAAGTGATAAATCAATAGAATTCCTGATGGAGCTGTACTCAATATACAATATGTGATATGTATTAATATAATAAACACATATACATTGATCAAATCACCCGGAATTTCGGGTGTTCGATTCCAATCGATTGATCTGAGAGTACGGTGTTGGTTTCCTCTCAGCAAGGACGACATGGACATCCTATGATCCTAGGGGAAGTGGTCTGATATGTAAGAATGTGATCTGATGATCAACAAGATTGGTGATTGGATATCGAATTTGAGAGTGGTATCGGATGTGTGATAGATAGAAGATGAGTTGATTAAATACCTTGGAGAGGGTGGTCCGTAGAGTAGTTCATCCTCTAGTTCGACCTGTCGTTTGGATGGTTGTCTGTTGTGGCGGGACTTGTGAGGTTTGATGGATGAAGCGGTGAGGTTGATAAGATGATGGTGATGGTGATGATGGTTGTTGTTTGAGTTGTTGTTGGTTTGGTTGAGTTTGATGGTTGTTGTTGTTGTTGAGTTGAGGTTGATGATGTTTGATGAGGTTGTTGATGAGGCTGTTGATGATGAGAGGGTGGGTTGTTGTTGTTGTTCTTCCTCTCGGAGCATCTTGGCTTGTTTTCAATCAGTCCGTGTTTAGTCGGATTAAAAAGGGGAGGCCAGCCAAGGGAGTGAAGCAGTAGTAGTAGT